TTTGTATATCTCTTAATTTGAGTAAGCACTACATTGTGGTATAATTTGGGGAAATTTGAAGGGGGGTTTGCTATTTTTATAAGTATCATTCTAATTGCGGTATTTGCGAAAATATAAGTCCAACTGCTAGAGATCGTCGTTGAGTACATCCATAGACCGCAAATAACCCTGGTCTATTGGCTAGTTGATCGCTTCAAGATTAGGCTCAATGTCAGCCTGATAACTAATGGTGCTTTCAGATACGGAAAACCACAGACGAATTGTTGCCGTTAACCTTGATTATGGTTAACAAAAGTTGCCGTTAAGTTAGAGATTATCTGTATAGGGAACCGCTAGCAATCCAGAAGTTATAACTAGGTCATAATTCTAGGATAACCCGAGATTATAATTTCAAGTCCCATTAGACCCGGAATACACCTCGGTCTGAGATTTTGGAGACTTGTCAGCAGCATTCTGCTGCCTCAACCCTTTTTTTCCGGCCATAAAGGAAATCTCAATCTCGCCTGATTCGGACAAAAAGTCAACACTTCCAGTCCCAAATTGGCAAATCAAAACATAGCAACCGCAATCTGAAACGGGTTTTGGGGCGTAAAGCAACAAAATACACAACGCACATGTAAAAGGGGGAAGAGTGGTTACGTCAGCACAGAACTAAAAAACCTACAACAAACAGTTACCATTAAGCGCACAATAGTCTGAACTTTCAATTAATAAAACTCGCAGCAATAATCAGTACTACTCAGGTATTAACAAAGTGATTCACACCCATCTAGATACAAAAGAGATTAACGCTCTTTAACACGTTTTTTCAGCGTTTTTTATTTCTTTTTTTTTTTGCTCGTTCCGTGGTTTGCAAACGTCAAAAATGAGGCTCAGAGGTGTTTTTGTTTTTGATTGGTGGAATGTCTAATCTGGGTCTGCATTGGCATAGAATTCACCCTCACCCAAATTCCAATGATATTTACGAGTTTCCCGATTATAGCGAACATCAAACATCCATACACCACTATTTACATTCCTTACGTAAGATCTGCAGTTTTGCGGTTTGTTTTCATTGTTCTCCAAAGACGTTCCGGACGTTTTTGTGCTTTTTAGCTCAATTTGACACAAAAACAATAAGGCCAAAGAAACTCGTTGCCCTCAGAGAAGACAAGATGCTAGGGTCAGAGTTGGTAGTGAAATTGTATCCGATACAGAAGTGGGAATACCAGTATGCCCACAGTACCTGATCTTCATGAATCAACAGGTGTTGATGAGAAGATTATGCCAAATGATCATATCTCCACTGAACCTGTACCTGATATACACCCGAGAAACTTAGCAGATGGTATCGCAGGCATTGAACACAATGATTGGAAGGAAGACACGAGTTTACCCGTGAATGCACTACATGATTCTCGTGATGCCTTTCCTTCATGGAACAACGACGACTGTCCCATTACACAGGCTGAGATATACCATATCTTTGAGAAGCTACGCGACAAATTTGGTTTCCAATGCTCCAGCATGGAGAATATGTTTGACCACTTGATGATACAACTTGATTCTAGGGCGTCTAGGTTCCATCCTCTCCATGCCTTGACATCGTTACATGCCTCATACATCGGTGGTGAGAACTCCAACTATAAAAAATGGTTCTTTGCAGCACGGCTCAATTTAGATGAAGAGGTTGGCTTCTCGAACATGAAGTTATACGGCCTGGCACACAGACGCAACAAAAAGATAGCCAAAAGGAAGAATGTGGATATCAAGGAGGCTCGTAAAAGGGCAAAGGTACTGCAGGATGAATTTGCAGACAATTATATGAAGATACAGTACACACCCGAGGAATTGGAGAGGAACTTTGATTTCATAATCGCAGATTATAAGTGGAAGATGAAGATGCAAGATCTAACACCTGCACAACAAGTTGAACAAATAGCTCTATACTTGTTGATATGGGGTGAATCAAATCAAATGAGATTCTTACCAGAGTGTATTTGTTTTATTTACAAATGTGCTTACGATTACTACGTATCACTTGAGTGCCAATCTTCGAATGAAAAGGTTCCAGAAGGCGAGTTTTTGGACAGCATTGCAACGCCCATATACAGGTTTTTGAGGGGTCAAATATACAAGATCTCAAGTGACGGTTCCATGACTCGTCGGGAACGAGACCATAAGGATATTATAGGATACGACGATGTAAATCAGTTATTTTGGTATCCAGAAGGGATTGAACGTATTAAAATGAAGTCAACAGGGGAACGCTTGGTTGATATTCCATTATCTCTAAGGTACTTATCATTGAAAGATGCTGACTGGGGGAATGCATTCTACAAGACTTATCGAGAGACAAGAACCTGGCTCCATTTAGCCACAAACTTCAATAGAATATGGATAATTCACCTCTCGTCCTTCTGGTTCTTCACCTGTTTCAATTCTCCAACTCTCTACACCCACAATTACATGCAGTTATTGGATAACCCACCCACAAAACAGAGCCAACTCTCACTGATAGCGCTTGGAGGTACTCTTGTTTGCTTTATTCAACTTCTCGCAACAATTGCAGAATGGCATTTCGTTCCTCGAGAATGGCCTGGAGCCCGACTGTTGTTTCCAAGATTTTTGTGCTTGGTATTGATCACGGTTATTAATGTATCACCATCGGTGTTCATATTTGGATATTTCGACTTGGAAACACATTCCAATTTTGCCTACATGTTATCAATTGTACAGTTGGTTATCGCTATAATTACAGCCATATACTTCGCTTGGAGACCTCTTGGGTCACTTTTCACCTCTAAGACATTCTCGGGCCAGAATAGAAGCCATGTTGCATCTCAAACATTCACTGCAGCGTTTTCGAAGCTTCAAGGTCGAAGTTATTGGTTTTCAATCTTTCTCTGGTCTTCTATCTTTCTTGCCAAATACATCGAATCTTACTTCTTCTTGACATTATCTCTAAAAGACCCAATCAGAGTCTTATCGATAATGGAGATGACGCGCTGTGTTGGTGATGTATATATAGGAACGTTCTTATGCAGGCATCAGGCGCATATAACACTAGGGTTGGTATATCTGACCGACTTGATATTGTTCTTCCTCGACACATACTTATGGTACATTGTCTGCAATTGTATATTCTCCATGATGTTATCATTTGCGTTGGGAATCTCCATCTTGACTCCCTGGAGGAACGTCTACTCAAGGTTACCCAAAAGGATATACTCTAAAGTTATTGCAAGTGCTGATATGGAGGTAAAATACAAGCCAAAGATCTTAATCTCCCAGGTTTGGAATGCAGTGATAATTTCAATGTACAGAGAACACTTATTACCTGTCGAGATGGTACATAAACTTCTTTATCACCAGGTCCCCTCTGAAGTTGCGGGAAGGAAAACATTGAAGTCACCAAGCTTTTTCATTGCACATGATGATTCGACATACAAATCAAGTGAGTTCTTCCCACCAAATTCTGAAGCTCAAAGACGTATATCCTTCTTCGCACAGTCACTTTCAACTCCTATACCAGAACCGATAGCTGTGGAATGTATGCCTGTTTTTACTGTTTTGATTCCTCACTACGGAGAGAAGATTATTCTTTCCCTCAAAGAGATCATTAAGGAGGCTAATATGAACACAAAGATCACCCTATTAGAGTATTTGAAGAAGTTGTATCCAACAGAATGGGAGTGTTTTGTCGCTGATACTAAACTGATGGCAAAGGATAATGGACTCTTACCAGATGCCAGAACCAAATTTGACACGACCCGGAAAAAGTCAGTGTCTAGCGGAGGGAGTTTGAACCACCACTTGGAAGCTCTGGATCGAACTCAAAGTATTTCAGAGGATGCTGTGGTGACAATAAGACTCAAAAAAGGAAAATCGTCACCTCCTAATACCCCAAGGGTTATCCCGGAGACACCGATTCTTGAGAACGAGGAAATTCCGATGTCATCAGATGATAATATGAGACGGACAAAGATAGATGACTTACCCCTTTACTGCCTTGGATTCAAGGATGAATCTCCGGAATACGTTTTGAGAACAAGAATATGGGCGTCCTTGAGAACTCAGACGTTATACCGGACGGCTTCTGGGTTTGTTAACTATGTTCGGGCATTGAAACTTCTTTATCGAATTGAGAATCCAGACATGGTTCAATTTTACAAGAATGATCAGCAGGCGTTAGAGGATGACTTAGAGATAATGGCTCACAGAAAATTCAAGATGGTGATTGCGATGCAGAGATTGGCCAGTTTCAAGGCCCATGAAAGAGAAGAAACCGATTTTCTTTTGAAAGCTTTCCCTGAAATAAAAGTGGCCTATCTTCTGAAAGAAAAGAACCCAAATGATCCTGATGGAGAACAGGTCTTTTACTCCTGTCTTATTGATGGATACTGTAAATTGGATGACGATGGAAACAGGATCCCCATTTATAAGGTACGTCTATCAGGGAATCCAATTTTGGGCGATGGAAAGTCGGATAACCAAAACCATGCCTTGATATTCTATCGAGGCGAGTATATACAAGTCGTTGATGCCAACCAAGATAACTATTTAGAAGAGTGTATCAAGATAAGATCACTCTTAGCTGAGTTCGAAGAGTTGAATTTGGACACGCCACTACCTTATATACCGGGTATCATCACGAAGAGGGCACCAGATCCTGTGGCTATAGTAGGTACACGGGAATACATATTTTCGGAGAATATTGGTGTTCTTGGAGATGTTGCAGCTGGAAAAGAGCAGACGTTTGGAACATTGTTTGCAAGAACATTGGCAGAAATCGGGGGGAAATTGCATTATGGACACCCAGACTTTCTCAATGCAATATTTATGACTACTCGTGGTGGTATATCCAAAGCCCAGAAAGGATTACATTTAAATGAAGACATATACGCTGGAATGAATGCCTTATTGCGAGGAGGAAGAATCAAGCATTGTGACTATTACCAATGTGGAAAAGGACGAGACTTGGGTTTTGGATCCATTTTGAACTTCACTACGAAGATTGGAGCTGGGATGGGAGAGCAAATTTTATCAAGGGAGTATTATTATTTGGGAACTCAGTTACCACTTGACAGGTTCCTTTCCTTCTATTATGCACACCCTGGATTCCATATCAATAATCTCTTCATTGTTTTGTCAGTGCAGATGTTCATGATTGTGTTGGTTAACATAGGCGCTTTGAAACACGAATCAATCATCTGCAAGTACGACAAAGATGTTCCTTATACAGACCTTCAGGAACCATTGGGCTGCTACATGCTTCAACCTGTGCTTAACTGGGTTACAATTTTCATCTTCTCCGTCTTCCTTGTATTTTTTATTGCTTTCACTCCTCTTCTCATTCAAGAGATGACAGAAAGAGGTCTTTGGCGAGCATTTGCACGATTCTTCCATCACATTATCTCACTCTCACCACTTTTTGAGGTATTTGTGTGTCAAATTTATGCGAATTCGTTGTTGACCGATGTAACTTTTGGTGGGGCTCGATATATCAGTACAGGTCGTGGGTTTGCAATGTCAAGAGTTCACTTTTTCTATCTCTATTCCAAGTTCACATCATCCTCAATATATGCGGGAGCCAAAATCTTTTTGATGTTGCTATTCGCAACGTTAACTATATGGCAACCGGCGTTGCTATGGTTCTACATTACATTGGTATCAATGATCCTTGCTCCGTTTATTTTCAACCCTCACCAGTTCTCTTTTCAGGATTTTTTTGTTGATTATAGGGACTTCATTCATTGGCTATCCAGAGGTAACAATAATCATCGTTCAAATTCATGGATTTCATTTGTCAAGCATTCTCGTGCTCGCTACACTGGATACAAGAAGCGCATGATTGGCGATCCTTCTGAAATTGGTGTGCAAGAAGTTAGAAAATCACGTATTTGGGATACCTATTTTACAGAATTGATTGTGCCCTTGTTGAATGGGATATTCTTATTTTTTGCATACAGCTTCATTAACTCACAGAATGGAGTAAGGAATGTCAAGCTGACTAAGGCAATACTAAGGTTGGTAATTTTGACTTTTCTTCCCATCGTCATAAATGCAGTTATTTTAGCTGTTGTATTCGGAGTCTCTATTTTGGCTGGGACTCTTTGTTTCTTTACTTCCCTAGCGTCAGTTTTTGCATCATTCACTCATGCATTGTCAGTTTTGATCTATGTTGGCCTATTTGAGTTGGTCTGGTTTCTTGAAGGATGGAACTTTGTGAGATCTCTCTCTTGCCTTCTTTGTATTATTAGCTTTCAGGAAGTTGTGTTCGCATTTTTATCCACTCTTGTGCTTAGTAGAGAGTACAAACATGATAAATTCAACCGCATGTGGTGGTCTGGTCGTTGGATCAGTAAGAAAGTTGGATGGAGACTGATATTGGCTCCATCGAGGGAATATATTGTGAAGATAATGGAAATGAGTCAGTTCGCATTGGATTTCATATTGGGGCACTCCATTCTTTTTGTTCAGACACCGTTTGTTTTCATACCTTTTATTGATAAGTTCCACACAATGATTTTATTGTGGTTGCAACCTGATAAACAACACAAGAGATTTTTTACAAAGAGCAAAAAGAGACGTCGTCTTGTAATCGTGGTGAAGTATTTCATTCTTTATTTCCTAGTGATTGGAATGTTCATGATGCTGCTTCTTGTACCTTTGCTTACCGCTAAATACATTCCAGAGTTGTATTTGTCATTGGAAGACGGTCCTCTTAATGGTCTAATACAACCAAACAATCAATGGAATGACGATACTGGTGTGAATGTTACAAGCACGATTATTACTACAACCGGTACTATGCCTGTTTTCAAAACTCACCCTTGGTGACGATGTTAAATATTACCATAGCCTCTTCCCTTGTTTTTGTTAATTGAAATGCTATTCACCATTATTGGGTAATACTATGCACTCGGATCAACATGGTACTAATTATGCAAGGCTTAGAATCTTTTTTTGAATTTGCCTGGTAGTTGAGCACTGCCACTTCACACACAGGCTTAACCAGCAGGTGATATGCACAGCGCCTACAACATTGTTTTGGAATTGTTGTTGATTGATAGCTTGTCTATGATTGTTGATAGCTTGATATTGGTTGGAATATGACGGTTTTCCAAGGGCCAGAATATCAATTACAACGTTGGTTTGTACAGCTTATGTATCCTTAACAGAGATCTAACAGAGCTGAACGGCAAATATATGACTGCAACTCACACACAAGATTGAGGCAATATTAATGGTGCATTAAGAATCCTCAGGAGTTTAGCTTTGAGGCGTTTGAATCTCATCTCGGCAGAGCTATAGCTACATCGTTACACCCCCCTGTGAACCTCAGAAGAAGCTCCGAGAGCATACCTTGCATTTTTTGATTCAAAGACGCTTTGTAAATAGACATCCTCTGTAATTCTGATGACGTATCGCGTCGTTCATCATCAATTTCTTAACTCTTGGTGTTTACTTTAAATCTTTGTATCCAAGAAATTTTGTATCGACGTCAGCTTTTTCAGCTGGAGAGCTGGGAGATACTAATTTCCACTCGAGAGCAATCCAAAATGTCACGCCAATACCATTTTCTACATTTGCGTATTGATGTAAAAATAACCACGGTTCCGTGCCAAGTTGATGTTAGGGGGTTCGGTTTCTTGGAGATTTTAACATCGTCGTCCGAGGTGAAGGGACAGCAAAATTAACATCAAGCCACTTTACTGGAGCAAAAAAAAGAGAGAGCAGTGGGCTGTGATGACACCAGTTTTTTTTTCCTTTAGATTATGGTTAGAAATGATCAGATATAATCGTGATGACGGCTATTTGAAATATAAATTTAGTGCAGTTTGGGAGCCCAATTGGGCATCATGTATACGTGCGTCAAGACACATGAGACGCTTCCTGCAAATTGATCAAGAAACACGCTCAAAAGAGGAAACGCGATAGGAATTCGAAGGAGGTGTCGTTTTTTGACGACTTATATTTCCCATTGGAGTAATTAAACACAGCCACCCTTGGAGGCTTCTGCGCAAAAACTGTTGCGCCAAAGACCATTTGGGGCATAAAAACATTTTTTGTGCATGACTCCACATGACCATACAGGCTATGACCAGAACTCTTTTCAACTTCTACTTGGTATACAGTGTACATCGTATAATGTAGGCTGAGTGTATACACAACATGTATATATATACATATATATATATATATATACTGGAGTTCTCTCTCTTGAATCCCTAGGCATTGTGATCTGATCCATCCAACTATTGCCCCTTTCGTTCCTTTCTTGTCTTCAGAGCACTGTCTTCAAAAGATTACCAACTGTTCAAAACTATCGCTTAAAATCAGAAGGAAGTAAAGACAATGTTGTTCCAAAACCTTGCAATTGTGGCCAGCGCCATTGGTTTAGTGGCTGCAGAGCTCCCAGCGATCGAAATCGTCGGTAACAAGTTCTTCTTCTCGAACAATGGTTCTCAGTTTTACATGAGAGGTATTGCCTACCAACAGGATACCTCTAATGTTACTGATGGTTCCACCTTTGTTGATCCGTTGGCCGACGGTGAGGCCTGTGCTAGAGATATTCCTTACCTGTCTGCCGTGAAGACCAATACTATCCGTGTTTATGCCTTGAACGAAACCCAAGACCACACGGAATGTATGCAATTGTTAGACGATGCTGGAATCTACGTCATTGCGGATTTATCCGAGCCATCTCTCTCGATCAACAGAGACGATCCAAGTTGGACGGTTGAGCTGTACAACCGTTACACCAAGATTGTCGATGAGTTCCAAAACTATACAAACATCTTGGGGTTTTTCGCCGGTAACGAGGTGACCAACGATTACACCAACACGGATGCATCTGCCTTTGTCAAGGCCGCTGTTAGAGATACAAAGGCATACATCAGAGACCAGAACTACAGAAGTATCCCAGTTGGTTATTCTTCCAATGATGATGCGGACACCCGTGTTGCCATTGCTGACTACTTCGTTTGTGGTGATGAAGATGAAAGAGCCGATTTCTACGGTATCAACATGTACGAATGGTGTGGTCAGTCCACTTTCGAAGAGTCTGGTTACGCTGACAGAACTGAAGAATTTAGCAACTTAACCGTTCCTGTATTCTTCTCTGAATATGGCTGTAACGAAGTCCAACCAAGAGAATTCACCGAGGTTCAGGCTCTTTACGGTAAAAATATGACTGACGTGTGGTCTGGTGGTATTGTCTACATGTACTTTGAGGAAGAGAACAACTACGGTCTTGTCACAGTCAGCGGTGATAGCGTTTCAACGCTTGCTGATTACTCATACTACTCAGAGGAAATCAACAGCATCTCTCCAACCTCTGCAGAGTCTTCCGATATCAGCACCAGCGACGCTACATTGGCTTGTCCAACCGGCTTCAAATATTGGAGTGCTTCCACTGATCTTCCACCAACCCCAGACGAAGGGTTGTGTGATTGTATGGAGAATTCCCTCTCATGTGTCGTATCCAGTGATGTTGACGAAGATGACTACGACGACCTGTTTGCCGTTGTATGTGGTTATGTTGACTGTAGTGGTATTAGTGCCAACGGTACCACTGGCGAGTACGGTTCTTATTCCTTCTGTAACGCCAAACAACAGTTGTCATTTGTTCTGGACTTGTACTACAAAGACCAGAGCAGCGCTGCCCGTGCATGTTCCTTTGACGGGTCTGCAACACTTACAGGCCAATCCAGCACTGCAAGTGAATGTTCGAGTGCCTTGAACGCTGCTGGTAGTGTGGGAACTGGTGAAGTCAGCGGCACTGTATCAAAAACAGGATCAGACACTTCAACTGACGGCGGTTCTGCAACTGGATCAGCCACTTCAACCGCGTCAGGATCTTCCACCTCAACGGCCAGCTCTGTTGCCTGTGCTGTCAGAGTCCCAGGCTCTGAAAGCATCGTCGCCCTTGCAATTGGTATTACCGTTGCAGTAACCGGATTCACCTTGACGTTGATCTGAGATCATGAACTGTTTCTAATTTTCAAGCATATACGAATTACCTTAAAAAATGATCCCATGAAGTTCCAGCCATTCCAACACCGGTAGAGCTATACCCCAAAGAGATGTACGTCGTCTATTTCTCCTCAGATGGCTGTCGAGTGCACATCGTCAAAGACATCAAATTATGGCCGCCAACGTACAATCAAAGATCACAGGCGTCGGACATCGGGCATTGGACATCGAACGCGTCCACAATTCACTACCGTTGTGGTTGTGCATAGGACGTGTGGACGATACACGCGCTGATGGTATATACGAGCGCTGTTTCAACGCTCCGCCAACGCTTACATTTCCTCATGATCTCATCGAACATCCCCCGTGATGCGCTTTGTTGAGTCCGGGGATCTAGCCCGGCACGTGAGCCTTCAAAGCTTCACGCGAACAACACAGCGCTTGTTCAAAGGTTTGTTTATTTTTGGACATTGGACGTTTTATTCCCTCGAGGAAGGCCCGAGCGCGACTCCGCGACTCCGCGACTGTCAACAAAAACTCGTTGGCTGTGGTAGAGAGGGAGGGGGTGGTGGTGGTGCACGCTGTGTGTGTCGCCGACCGACCGTTTTGGCTGTGTACAAATCGCCTAAAACAGACAACAACAAGTAAACAAAGCAACATTGGCTGTAAGATATGACAACAGGAAAGGGATTATGGGAGACGGAACAGTGGGGGGGGAAATTAAGCACTGTTACACCTTGCCGAGAGAGATTACAGATTGTTCTCGTTGGAGCCATAATTGGACCTAATTGGACCTCATTGGGCGCTCATCTCTTCACACTGGCCATTCCCTCTGTCCAATTGGGCGTGGGAACGAAGATCAACACCACCTCATCTTCGCATGCACGGTGATTTGATTTGGGCAGCTTCCCCTTCCAACTTGGGCGTTTCTTTTCGGGCCTCGTTTTCTCATGCCGCTTGAATCCAAAACAAAAACGCGCTCTTGAGAGCCTCGCAGGGGATGTTTGTGGTTTTTTGTACTCCAACGCATCGATTTTGCACAAACTCAGCCGGTGGAATTCTCGAAGACGTTGATTCACAGCATTTCCCTAATTTGACGAAAAAGTTTGTTTTGGAATTTAAACCAGCCAAATCCCACAAACTTTCCCCCTTTCTTCCTTCTTCTGCTGCTCCTGCTCCTGCTCTTGTTATTCTGTCACTGGCTTAAGGACAAGACTACGTATTCTGATACAATGAGATTCAACTGGGCCTTGGCTTCTGCGTTCGCTGGTGTTGCTCTTGCTAACCAGGACACTGAGGGAACCGACGCTTCCGTGCCAACCATCGAGGTTGTTGGTAACAAGTTCTTCTACAGCAATAACGGTTCGCAGTTCTACATCAAGGGTATCGCCTACCAGCAGGACACCGCCAATGCGTCTGCCGACGTGACATTCGTCGACCCGTTGGCTGACATCGACTCCTGTAAGAGAGACTTGCCATACTTGCAAGAGTTGTACACCAACACCTTGAGAGTGTACGCCATCAACACATCTGTCTCCCACAAGGAGTGTATGGATTTGTTTGCCGAGGCTGGTATCTACATCATTGCTGATTTGTCCCAACCTTCCGAGTCTATCAACAGAGATAGTCCTGAATGGAACTTGGAGCTTTACCAGAGATACACAGACACGGTCGATGCCTTGTCGAACTACACAAACGTTTTGGGTTTCTTTGCCGGTAACGAAGTCACCAACAACGTTACAAACACCGATGCTTCTGCATTTGTTAAGGCTGCTGTTAGAGACACTAAGGCCTACATCAAGGCTCAAGGTTACAGAGACATTCCAGTTGGTTACTCCTCAAACGATGATTCTGACATCCGTGTTGCCATTGCTGACTACTTTGCCTGTGGTGATGAGGATGTTAAGGCTGATTTCTTTGGTATCAACATGTACGAATGGTGTGGTGACTCCACTTTCAAGGAGTCTGGTTACGCTGACAGAACTGCGGAGTTCGAGAACTTGACTATTCCAATCTTCTTCTCTGAATACGGCTGTAACGAGGTCCAACCAAGAGAATTCACCGAGGTTCAGGCTCTTTACGGTTCTGACATGACTGATGTCTGGTCAGGTGGTATTGTCTACATGTACTTTGAGGAAGCTAACAACTACGGTCTTGTCACAGTCAGCGGTGATGAAGTTTCCACATTGGCTGATTTCAACAACTTGAAGACTGAGTTGGCTTCTATTGATCCAACTTCTGCCACTTCTGGTAGCGTTAAGACAACCTCCCTTGCTTGTCCTGCTGAGGCTTCTACATGGCGTGCATCTGCCGAGCTTCCTCCAACTCCAGATGAGGCTGTTTGTGACTGTTTGGATTACACTTTGGCTTGTGTTGTTGACAGCAGCGTTGATGAAGAGGATTACAGTGATCTCTACTCCATTGTGTGTGGTATGACCGACTGTAGTGTAATTAGTGCCAATGGTACTAGTGGTGTCTATGGTGCGTTCTCTTACTGTGGTGACAAGGCTAAGTTGTCCTATGTTCTCAACCAATACTACGTTGATAACGGTAAGCACTCCACCGACTGTGACTTTGGTGGCTCTGCTTCTTTGGTTTCTACATCCACAGCTTCTACCTGTTCTTCGATCTTGTCAAGTGCAAGTGCTGCAGTTTCTAACGCTGCCACTTCTACAGCATCAGGTTCCGATTCCGCTTCCGGTTCTTCTTCAACTTCTTCATCTACCGCATCTGCTTCTGCATCTGCTTCATCCACTGGTAAGAGTTCTGCTGGTGCAGTCAACCCAGTCGGTGCTTCCAACGTTGCACTTTTGATGACTATCGGTACTTTCTTCACAGTTAGCATGGGTGCTTTCTTGTTCTAAGGGAGAATAATTATAAACCATGATAATGTATGTGAACGTGTTTTTCTTTTGTATACAATTTGCATGTAGATTTAGTCGTTGGAAATCATAAAGATCTCATTCAATGCCTTCGCATCCATAGTGGCTGCTCTCTTCTGTCTAATCCACTTCGACCTCACATGGAGACGAGTGTTAACAGCTGGTGATTCTTCTCTGGACTCACTAGGCGCGAGCATGCTATCACGAGTAACTTCAGCTGTTTTCTCCTTCTTTTCCTTCTTTTCTTTCTTGTCTTTCTTTTCCTTCTTTTCTTTCTTTTCTTTCTTGTCTTTCTTTTCTTTCTTTTCCTTCTTGCTCTTCTTTTCCTTCTTTTCCTTCGTGCTCTTCTTCTCCTTCTTTTCTTTCTTACTCTTCTTCTTAGAGTCACCTTCTTCATCATCATCACTATCGTCTCTAACTCTCTTTACTATTAACTGTCTATTCTCACTATCCCATGTACTCTTCAAAGTATCTCCCTTTATGAATTGAATACCAAGCTTACCATTTAAAATCTTTTCAGTTCTCTGTAATTCCAATTCTTTGGCGATGACCTCTTCTTTACCGTTCAATCTACCTAGAATTCTCTGGAAAACGTCCAAACCGGCACATTCGCCACTATCAAATTCATCCTTCTTGACCTTCTTTGAGAGCTTAGCACCAAGACCAACAGTGTCATCTTTCAAAGCCACTTTCACATGAGTAGTGACAGCGTGAGAAACCATTCCTAAACCTGAACCAGGTTTCCAGCCCATCTTCTCTAAATACTGGTTCCCAAATCTATCAGTATCGTTGGCCCATTTGGTATTTCTTGGATCAAATCCAAATCTCTGCTTCACTTTAACACCGGCAAGTCCCATTATCTCTCTATTTATCAAAACTATTCCAGATAAGTTGCACAGCGTAACCTCTTTCAACGTTCTTTTCCTCGTGCAAAATGTTTGGTGCCAAAATTTTTCTTCCCTCACCGATGAGCTGAGAAACAAAGCGGAACAGAAAAAAAAAGTTTTGTTACGGACACTATCACATACAAAATCATCTTAGACCTCTCAACTTTCCAAGAGAGAAAGTAATTTACAATGTATTCATTTATGTATCTTCACTTATGAGAACCACTTCTGGATCACAGCTTGAGTATCTTGTGGGTAACTTTGTAGTAGAGCCATTGCATCTGACTGTGGGAGTTGACCAAGAAGTTTCTTGACAGAGCCAACAACAACCTCTGCTGTTTGACCGGCGATGGAGCTAAAGACAAGTGCCTGGATAACACTATCCACCACACCTTGGATATTGTTTTGAATAGATGGGTGCGATGAGTCAATCAATTGTGCAAGGAATCTGTACGCGTATGGTGCAGCTTCGGTATCCTTCACAATTGGTAAAGTCTTAATCCAACTCTCAACAACTGCGTTGAAATTTGGAACACGGTCACCGTATGCATGGAGAACTTTAGAGATTGCGCATGAGGCATTCTCAGTGGCACCAGCGTTATCATCAGATCTGGCGTCTGGAATTTGGGTAATCTTGAATAGTGATTCCAATGCACCTAATGTGAGGTCTGCGTAGCTGTTCGAAGCGTGTTGTGCTGCAACACCAACGATATACGATGCAGCTTGACGGATACGGGCATCTGGATGACCCAAGGATTCTGCAACAGCACCAAGGAATAGATCACGGAATGGAACAGATGCCTCACCGGTGTATTCAACCAAGTCAGATGCAACGCACAGGCCAAATAGTTTGCAAATGACGTTACTGTCGTTGATGAAACTGGCAACTGTAGGGACAAGAACCTGGAATGGCTCAAGGAATGCAAGTTTGTTGGAGCTGAACACAGTACTAATGACCTTGTTGATCTCGTCACTCAACTCTTCATCAGTGTACTCATCATCCTCGTCAATTTCTTCATTATATTCATCTTCTTCGCCTTCACGGTCCTTGATACGGTCGTACATCTCCTTCAAAACAGTGTTAACGTTCTTTGCAAAGGCCAACATTTGCTCTTGGGAGAGTGACTGATCTCCAATGATTTGGATACAGTCTGATAAAGCATTAAAGTAAGAAAACAACAGGTCAATGGCTGGTTCTGTACCGATGATCTTGATGAGTTTATCAGAGATCAATTGCCACAATTCCAATGTCTGTGTGGACTTAGCTCCAGTTGCGGCCTTGGCTGTTAATAAAAGTGGAGGAAGTGCGTTGGCAGCAGATCTACGAACTTCATCATGCAGGTAAAAGTCCAGAGCTGGTAAGACAATTTCCAAAGTAATCTCTCTTGTGTACTGATAAAAGTCACCCTTCAAAATGTCAGCATAACCGGCAATAAGATCAATAGCTGCAGCCTTATCGTCCAATAGAGCAGTGTGCACCGCAATGTGCTTACCTGAGAGTTGAATAACATCCCAGTCCTCGTTTTGATTGAACTCCTCAGCTTCTTCTTCCTCTAACAAACTGATATTTTGAGCAGCTTTTGCAGCTTCAATTAAAGGTGGTAAGACACTTGGTAAGTATGGCAAGAAATCAGAGCCAATAATACGTGCAATACGACCCCAACCTTGTTCCAAGTATGGCTTCACAGGATCATCATCTTGCATCTCACCTTGTTGGATAGCCGCAAATAAGTGAATTAGTTCTTGACTATGCGGAGCAAACTTTTCCTTACCCACTGCCAGTGCAATCAAAGTTGAACACTCGATACATTTTGCCTTAAGCAATCTTTGTTCATCACCCATATCAGTCTTCAAGACATTGATCAAAAGTGGCATCAATGTATCATAGTATTTAATAAATGTCTTCTGTGCAGCATCAGCAACTATGGCAATGGTCGTCAGAACTTGCTCTTGGACATAACGTTTTGGACTTTGGAGTAAGGTCAACAAGTTGGACAAAAGGTCATCTAAGTATGGTTCAAGAGTTTCCTTGGTGGCATTTTCTGAGAAGTTGACAAGCGCAGCAGCAGCATGAGCTTGAACTCTTGGAACGGATTGATTTGTGAGCTTAGAAACCAAAGCAGGAATGATACGATCCCCAGCTTGTCTTTGAATGGTGTCGGCAAAGTCAGTAGAGATTTGACCAAGTGCATTACATGTGGCGTACTGGACTCTTGGGTGTGGATCATTTAATCCAGGAATAACAAGATCCAAGATACGTGGTATTTCACCAATGAGAACATCACAACAACCTTCAGCAGCAGATGAGAGTGCCATCAAAGCGGCTTGGCGTTGTCTCCAGTCATTGGAGGCCATCATCTGAGTGATCATCTGGAACAATGGTCCAGCGAGGTATTCACCACCGAGCTTCAAGGCAACACGATCCAAAGCCTGACGAGCTGAATCGTATTCAACTTCTTCTTCGTCATCTTCAGTATTATCCGCATTGTTCCATTCAGCAGCGTCGTCGTCACCGTCACAGACCTCAGTCATCATGTGTAAAGTGATGTAAACAATGGCCTGGGAATAAGCAGGGTTAGCCTTACACATCTTTGGTGAAGATTCAGAAAATGCAGTCAAGAGCTCCAAAGCTGACAATCTAGCACCTGAGTCAATAGATTGGTTATTGGCGACAGCTGAACAAAATTCAATGATTGTTGGGAACATATCCTTAAACAACTTGGAAGCAGTGTCAACCAGATCAATAAGAGACTCCAATACAGAAGCCAAGGCCACGTCCTTACCATTTTCTAGGAAACGAGGTAAACTGTTCATCAAACTTGGTAACAAAGGTTGAACCAATGGCCACGTCTTCTTTGGCAGACACTGGAAAAAGCTCACAAATGCAGAGCAAGCAGCAATTCTGATGTCATCTTCAGAGTCTTCAAAGCCTGCTTGGTACACTGGAAGTATCTGATCCATATGGGACTGTGGCAATAGCCCAGGGTTGGCAGCAAAGATTCTGAAGGCGGATTCTCTGAAGCTGGCGTCTGGGTTCTTAACAGCCTCGAAGAGAGTTGGAAGTAGTTGATCCCAAGATCCCGGGACATCATCCTTAGCGAGCTCAGCTATAACATCTGCGAGTTTATGTCTGACATTGTTGGACTGTTGTGAGATGAACCCCTGGAGAAAGTTGTTTCTAATTCCAGCCAAGGTTTCTTCGTTGACGATCGAGATCGTTCTCTCCATAACACTCTTCATCTTTGGAGGGGATCTAATGGCAATTCTTCTAAAGAGAACAGCAGCAAACGACTTCAATGCATCGTTAGCGCCTGATGCCGCTTGTTGTGACAGGAATAACAACAGAACGTCAACACGATCCTTGCCTGACCACACACTGTTCAAGTGGGTTTCAGCTGCAACACGCGTGTTGTTATCAGCTGACGACAGCCCTTGCAATAGCTCAAGGAGAGCGCTGTTGATTTCAGGAGTGACGGAGGACATTTGTTACAATCCCTTCTCCTTTTGAAAACACGTAGGTGATGCGGGCCTTATTAACGAGTCTTTGTTCGGTTATCCGACACCAGAACAAGAAATAGAGCAATAGGAAACTATATCAATCAGCCAGAAGAAGATAATCCTTCGATAACTGACAATACAAATGTACAAATCACTTCAGTGAGACAGCAAATCGTACAGATTTGTTCCAATACAGATCTCTGGCGGTTTGGTTTCCTTGGAGAGAAGGTTCAGTACAAAATTTTTTTTTCCGGTTTTTCGGTTTTTTTTTGTGTTTTTGTGTTTTTTACGCTATTGCAAAGGAATTTTGTACGTGTGTTTCTTTTTAAGAAAAACTAGTGGTTTCTATGGCAACGAAAATGGATTACACGTCAAACACTGCGATGGGCCCGCTTACTTCAATTTCCCCATAAGATCTCATTAATATAAAGTGTGCTATGTTTGGTATATGGCAAGGTGATGCTATACACGTAGCATGGGTCTAGCCGTGGCCCCGAGAATGATGCCAATTGATAAGAGTGCCATACCGGTGAAAATGCCTGATCTGGTCCATGATGATGTCAGTCTCTTTATCGCTTGCCAAATTCTCGTGAAGTACGCTTCACTAGTGGCGTAGGGCCTGATTATAAGTTCCACATAGTGGTTATCATCCTGTGAATACCTCTCCGAATATGCAATTGCCGTCATTAAATCAGCTTCCGTGGTTAAGGTGACCATATCACCCTCGTTGTCTTCATAAAACAGCTCATGTTTACCAGCAAATTTTTCCTCAATCTCCTTCTGTAACAGTGTGAACGGTTTCAAATCATCCGTTAATGTCAGGTTGTCACTCAATGCCATGCTTATTTTATCCACTATTCCCGTTTTCTCTTCGATGATGCGGAACGTTACTGTCTTCCTTTTCAAATAGAAGCTAATTCTTGATAATGATTCCGTGGAAGGAACCCTCTGTGGTGACATCAGGAAGTTATCTTCTGACTTCACTTTATTAGTGGACGGTCTTCTCGAAGTTGATGAAACGTAATTCAAAGATGTTCTTCTGGAGCTTGAGGGAGATTGATTTCTTGAAGGACCTCGGGATACACTAGATTCCAAACTCTGTATATCATCGTTTGATTTATCCATTGCACTCCAGAATGTATCCCATGGTAGTTGATCTGGAAGTCTACTTGTGACTTCATCCAGGGTAGTCTTCTGAACTGAGTCCAACTCATGACGTTTACCCAATTGCGAAAGTGCAGCGTATGTTAGCTGCAATACACTCACAATTCCCACAATGTCATTAGTTGTGGAGCTGATTACAGGCAAGTTAAGGAAATGCCCATGGTACATCAGCCTCAACGCGGCACTGACAGTGAGCGAGTCTTTAGCAAATTCAGGACTCGTTGTCAATACCCTTGCGACAGTACACTTTGATGGGTTATAACCTCTGGCAATAACCCTATTGCATATATCCTTACTTGTAAAGATACCAATCACTTTATGATCATTAGAAGTCCCATCAAGTACAAGCAGTGCCGTTGTAGATTGCTGTTCCATCAGCTGTGCAGCGTCGTATACCGTTGATAGTGAGTCCACATAGCAAACAGGTTTATAGCCCACGGTCTTGAGCGTCGGAATATCAATCACGTCACTGAGTGATCTAACATCTTGGACAATGCGGTCAGCCTGTTCTGAGCGCACATCGCCATAGTCCCTCGCCACCTCTTTCAATACAGAATTGAGCCTTTGAGCACTGGCGGCAATTCGCTCCAACCTCAACATGGCCTGGTGGAAGCACCGGGTAATGTCCAAGACGCCTGTGATGGCGCCTTGGGAGTCCAATAGAGGTAGATGACGAACATTCTTATCAACCATTGTCGTTAACGCGTCCGTGATCCGCGTATCCATGTGCAAGCAGAGGGGACAAGACGTCATCAACTGTTCAACAAGCGTGGTCTTTGGATCCAACCCCTTTGCCGTCAGCCTATACGCCATGTCCTTGGCCGTGACGATCCCAACAAGACTCCTTGAGCGCATCACCAACAGGCAGTGCACCCTCTTATTCGCCATCAACTGTGACGCTTCATAACCCGTGTTCTCGGGCAAGCACTCAACAGGAGCATCAGGACCGAGCTGGAAAATGGTGGCCATCACTATCCAAATTAATCACCTAAACCGCTGCTCACCACCAACTCTCAATGACTATTCAACTGATCGAACGTGATCTCAGATTTGTAATCAATGGTGATAGTTGCTAAATTCCCCCTTTGAGGTTGATCAACAATTAGACCCCGGATTTTGACACATTTTGACGCTTTTGGCCCTAAGTTTGGCTTACTCTCCTAAATTTTCGCGTCGTGCGCTCATGAAGCGCCAAAACACAGGACAATGGCAACAAGGGAGATTCATAGGCGAAGAGCATAGCAACCAGCCATACGATTCACACACAGATACCGCTTTACTACGAGTCTACAGCCCAGCAGATATGGAGATTCGGTAAAATTAAGGAAATTCCCTTTCAGTGATGCCTGAACGTTGGCACATGCCACTGAATATGCCACCCAATTTGAACAGATTCAGCGGAGTGTCGAATTCCACAACTTGTCCCTTGTCCAGCACCAGTATGCGGTCGTAGTTCAAGATGGTTCTCAGTCGGTGAGCGATGCAAAGAATGGTACAGTGAGCGAAATCGTTTGCTATCGTACTTTGAATCTTGACGTCTGTTTCGTAGTCAACACTGGATGTGGCTTCATCAAGGATCAGGACTTTGGAATCACGAACCAGGGCCCTGGCCAACGCCAACAGCTGTCTCTCACCAAGCGAGAAGTTTGCACCGTCGTCTTCAACCAGCTGGTCGAGATGGAACTTGTGTAGCGTTGTGATGTTAGTTTCGCCGATTTTGTAGGAACCTGTCCCCCGTGCACCATCCTCAACAAGCCAGCTCTTTCTCAACGCGTCCCACAGTTCAGCGTCCGAGCTTGATCCAAAAGGATCCAGGTTCTCCCTGATTGTGCCATGGAACAGGACTGGGTCCTGAGGAATAATCGACAGCTTTGACCTCAGGTCGCTCAGGCCGATAGTAGAGGTATCAACACCATCAATGGTGATGAATCCTTCACGGACAGGACTGACTCTGAAGAGTGCGTTCATTATTGTAGACTTACCAGCTCCAGTACGTCCACAGACGCCAATCTTTTCGCCTGGCTTGACATCAAACGAGACGTTCTTCAAAACCAATGGTAAGTTCTCACGATAACTGAGACTGACATTGTTAAATGCTATAGCACCTTTCTCTGGCCATGACTCTCTGGGCTTTGTTTCTTCAATTTCGAATGGACCCTCTTCAGGTAGATCCATAGCGTACTCGAACAGTCTCTCCACAGAGTTCATGTCATTTTCGACCATGGTCATGGATCTGAGAAGCAGCGACATCAAGCTGGATACCTGGATAATGTACGAGACGAGAAGACCAGAGGAGGACCCTGAAAGATGGAAAACATCGCAGACACACATGATACAGATGAAGAGGGTCAAGAGAGAACCAATACAATCCAACCGAATGGAGAGCCATCTCTGGTTTGCGAATGTGAGGAAGTAGGCAGAATTCATTTTGTTGATGAGTGATTCAAACCTGTGCTGGAATCTCTCCACAGAGGAGTATGACTTGATGACTTTCATGCCGTTCAAAGATTCGTTGAACAATGAGAATACCAATGATCTATTAACAGATTCCAATCTTTTGATATCCAACGCCGAAGATTTGTAAAATATGAACAGGTGAACGTAAATGAAAAGGGCGACTGGTACTGCAATCAAAAACCATGGAATATAGCATGCACACAGGATAATGGTACAACAGACAGTCGACGAGCTTGTAACGAATAGACGAAGCTGTTCAATCAAATCAGTGTCAAGGACGTCAACATCTTTTGTGAATCTGTTCAGTATACGTCCAATTGGTGTAATATCCATAAACCACATTGGTGTTTTCAGAAGTTTGGAAGAACTCATGTTAAACAGCCTTAGCCCAGCAGTATTGTTAAGGGATGCCATAAGGGTGAATAAACAAACAAAGGCCAGTGTAGAGAGCATGACGAGTAGCACATACAGCCCAGTATACAACTGGCTAGAATAACCAAATCTATCGCTCAACCAGAATGATAACCAGACAGAAAAGAATAACTGGAGAAACCCCGAGACAGCAATGGTTAGAAAGAATATTGGGATTATAAAACGACCAAATAGTCTGGATCCTAGAGCGAGATAGTTCAGATATACCTTGATGGAGATGGATTCCATACTTCTCTGTTCTTCTCTACTTTCAGCCTTTTCCTTCTTCGCAGTGGAGATTTGGGTTTGAACTCTTTGCAATTCTTTCTCCTCCTCATCATCAATCATAACGTCCTCCTCTTTCTCCCTTTCTTGTTCTTCTGGTTGTCGACTGAAATTCATTAAATTGGAAAAGGTCGGAGATGTCTGCAACAACTCAGATTGAGTACCAATCTGTAACGACCCAGTTCCATCAAGAATAATGATACGGTCAGCAGCATCAATCAAAGAGAGCTGATGAGTAGCAAGTAGTCTAGTTTTATCCTTTAACAGCCCACAGATACACTCTTTCATAATGTGTTTGCCAACAGTCGCATCAACCGCACTCAGAACGTCATCCAAGAGAATTATGTCTCTGTCAGCGTATACTGCCCTTGCAAGGTTAATTCTGGCCTTCTGTCCACCACTCAACGTTATACCTCGCTCACCAACTTCGACTTGGTCACCACCTGGTAAAGCCTTAAAGTCAACGTCAAGACCACAGGCAGAGACCACGGAATGGTATTTCTCTCTATTGTATGGCATTCCAAAGAGAATATTCTCTTTAATTGTTGCATTTTGGACCCATGGATATGAGCAAAACGTCAAAGAACCATAGACTTTGGCATCACCACTTTCCTGGCGCATTGTTCCCTCGATGGCGTTCAACAGCGAGCTTTTACCAGTTCCAATTGAGCCTGTGATGATTATCAGATCTCCACGCTTGATAGTCAAGTTGATGTTTCTGAGACCAGGAAAGCTGAGGTCTTTCTCCAAAGTTTCACTCGTTACAGAAGTTATCAAATCATCTCGTGGCTCAATATCCCATTGATATGTTGCATCGTGAATCTCAATAGCATTCGTAGAACCTTCAACAGGCAATCTGGAAACCGTTAGTTCGTCGTCTTCGGCCTGTAAGAACCCAGTCACTCGATCCATTGCAATAAGTGCATCAGTCGCAAAACTTGTGGCCATCGGTAATAAGTTGATGGGCATTCTAATCATGTTGAAGAGTGTAACAGCAGAGAAAACATTGTAAGACTGGAAATGGCTTCCAGAGAGATAGAACAGTGCGATAAATGTGAGCATTGTAGCAATTCCTGTTATAGAATTGATACCAGAGTTCATTATACTCTTGAGCATTTGCACTTTGAAGATGAACTCCTTCTCTACTCCTCTGTATTCCGCCAGTCTCTCCTTATAGGGTATTTCCCATGAGTAAAGCTTGATCATCTTCATGTTGTTGATGATTTCGTTGATTGCACGAACACGCTTGTCGATGAAGACATTTGCCTTGATACGTAGTTGCTTAAGCTTTGCATTGAACCAAAATATCGAAACCAAGAACAAGACAACAGTAGCGATACCAATAAGTGCTACAGCCCCCAGGTAGCAACACAAGACAATTGTAGCAATGCTCAAGGAGAGGGGAAATGCCCATATGAAATGGAAAACACCAACTGCAAGATCAATTCTTGCCAAATCAGCCATAACCAAGGAGTTGATCTTACCGTTTGGGTATTGAAACCTCACTTTGGACGATACATTGAATGCCTTCTTGTATATGACGTTTGTCAACACTGCTTTAACACAACCACCAACAACCATCGAAGAATGGAAGAAATGAGATAACGAGACAGAAGTGAGCATGATCATTGCGGATATACCGATGGAATAACCGATTGCATTGCCAACACCTGGATCATGTGACGATTTCAACTGTATATATCTAACAAGCTGTCTCACAAGCAAGGGCGACAAGACCTGGGCCAGATCCATAACGACTTTCGCTGTGCCAGCAATGAGCCAAAACTCTTTGAAGAAAGTATCGTTCAAAGCCCTTATAACCACCCACTTGGTGAAGGGGACATCATCACCGTATTTCAAGGAAAACGCCTCCCTCCTTTTCCTGAAGTTATCCTCAAATAGCTCAGTCATGGCCTTTATTTTGATGTTATCCGGCAATTCGTACATATCCTCATCCTCTACCCTTCTCAAATAGCCCTTCTTGATGATCTCAAAAGCCCATGCAAACGTCAGCAATGACCATAGATTGGCCGTGTAGTATGGATATTTCTTATCAGACGGCGTGATTGGCTGTGGTTCCTTACCAACCAGTAGCTTCAGCAGGGGCCAACCCTTCTTAACCTGAATCTTCTGCTGTAGCTCATTGTAATACTGCGAGTCGACACTACCGGCACTGGAACTGGCATCAACCGCATCGATGGCTTCCAACTTGCACGCTTCACTCATATTTCCTCCAAGGAAACAAAAATCTTAAGAATGAGTGGCCCAAGTAGTGGTTTCAGCATACAAAACACACACAGACGGCCTTGGAGGCTAACTAAAGCCCTTTTATGTCTTCCATGACCAAACCAGCTGATATAAAGTGGATGTCTGGTAATGTATGGCCAAAAGAAGAAAATTCTCGGGTTTTGGGCTCTAAACAATTTTCGTTTCCGCTTTTGGAAGTATAGCCGGAGAGCTACAAACTCTACACGTTTCACGTCCACTGCTTGACGAGAGCAATTGATCCTATTGGAAGGGAGCAGTATCAATCGTGTAATGCTCTCTGTGCTATCTACACAGAGCCTCGATCGCAGCGTGGTTTGGATAAACTGTTCGCTGGCTGGTGGGGGAGAGGGCGGCGTTATATGTCTAAATGTGCGTTGAAGCTATGGGCGTTGGTCTATGCGAGTAATATATGATCTAATCAATTGGACTAAACTGTAGAGAAAGAAAGCAGCATCGTTCTTCTATGTATAGTTTCTAAGCCAATTGCCTAAACAAAGTATGTGAGGATAGATGCTGGAATCTTGCCGGAAGCAGTGAGCTCCTTTGCAACTGCCTCCAAAGTGGACTTTGCCGTGGTGGCATCGGCACCGTTGAGCTTGGAAGCAACGTCTTGCAACACCAAGTCGTCGAAGGACTCAATCAACAAGTTGATGTCGGCATCGATAGCTTCAGCCTTTGCAGCGTCGCCAAAGTAGTCATTGTCCTTAGCAGCGTTTCTGATGGCTCTTTTGTTCTTCTTCTTAGCGGACTTGGCAGCTTCCTTGGACTTCTTTGCCTCAGCTTTGGCAGAAGCAGCAGCTTCCTCAGCAGCCTTCTTAGCAGCAGCCTCTTCAGCTTCCTTCTTAGCCTTGGCCTCGGCTTCAGCACGAGCACCGGCTTCACGTTCCCATTTGATACGCTCTTTCTCCTTCTTCTCGGCCTCTTTGAACAATTTCATACGAGGATCCTCCTTGAAAGCACGCTCGACAAGTTCCAACAAACGTCTGTTGTCTTCAGTCTTGGCTTTCTTTCTGGCAGCAACGTTCTTACGCTCAACGTAACGCTTGTGGTCTCTGTTGGAAGAGTCGTCTGGAACGTCCTCGTCCAAGAACTCAAACGTTCTCCAGGAGTCAAACTTGTACCAGAAGTTGTAGAAGTTTTCAACCTCTGGTTTAGTCGCATCCAACCCACCGAGCTGTGGAACAGGCTGCTTCTTGGAGAATCTTGCCTCGGCTTCAAAGAATGGGCCCCAAGCCTCAAAGAAGTCGTAGCTGGTCTTTGGAGCTGGTGGCGCAACCTCGGCACCTTCATCAACAGAGTCAAACTGCTGACGCTTGGTTGGGTCCATCAGCACTTCATATGCCTTCTGAATGATCTTGAAGAATCCATCTTGGCCCAATTGCTTCTCACCCTTCTTGTCAGGGTGGTGCTTCAACACAGACTTTCTGTGGGCTCTTCTGATCTGGTCCTCAGTGGCTCTGTATCTCAGATGAGAGATACCCAACACTGCGTACAAATCAGCAGTCTTCCAGTCACGAGGATCATGCGACAACAGTTCCTCGGATTGCTCCTCGTCACCAAGGTCAGCATCCTCATCGGTCTCATCAACAGTAGCAACGTTCTTCTCGGCCTCGATCTTCTCATACTCAGACCATGTGTGGCCTCTCAAGGCACGGGAGGCATGGGCAAGGAAGTAACGTCCAACTGGCTCGACAGGGCGACGCACTGGGGCAGAGTATTTGGCTGAGGCCTTGAAGTTCTCAGCACCAAAGTTAGCTGGCAATGAAGGAAGAGACATTTCGATGTTTAAGGGGTCCTTTTACTGGCCTTTCTCAATGCTTTTGATGAAGCTTGAAGAGTATTAAAAATTTTTTCCCTCCTCCTCTGCCCATCACCAAATTTTCAGCCAAACGGAGAAGGGCATCGCGGGCGTAAACCAGCTCAAGCACACTGGGCAGAACAGAACAATGTCAACGCTGAAACAGGATCTTATTCTATTCGCTGATACAAGCATCATTCCTCGTGGCTCGAAGGTGTGTGGCACAATCACACATACACAGGGGACCTCGCCGGCGTGGTTGGTTGAGTCTCTTGTAGAGAACGGGCTCTTCGGCACGTGCAGTATCAATGCTGATGGAAAGGCCAGTAGAAGTTTGAGAGGCGATGTTGTTCTCATCTCTCTGGTGCACGACGAAGGGTTTTACGACTTGAAGAGGAACTCTATAGCGTTGGGCGAAACCCCACAGTTCCACTTTGTCGATCTGTTTACAGACCTCTTTGGCAAAGTTGGCGATGTCGAGCACCTGAACAAGACGTTTGACCAGCTGGCGTCTCAGATCGACCAGTATACATCAGAGCATAAGACCGTGCTGATAGAAGGGCTCGAGTTCCTCATCGGGGCTACACAGCTCACGGCGTCGCACATCCTGAACCAATTGACAAAGCTACAGAGGGTATCGCAGGCAATATTCGTCATCTTGGCAGCTGATAAAGAACTGGTCCAGCTCAAGGTGAACGACAGCTCGTTAATTGAATTCAGGATGAATGAGCTGCTCACGAGACTGATTCACCGCTCTCACCTGGCCATCTCTCTAAGACCTCTTGAAACAGGCAAGGCAAAAGACGTCACCGGAACGCTAACCATATCCAGAGGTGCACTGCCTTTTGAAGGCTCTACAGAGGTGATGGAGAAAGAGTACCTATTCCTAACGTCCAAAGACCAGCAGACAAAGCTGTTCCTTAGGTAGTTGTAGCCAATCACGTTTTGTTCTCTTTGGTTTCATTCCAGCTGTAGTATGTAAACAAGTTATAGCACTCTCTACATCATCTATGGCGTTGCGTACGTAATTCGCATGCGAACAAAGGAAACTTGCCAAAGAGCACTTGACGTTGGAATTTGCACAGTTTACAACGAAATTGCACGTCCTCAGTTCCAATTGACGATGGACAGTACGATCAAGAGGAGACGAGCACGTAAGAGCTGTCTCGTGTGTCGAGAGAAGAAGACAAGAGTGAGTATTGTGCCGGCTTTCTTGTGAGCGTTGGTTCTAACAAGCTATGGAACGCAGTGCGATCAGCAGAAGCCGATATGTTCTATGTGTAAGAGGAGGAAGTATCCAGGAAAATGTGTTTATAAAGAGGATATAGAGGTGGATGAGACAGTGCAACAAGACCAGGAGAACTCGAAAGCTGACCATGATTCTTGGTCGGTGTTGCTTAAAAGGGTGCAGTTACTGGAGAACACGCTCAAAGAGCAACAGGGCAAACATCATCAACACCATGGATTCACACCAAGCTGTGGCTCAAATATCCACGACCTTCTCTCCGAGGACACCGACTGTCACACTTTGAACTTCAACAATGATGAGTTGCCTGGTACAACCTCCACGTTCACGGGTCCCCTGTCGTGGGTTTCTCTCGTGAGAAAGGACAGATACCTCAGCTCCTTCACGTTGACGTTACAGAAGCATCGAAGAGACCACGATTCACAGATACAGAACGATCCCACATGGATCGAGCTCTCAAAGGCGTATGCAAAGCACTTTGATTATGAAACTGCGCCTTTGAAGGATGTGAAGCAGTCATCCATTGTGGAAACTGTGACTGATCTCATGAAGGATAAAAGACTGGTATGGCTCCTTGTGGATAAGTTCTTTGACTCAGACTTTGCCCAAGTACTGCCAGTGCTCCTAAGAGAACAGTTCATTGAGCAGGTGGAGTCGCTCATGGGAGGGAGGAGCGAAGAAGACTCCAAAATCAACTTCACTAGGAGAGATCAATGTCCAATAGCTGGATTACTACTACTGGTGATGAGAATGGCGTCGTTATCAGTTTACAATATGAAACCATTGACCTCCATGGCAATGTCAGAGGATGATAACTACATCTTCTTGAACCCAGTCACCCGTTCAGCAGTGGAGGCTGCGGACCGGTGTATCCAGGAGTCTAAGAAGCTGCTCCAGGTTTCCCTACCGTTCTTCCAGCTGTCTTTACTCAAGAGGTACTACGAACTGATAGCACCTGAAGATTATGACTGTATGCGAGTGACTCCCCCAGGGAAGTTTGGCGAACTTTTACACTACGCCATACAGTGTTCCTTGAACAGAGATCCCAGCAAAGCTGATAATGGGCTGAACATATCGGATAACTTTGCAAGAAGACTGTGGTTTATGGTTCTACAGCTCGATATAAACCATCTCATGTTGGTTGGTGGACCATCTCTTCTAGACGAGAAGATGTATGATACAGAGCTCCCTCGTTTGAATGAATGTGAATCACCAACAGAATTCATCATGGATAAGAACATCGTTGACTTTGGTGCTTTAGCTGAACAAGCACACAAAGTATTGACGGATATATTGAGGGTGAGAGATCCACCAACTGTGCGTGAGATCAAGACGAAGCTCCAGCCAATACAGGAAAAAGTTGATCAGTTCTCAAGTGTTGAAGACATCATCAGTCGGCCATCAATAACGATGCTTGATAGAATGACAAAACTCAAGCAAATGTTCATCCTGGTCAACTCAATATGTGTTCTCATGATGATTCACTATCATCTTTTCCTATACTACTGCAAACATAACGACCGTGAAAGCGCACTCGATCACTACATCAAGGTGTTGAAGATGACATCACGTCTGTACCCTACAATTCTCTTTTTTGACCAAAACAACTCGATCTATGACATGTCGGTCCATTTTGGTTGTGCAGTGCTCTTTGTTCCTAAACTAGAGATGTTCTTACACAAGACTATGCATATCTTGTGCAGCATCGTTGCACGTATCAAGACCTTCAAGCTGATCAGCTCTGGACCTAATGTGAGGAAAATGGCTGTTATGGACAAGATCGTAATATTGGTGTTGGTATCCCTAACGAACATTCTCAAGGCCTTTGAAGTGATGTCCTCCACTCATCTTCACGCTTGGATTGTGAGCAGAGTTGCATCATTTGCAGCTAAGAGATTATACACACTCGAACCAGGTTATTCCATGGTCCCCACTGAGATAGATTTGGATATAATACGACAATTCAATAGGTCTGGTGATGACGATGAAATATTCTTCCACTTTACAGAGTGTGATTTAGAGCGTATTTATCAAACGTTATTACCCTTCAGTGAGACGGATAACAAGATTTCATCAACAGGTCTGAAGATCATGCCGGATACCTCAGGTGAAAGTTCAAGATGGTTAATGGAAACAGTCAGAGAGCTGGCTGAAAAGAGGCCGCAAGCAGAGCCAAATAGCATTCATACATCGGTAACTATGAGCCAAAATGAGAAATTGGGCTCTACAGCTGCAACTGTTAGAAGTCCAATTGCAACAACTACGAGATCACCTACAGCTGCAGACAACCCCTTATACGAGACTAACTTCGCAATGACAGATTTCACCAGTGATGAACTGGAGACTTATTTCCTCACACATACTTTTGGATAGATACGATACTATGTGAACTTGCGTCTCCTTCTGTTCTCGTGTATATTGTCCAAAGTAAACTCCACTGCACACCTGGTCCACAGGATCGGAAGCACTGGCCATACGCTCTTCTCTCCAACCAGGATCCAATATGGAATGTTTTCCATTGTTCTGTGAACATCAAACACCCTACCAAAGTCTCTTACAAGGGTTCTCAGCTCTGGAACTATTGTAACTTCACTAGAATTCTGTGGCATCTTTTCATCTACTGCCAGTCTCTTTATGAAGCTGAACAGTAATCCTGTTCTATCAAGAAGTTCAAAGCGATGCTGTAATTCGAGGCCAAATAGCCTTTGCATCATTCTGATGGGCTTCCATCCATTTTGATGTTTTATATCATTGACAATTAACGGAGCAAGGTATGGTCTTGCTAAAGAAACGATAAAGTTATTCACATTGAACAGCTCAGTAACTCTTGTGTAGGGACTCTCAGCACTGTAGCTTTCACTTCCTTTCTGAGGTGTTAAGAACTCACATGGCTTGCCATTTGTAAAAGTTGCAGGTACAATATCATTATCGAGGTTTTTAACGTGTAGATCAACATGGTCAGACAACACGCCTGTTCCAATCGACGCATATAAAGCCGACCATATGAGAACATTTGGAGTTGTCACGTAGTTAAGTAAGCTGGGAACAGCCTTATCAGTGGGATGGACTATGATGTTGAGAATTTTATCTGTTTTCATGTACGCCTCTTCAAAGGTGATATCACCAAGGTGGTCCTTGACATATTTCATGAACACCAATATATCTTGGGAGTATCCCTTCGTTATCACGTTTTCAATGATGGAGCCATATCTCTCATCAACGTCATTATTCAGACGGTCGATTTGGGATATGGAGTCTGATATGTTTGTCAATGTCTCCGCAAGTTCCTGGTTTGTCAATGTACAGACAAGTGAGGCAACTACAGCACCAACTGCGCTTCCAGAAATGATTCTGGGTAAAAGCCCTTTGAAATACAATGCCCTGACAACACCCAAATGGCACAATCCGAACAGTGAGCCACCCTGTAGCACCAAAGCTGTGCTTCCGAAGGCTTGTCTCGCATCATGGAAGAAGTCCAGCTTCAATTGATTCGACGTGAGCTCATAATCACTGAAGGGAACATCGTCCAAATACTCCAGACAGTGCAACACTTCCGAGATATAGTCTTCGATCAGTATCTTCGTCCCGGCATACGACCTGTTGAACAGCTCTCTATTGGATATTCCTCCAAAGTTTCTCAGGAAGGACCCCATTCTGAACAGCTTGAGCAGGGCATCAAGGTCACCACTCTGCCGTGCCTGCTTCAGAGCCTTGAGTCTTTCCGAGATGAGCCTGTAATCGTATTTCTTCGAAGTGAAGTTGTGTCTCCACAAGTCTGAGCCATTCAGCCTATCCAGGTAGTACGCACCAGCTTGCCACTGCTCGTAGTCCTCGGCAACAAGTAATTTCGTCTTTGCAATGCTCACGGGGGACTTCCTGTGCCATAGATGTACGAGTTTCTGACACATGGGTTAGTAGATGTAAGGAGTTCACCGCATGGATTCCCGTAGATTACACTCACTCGTACCCAGAATGTACTAATGTCGAAGATGAAATCAATAAGCAACCATAATGATGGTGGAATATGGTTCTTTATGTACTCGTTAGTACTCGTGGTCGCCTATGCTGGGCTCATCACCTACTCTGCCCCCCTCCTCCAAAAAAGAACGAAAGTAACATACAAGTATCAAGGACACAAAGGACAGTACAAATGATCTTGGTTGTACAAGCATACTTCTATGTCTGTTAAGTTACAACAGCTATATTAACTACTAGTGAGGTTTTGAAGACGTTCGTATCTATACGAAACGACAAGTTGTGTCATCTGTTGGTCTCCGCAAGTCCTACAGCCGTTACGCGACACACCATCCCACGATATCCACTTTACTAACTGTACAAGCTATTCTTGGGCTTCATCTGATGGGCGTCAATGGTGCTCTGTAGCATGAGTAGTGTTGAGCGACACGATGCCTGTGCCTGTCCGGTGAAGCTCACCGGGACCTTTGTTTCCAATTGCTTCACCACACGTGCCAATGGTTCCAGCAAGGGGTGCTTGTCGGTGACGATACACAGAGAAACTGCCTTGAGTTTGGTCATAAGAGTATCGTAGTCAACATCGGTTAAGACGTCCTTGGAGTCCACAAGATGCTGAATTGCGCCGAGGATGGACTGATACACAACCTTGTCCATTTCCTCCTCTGTAGTCGCCAAAGTCACCGGTGGTAGTTCATCCACCAGTAAGGAGAGTGCCAACCACCTTCGAAGCTTAGCAACCACCGTTGACACAGTTGGCACCAGTGTGGAGACAATACGATAGTTGTAGTCGATTAATTCCGTTAGGGCGATCCATTTGGAGGTGATGAGTTCAAACTTCACATCTCTTATTGATCTGTACTGCCATTGGAGGAGGCCATTGACGATGCGCGTCAGTGATAGGCTCACGTTAGATGAAAGAACCCTAAAGTCCATCATAACGAATCCCAGCACTTCAATCATCCTTATGAATATATTCTCACGGTACTCCGATTGTTTACAGACCAGTTTGGTGATGTATTCCAATTTGGCTATGACAAGGTCGACGCTTTGTCTTTTACACTTTGAATTGAAATCCAGGTCATCGTGTGTCAGTGTCTTCATGGATAATCTATCTTCAGATACTCCCAGGGCTTCTAAGAGTGAATCAATGTCCGATATTTCAAAGGTACGTTGTCTATCTTGGATTGCCTCTGAACTTCTCTTCACCAGGAAGACACTTGGCTGGTTAACGACTTCAACATCTGTCAACAATGACTGCCCCCGGTTCACAGCGAAAAGCGCCACATGTGGTGAAGATGGATTCTCTTCATAGCTCCAAGCCTTGTCGAAATAGAAGAAATCCTTCAACCGTGGGTTCTCTTTGTTTTGAGAAAGATACTCGATGTAGGATTCATCCTTGAGCACTTCCTTATCCAGCTTACTCTCCAGCAACTTTCTAAACTCTTCCTTTTTCGTGATGATACTCAAAGACTTCGCATCGTCCTGTTCATGGAGCTCGAATAGCCTAGCACTCTTCTTCCAGAGTTTGAGACTGGAATCATCCATTAACTCAGGAATGAGATTCCTCTTTGGCGGTGATCTCAGCATCGCGCAGCCCTCAATAGCTGAGAAAGGGTTAGCGCCCACCGCTGCTTTGTCGGCGTTCTTACCTCCTAGAAGAACAAGGAGATCATCATCACTGTCACCGTCGCTATCACTATCAGAGATCTCCACCATTAAACTCCCCTTATCCTTTGCTTTAGCCTTGTCTGTGTCGTCACGCTTCGCTGACGACGGCTTTGATGGAGAAGACGCTGGCGAAGGGTTATCCTCGCTCTTCTTCCTTGGAGAGGACAACAGTAGATTTCTGATGTCGTAGCCTGGCTTCGCAGGAACTGGTTTCAACCGCTTGGGTCTCCTTCCCATTCTTCAATGCCTATTCGATGGCGCTGCTGGCCTGTGTTCGTGATCAAGCGTGGTTCTAATCTGAAGCTAGCGCGTTTTAAGAGAACATAAGTGCGGGAACTCCTATAATGGGAACTCGGTGCCACGCGCACACTACGCTGTGTAGAAGCACTACGGTGTTGATAATTCTACAGTTAAAGTACAGTTCGCAATTCAGTCGGCACGTTAATCTACTGAGCCATTGTCCGATTACAGCGGTCTCTCTTTAGGCAGGACGATCTTACCACTCTGTTCTTTTAATCTCATCTGGACAAGCTTCAACAGCTCATAGATGATGCTCAAGATAGGAGCCGCCACGGCGTTCTCCCTTGCGATGTCCAGCGCATTACCCAAGATCACCTGTAATTCGATCTGGTTGCCCTTTCTAACGTCGACAAGCATCGAAGGCGCGTAGTAGTGACCATCGTCCGAATGGATCATTCCATGCTTCAAGGATGGGTCCAGGGTGACGCCGTCAGACTTCGCAATGGCGATGATCTCATCCATTGCCGGCTCGATGAGGGTCTCAATGCCGCCAAACATGGTCACTCTACCGACGTCGAGGTTGACGAGTGCACACACCGTGTTGAACGTCGCGTTGTACAACAGCTTTCTCCAGCGTGTGAACTTGACATCCGGGTCAACGATGCACTTGTTCTGTGGTGTTGAATACAGCTTGACGAACTCATCGACTTTCTCCTGCTGAAGCTCTTTACTCACAACGCCGTTATCAAAGTAGCCCACGGTCAAGAAATCAGGGCCGTTTTGATGGACCTTGCCGCTGTAGTTGGCAGAGCTGATCATGCTCACACCTGAAAGGACAATATTGCCTGGGAATCTCTTGAACACGGGCTTCTCAATGCCCAGTCCATTCTCCAGCAGGACGATAACGGTGTCCTTGGTCACTGCATCCGCGTAGATGTCCTCCACGTTGTATACATCCGGGATGTTCTTCACCACCACAACAACGTAATCGTAGGGGCCAAACTCAACAGCCTCCTTCACACTCTTCACATAGTGGTTTGGTCTCCAAGAGTCGATCTTCCCATAGTCACACGAGTCCAACTCATACCCGTTGGACTTCACGTGTTCGTAATCGGACTTGATCACCGCAGAGACCTCACAGTCAGCGTTCAACTGTAAAGTGTAGGCTGCAATTACACCCACACCTCCGAGACCAACAACGAGAACTTTCTTAGGCATAATTGACCTTCCAATGGATACCTTCGTCCTTGAGCTTGATAATTGAACCTCTCAGTGGGAAATGCTTCAAAGTCTGGCCCGGATGCCCTTTATAACTGCGATATTCGCCGAGGGCTGTCGCATTGGTTTATCAGCGCGCGAACGGCTCCACCTGCGAGATCCAGCTGTGGGTGTTTGGGGTGTCCAGGTGTTTGGGTATTTGAGGTGTCCAGGTGTGTGGGTGTCCAGGTGTTTGGTGTGCGGAAGGCCTTCAGCAGAAATGTCTGGATGTGTCAAGAGCGCTCCCTCACCAGGTGCCCGAACCGAGACGACCGGGGGACACAACCAACACGCAGCTTTGTTGGGCAACCAGTTAGATTCAGTAACAACACACTCTCTCTGTGTATGTAGGACTACTTTGTATCGTCCAAGAGTCTTGTTTGAAGCTTCTTACTTTGGAACTACAAACTTTTGTTATATCAACTGATAGCGCAGGCCCTGTATTGTTGCTGATTGAACGAGAATACTGAGCCATCGTGCCATCTCTCCTTATGGATATTGACTACGTTAACGAGGAAGGTAAGTTGAATCTCCCCCAGTTGGTTGAATATGGAGCTTGTACTGACACCACACCCGCCCCTCCAAGACCTTCTTGCTTTTGCAAAGGCACTGAACAATGACTTCGACACTGCTTCATCAACCACGCCGAGTGGTGGTGAGTCTGCGGTCTCGTTATCTTTACAGCAGCCACTGGACCAGCATGTGCCACCGGTGGAGAAGATCGTTTCACAGAACGATTGGGGCCCAGTGCACTCAAGACTCGGTGATGCTGGATCGCATAAGAAAAGAGATGAGTATTTCCAGAGCTGGTCGTATAAAGTGCTTAGATTCCCTATCCTTATACCGATTCTTCTATGGCTATGGGTATTAATGATTGCCTATGTGTTCCTACGGTGCTACATTGCCATATATGAACACTTCTTCAGATGGCAAGGGAAGAAGAAGCAATTGAGGAAGGCACTGAGAACTTCAAAGAATTATCAGGAATGGATCCAAAACGCCATGAACATGGATAAGTACCTTCATCTGGATTCGTGGAAACACAAGAAGCATTTCTACTATTACGACTATGATACGTTGAAGCTCACCATTGGAAAGCTCAACAAGTTCAAGCAACAAGGTGACATGGAACGAATCATGCTTGTGCTGCAAAGCTGTGCAAAGGCAAATTTTGCAGGAACTGAGAACCCATTGCTTTACTCTCAAACCTATTATGGAACAAAGGAGATTGTAGATGAGTACAACGCATTGGTTAGTGATTTGTTAGAGATGATCATCCAAGACCAAACCATTCCTGCATCAAATAAGAGGCTGTTCTTCAAGTCCTTGAACAAGAACTTTGGTAGAACTGCCCTGTGTCTTTCCGGTGGTGCAACGTTTGCCTATAACCATTTTGGTGTCGTTAAGGCCTTATTGGAGAATGACCTACTACCTCAAATCATCACCGGGACGTCAGGAGGAGGCGTTGTTGCTGCGTTGGCAACAACAAGAACAGAAGCTGAGCTGAAGGAATTGCTGAGACCTGAATTAGCTGAAAGGATAACAGCATGCACAGAAGGCATAACAACGTATGTCCCAAGGTGGTGGAAGACTGGTGCAAGATTTGATGCTGTTGATTGGGCCAGAAAGGCTATGTGGTTTACAATGGGCTCCATGACTTTCCAGGAAGCCTTTGAGAGAACGGGCAAAGTGTTGAACATCACAACTGTTCCAGCAGACCCACATTCGCCTGTTATCTTGTGTAATCACATCACTGCTCCAAACTGTGTGATATGGTCCGCAATGCTGGCTTCCAGTGCAGTTCCTGGAATCTTGAACCCGGTTGTGTTGATGATGAAAGACCCACAGACCCAGAAACTTGTTCCCTTCAGCTTTGGTACGAAGTATAAAGATGGATCGTTGAGAACTGATATCCCAGTTGAGGCACTGAACATGTACTACAATGTGAAGTTCAGTATTGTGAGTCAAGTGAACCCGCATATATCACTGTTCTATTTTGCACCAAAGGGGTCTGTTGGAAGACCTGTTTCTCGGTCAAAGACAGGACTGCGTGGTGGATTTGTTGGAGCTGGGCTAGAAAGCTTTATCAAGCTGGAAAACCGGAAATGGTTACAACTCATCAAAGGACTCGATCTGTTGCCTCACTTCATGAACCAGGATTGGTCCAACCTTTGGTTGCAAAAGTTTAGTGGCACTGTGACGATATGGCCAAAGTTGAATCCATTTGACCTCAGATTCATCCTAACAGACCCAGATGAGAAGAGACTGGGTGCTATGATACGAAACGGTGAGATGAGCACGTTCCCAAAGTTATTATTCATAAAGCATAGACTCAACATTGAAACGAAAATACGTACTGGTTGGAAAAAGTACAAGAGAACTCCAAAAGGCCAAGAGAACGGTGTATCGGGACATAATGAGCTACTCAGTGACTCTGGCGACGAAACAATGCCCCAGACCAGCTTGGAATACCAGGTCAAACTTGACGAGAAGAACGACGACAGTGACCACGACGGTGAGTACATCGTTGAAGAGGGAACGCTTGAGCCCATCATTGACCCCATAAACAATATTAGATCTACATTGAAGAAAAGACCCAATTGGTGGTGAAATCAGTGCGTGCATATATATACACCCCCTATGTTATCAAAAGAAACATCCCAGTGAATAAATCACCATCGTAGACTCTGCAAATTCTTCTCCCACGATCCCTGTCTATAGAACGATGTCTTGTTCCCGGGGGTTGGGCTTGAAAAGTTGATCGGAAAACCCCGAACAACGTGTTCCAGCCTGTAATAACTGCTCACAACGACAACCAGGGAAAACAACCACCAATGGCTCAAATCACAGCATTGTTACTGGACATCGAAGGCACTGTTTGCCCAATTACATTCGTGAAGGATTGTCTCTTCCCCTATTTCCTCAAGAAGCTTCCAGATGTTTTATCACTCGTGGAATTCCCATTGGAGTCCTCTTCTCAGGATTCGCCAATAGTGTCTGTGATTGAAGGGTTCCCTCCAGAGACCAGAACAACCAGAGAGGCCTTGCAAGACCACATTGTACAGCTAGTCAAGAACGACGTCAAGGAGAAGAACTTGAAGGCATTACAGGGCCTTGTGTGGAATGAAGGCTACTCCTCTGGCGAGATCAAGGCTCCTCTGTACCAGGATGCCATTGATTTGATCCAAGTACAATCTCGAAACCACAAGGTGTATATCTATTCCAGCGGGAGTGTTCACGCACAGAAGTTGTTATTTGGACACGTTGACATCAACGGGAAGAGTACCGATATCAATGGATATCTCAGCGGCTACTTCGACATCACAACCTCCGGTTATAAGTTTGAACCTCAGAGCTATAAAAACATCATACAGAACATTGGTATCCCTGGACAGGAGGTACTTTTCCTTAGTGATAACGTCAAAGAAGTCCAAGCTGCTTTAGAAGCTGGGCTGAAAGCACATGTGGTTGTCAGACCAGGCAACTCACCACTCACACAAGATGAAGTAGAGAAGTACAAAGCAGTCGATGACTTTTCCCACCTACAACTGTGATGTGACAAAGAGGTAAAAACAAGAGTATATTTTCACATAATGATAACAATTATAACAATTACTAATGTAGCCAGCACTTCTCTGATCGAGGTTTACTTCCTTTTTTCCGCTTGCTTTGATATCTTTTGATGGTTCTTGGGCCTTCGTCTAGATTCAAGCATGGTCATTAAACAAGATATTCGCAGCAAGCTCCTCATTCTTATCGCAAGCAAAGTATACCTGTACCACTGTTCCTCTGTCGAATCCCAACTCCATCAATCTGTTGATCGCATTCTCATCGTCTGGTGTGATCTGTGGTAACTCTTCGCCCTCTCCTAACTGTGGTTGTGCCAGTTCACCACCTTCAACGTCTTCCAGCCCTTCTGGGCCTTGGAGTAACATTCTAATAAACTCTTCTGGGTGCTGTTGGATAAGACTGCTCAACTGTGGATTCTGCTGGGCCAACATGGTCAGCAATCCCTCGAGGGCCTCTGGGGATTCCTGTGCAAGTCTTCTAAGGCCCTCAGCGGAGCCAAGGTCGATGTTTCCGGCAGCATTAGCACCTCCTGGACTTGAAGCATCAGCACCGCCAATTGCGCCCCCAGCACTTGCGGCAGCAGCAGCAGCAAACAGATCGCCATGTTGGTCGTCGTCATCTTCATCGGCATCCGCATCACCAACAACAACATCCTCTTCTACAATCTCCTCGATGGCTGTTGGGGCATCCGAGGCGCCTTGTTCTGCTTCCTGGCCTTGTTGATCTCCGCTCTGCTGAGCTTGTTGTTGTCCCTGTACAGGAACCTGAGCAGATTCTGGGATACCAGTCAAGAGGTATTCCACAGCACGATCTGGATTGTTGAAAGCAGCCCTGAGGGCAGCTTCCACCTGTGATCTTTCATAGCCCATCTCCATGATATTTGCAATGGCTTGTTCTCTTGCAGAACCAACGGCAAATGTTGAAGCATCAAAGCTCTGTGGTTCGGCAGAGGCACTGGATGCATCAACAGCAGCAGAGTTCGATGGTGTCTGTTGTTCTGGCAGAGCAGCAGCAGCAGCAGCAGCAGCAGCAGGCGCTGGTTCTTGAGCCGGTACCTGAGCTACTGGTGCCTGAGCTCTTGGAGCAGTTGGTGTTTGTGTTGTTGTTGGTTGGGCAGGTGTGGATGGGGTCGCCTTCTTGACAGCCTTCTATATGGACACAGCTGTTAGTACACATATTCATACGGCTCGCAACGAGATAACTTACTGAGATCATGAAGATCACCTGATCATCAGCCTTGATCTTTGTCTCCTGGATGGTCTTATCGTCCTGAAGAACTTTCCCTGTTGCAAAACATGTTAGTACGACCCTAAACGTGTTCAAGCCTGCCAAACACACGTACCGGAATACACAAACTTCAACTGTGAAGCCTCAACACCTTTGATCTCCGCCAACTTCTTCTTAGCGTCGAGAACCTGTGGACAAGTATGTTAGCATAGATCACCAATTATAGACACTAAAGACATCGTACTAACCGTCTCTTCTGGTGCAACTTCCACCGGGATCTTCTCCTTCTTAAAGTCCTTAAAGATGACTTGCATTGTTGATACTGCTTGCTAATGAGATGGAGCCAAGTCTCGAGGGTTTAATACCAAAGGTCGCGTTGCTTTTATACCCCGTGTTGGTGAATAATCAACTTTTCAAGCGGACACGGATGATTGGACGACGTCGCTATTTTTTCTCTCTTTGTGGTTTTTACGTGTGGTGCCTCTCTTTAGCGCAGAAGAGTGGCAAAAAACAACAATTACTACTTCTACAACACGACGCGTGGTATGGGACGCGTATAAAGCAGCTTGGCGAACTGAGACTGAGAGACAGTGAAGATGAGCAGAAGGCCTTTGAAGTACCGTAGTGATACGTCGTCAGAGGGGGCACCGGTGAGAGAGGCGAGTGCGATCCGGGGTCCCAATAGTGCACTTACGGAGTTTCTGCGACAGCAGGGCATCAGTGCTGAGGATATCAGGCGTAGGCACCTTGAACGGATAAACGGTGAAGAGCAGGGGGGTGAGGGAGAGGAGGATGGTGGTGAAGGCGGAGGAGAGGACGGAGAGGCGTTGTTGGAGGCTGTTGAAGAAGGAGATACTGTCAGGAATGCTGCTGATGAGCAGATGGCGCAGGAAGAGCTGGAGATAAGGATTGCGTCTAGAAGGAAAAGAAGGGCAGCAGCTGGTAAGGACGATGAAGATGAATACACAGACTCTGAAACGGAGGATGGCATCGACAACGACGGAGACCGTGTTACTCACACGAGAAGGAAAATCGTTGGTGAGTCTGAAAAGTGTGCCCACTGCTTCAACGATTTTGTCGTTAACGTCTACTCCAAGATCAGCGAAAGTGGTGGTTATCTATGCCCTGATTGCACAAAGAGACAACTGGACAAGGAACGTGCGATTAAGAAGAATCAACTCATCTCGAGGAAGAAAAGACAGAGGCTTGCAGTGGCACTGCTGGATAGACAGGACGTCAAGTTCCCATCGCTTTTAGACCTCGCGATAAAGAAAGTCACCGAGAGGATCTATGACGTTGAAGACCTTGGTGACATTGGCGATGTGAACATGAAGAAAATTGCCAAGATTCTATGCCGAAACAGATCATTGGATGATAACACTGTCAAGTTGTTCTTGAATACGCATCTCTCAAAATTGGAGTTTTGGGATTGTTCTGGGTTGACGTCAAAGTCGTACAACCAGATCGCAGCGTATTGTCCAAATTTACAAGAGTTAACTCTCCTTATGTGTGGACGCTTACACAATGATAACCTTAACTACTTCTCTACGAATTTATCCAAACTGACAAAGCTGGACCTCGATGGCCCATTCCTCATAAATGATGCTACTTGGAAGAATTTCTTCAACACTGTTGGTGATAGGTTGACAAGTTTCAAGATTGGAAACACGCATAGATTTAGCGATGACTCCTTCTTGACACTCATGGATAAATGTGGTGCCAATTTGAAGAGTTTGAAACTGTCTAGACTCGATGGAATCAAGAAGAAAGAGTCATACGATGTTATGCCAGCGTACTTAACAAAGCTACAAGAGTTGGAAATCTCATATCCACAACACGAAGATCTGGTTGATGATACGCTCCTGATCAATTTAATGAGCATAAACGGGGAATCTCTTTCGACTTTGATCCTTGACGGGTGCTCTGGATTGACAGATGATTTTCTCATCAACGGTATAAGACCTTTTGGTGGCTCTTTACGTCACATTTCCTTACAATTACTCGATCAAATCACAAGTGAAGGTTTTGTAGGACTGTTCCATGGTTGGAGTGATAATTATGGCCTAAATGAGGTTTATCTACGGAAGTGTTTTTCCTTGGGAGACGAAGGCATCGTCGAGATGCTGTTACATTCTGGGTCGTCACTTGTCGAGTTATCAATAAACTCGATAAAGGACTTAACTGCATTGACATTCCAAATAATGAAATGTGCAAATCTCACATATTTAGATGCAGGCTTTGTGCGCTGTATTGATGATGAGGTTCTTGAACTCATTGGCAAGAATTGTCCTCAGCTGAGAGTTATGGATTGTTATGGTAACAACAGATGTACTTCCAACGCTGTAATTAGAGAAGGATTAAAGGTTATTGGGAGACAGAGTGATACGGTTTGAGACGTGTATATAGCTTTATAAAAAATGGGTTGGGAATATAATTCTATCTCACTGGAACAATTCAGGTACAACCTCTGGTAGATCCAATATATCTCTAATGAGTAATGCACCTTCTGGAGTCTTTCCTAGGTCTTCATCTCTCTCCACGAAATGGATCGCTTTTTTGAACCCAAGACCCACTGCAGTTCTAATGTTATCTGCACTGTCATCGACAAAGTAGCAATTACTGAAATCTGTTCCACCAGCCAGCTCCAAAGCAGAGTGGAAGGCATTTGCGTTAGGTTTGCAGATCAAATCATCTTGAGCATAATCACAGTACCACAATCCGTCGAACATATCACCGATCCCCAGTAGAGAAATAACGCGTTCTCCGTGGTTTTTATAGGCGTTTGTGAATAGCCACATACGGTCAATTGAGCCACTCGATCTCAACGACTCGAGCATGGAGCGTAGCTTGAGGTCCTGGCTGAGCACGTTTTGCAATGGCAAGGCATCGTCGACTTTCCTGTTGTATTCCAATGCGTCTATTTTGTGGAATTTGACCAACCCTTGGATTGCCAATCCATATTCTTTGTAGTATTTGAACATGAGGACATGCGCATCTTCGTCATTGAGATCCAAAGTTCTCTTGAAGTATTCATGGATGTACTCTTGCATCATATCGTGTATAGCAAGGGATCTCTTGTACAAGCAGTTGTCAATGTCAAAGAAGAAGATCTTCTTGTTCTCTCTCGGAACAACTGGACCATAGCCCAGAGGCAACACAACCTTACAGCCAGGATAGTCCAATGACTTTAGATGTTCTTCATTCTCTCTCAGGTTGTCGTCTATATGTTTGTTGTACTCCTGTGAGGAGGAATAGCCCGAGATTTTCGTACAAGTCATGATGTTCCTTCTTATCTTTAGGTACGTCGTTGCTCTTGATAACATCCAAATCTCTGTAAAACGCACACAGATCCAGGCCACAACACGGGTATTTTGATCAAGATGGTATAAACAACTTGAGCGCTGATTGAGCCGTTTTGCACTCTCTTTTCGTTGTTTAGTGCTTCTCTGTACGATATTAAAGAGGTAAGACCCGTTGTGAGGACGAGCATATGTGGACAAGTTCAACACTACGCACGTTTCCCCGTCGGATTACTACTTCAGGAATACGCGTGCCTCCTGATAGAAACATCTTACAACAAATACTTTACGGATGTATGCGAATTGCGGATTCTCATGTGATCTCCATATATACAGCCCGGCTTGTTTCTATAACTGGAACAGTTCTGAATCAAATTGACCCACTTGGCTCATCACACAAGAGAAATCAGTCATCATCTCGACTACTCCTTTACGGTTTCATGGTGAGTCCTACAGCACGACAAAACGCTTTATTGATCTTCCGATATAGTGTAACGGCTAGCACGGTTCGCTTTCACCGAGCAGACCCGGGTTCGACTCCCGGTATCGGAGAGTTTTTTTGTTCTGAAAAGAAATCCCACTTATATTTTTGCCATGTCACGTGACTGTTAAAATCCAACAAAAGACCGACTCCACAGCCCAATCGATGTTCTGCACTCGATCATTTTAGGGGTGCGGAAGCGTAAAACGAAGCCGTTATCGTTTCCCCTTAATCTTTATCTGATTTCACACCCTTTTAGCGGAACCATCACGCTATCGTTACCCCTATGGAGTCTCATGATTGGACCTCTTACCAAGCTTCCCGATTCGTACATCTGATTGCGTCAGTCTGTTACCCTACTTGCGTATCGCCCCCGCCGCCGTCTCCGCCGTAGGGCAAACAGAAAAGAACTCCGCAGGCAAACTGCGCACAGAAAGGGAGAGGAGAAAAAATGATGGGTCCTTTTTAAACGACGGCAAAAGCAGAGAAAATTTTAAGGAACCATCAACTCATTCACAACATTTCAAGCCCACGAAACTACAACCACGTGATATCACCGTTGTTGAAGGACATATATAAACTTTACGCATACATACCTTGTTCGTTTGTTTGTGTCTGCGCCACTTGGAACGGATTTTAGTCGTACGTCAGGAACATAAACGAAGAGCTTAGCACTCCCATTGAAGAACGTTGGGTGGAAGAGTACATCCGTCGTTTGGCACATTTTTAGAACATAACGGCTCGATATAAATACCCTACAGGATATCCAGTTTAGAGAAGTTATACACAGGTTTTATCAGGAGAATAGATACATAGAGACACAAGGAGATCATAATGTTCAGACTCACGCAACAACAGGTGCTCAAGACCAGAATCACAGGTCAGGTGGTGAACACTGCGAGAAACTCCATCAACCACTCCATCAGATTCAACTCGGTTGCTATTGAGCGTACCCAGTCTCAGAGTAAACCACAGGACCCAGCTTCGCTCAGCTTCACCAATACCATCAAGAACGTTGCGAACTTGCAGAAGTCTGTCAACAACAACAAGAAGAACGATGTCAAGAGAGGGAAAGGTTACCACAACAACGACCACCATATTGATGCCTCGTCCCCTTGGTTCAAGCAGCTGTGTGCCTTCAGGGACTGTCTCTCGCACATTATTGACCTCAACGACCCATCATCACAGCCGTTCTTCTGGGACACTTTGAAGAAGGCCATGGTTTTGTATGATGATCTGAAGGGTACTCCAGATTTCCATGACTCACAGGTGAGTCTGCTCATATATGCCCTTCATACCGGTTTGAGAGCCAACAGAAACCAACTTACCAGATTGGCCAAAAAGCCAGATTATGATGCTCGTTCCTTCCATACCGACATGAACGAATTCATCAAGGCTTCTTTGAGACAAATAACCAATGATTTGCTGTCTGGTGTAGGTTCCGTCAACGAATCAGGTGCTATGCACTTGTTGACATCGCTGAAAGAGTTGAAGCTGGAGAATGAGGCTATTGCAGTCTGGAGTTCGTCCATGGAGAAGGAAAACTTGAAACCTGTTTTCCTCAGACCAAAGGTTGTTGGTGTCTTGTTACCAATCATGTACCAATGTGGTTCCAAATTCAATGACCTTGAAGAGCTTTACCATGAATCAAAGTCGTTAAACACCTCTCACCCACACTTGATCTCTGGTATGTTGAAGACATGCCTTGCCGCTGGTGAAAACAGAAAGGCGCTCGAGCTGTTCTCTGAGCTTTGTTCCTACAACGATAAGTCTACGTATTCTGCTCTTGTCGATGTTCACTTGGCTCTTATTGGTGACTGTAAGGATATTACCATCGCTAATACATTCTTTGAGAAGGCCATTTCAAGAGAAACTCCTTACAGATTGACACTTCATGTCAATAGTGTCAAACAGTTCATCCAGAACATTTGGACAGAGACTCATGATTTCGAACAAGTTCGTCAAGTTTGGGAAAAAGTTACCGTTTTCTATGGACGTAACATCCACCACGGTATTTCCTCTTCATTGAACAATACATTCTTTGATATATTCTTCGAAAATTATGCAGATAATCAGCAAGTTGGTTTGGAAACCTTGAAGAGTATCATTGCAACTTACAACGACATCAAGCCAATTGATGAACCATTCTTCAACATTATCATCTCCAAGTGTGTTGTTTGGAAAGATAAGGTCACGATTGATTCTTTGTACAGTGCTTATGAGCTCTATAACTTGAAGAAGACGCAGGTTTCTCGTCGTATCTATCTCAAGTCTCTTGGCTCTGTTGATGCTACTGCAAACGAGATCCTGGACGCCTGGTACGATCTTTTGTTATTCAATGACTCTGAACGTAATACCTATATTGCCAATGCTGATTGGGCTGCACTAAGAGATGCTACCTTTGCATCTAGTGAAGATAGAGCGTTGCTTTATGCTCAAATTTTGAAACAATTTCAATGTTTCTGCCGTGACCAGTCTCAGTTCAAGAGACTTCACAGTATCGTTAACCTTTACCCAGTTCTCTCGCCTTATTTGAAGGACTTGAGCAGTGTCGATGCTAGGGGTATCTTTGTCCCACAGTTCCAAAACTTGCAACGTCATAATTTCTAATGCTATTCATTTGATTTAATTTATTCCCTGTCTCTCATAACTCATATTCAAACTTTTTGGGGACTACAAACTGTATATATATAACTCTTAGGACCCATGATAATAATGAACATATATATTCTATGATTAGTTGTTGTAGCTCTGTAATTCATTTTGAAATCAAAACACAATGCTTTAAAATACCTCAAGACAAGATATTGTTGATGTGGAACCGGAAAGAGACTCATCATCCATAAACACAAGCTGGAATTCATCATCAATTGTATACTCAGCGTCTTCAAAGCTCTGGACTTTTAAAACTTCTTCCTGCCAGTCTAGTATTGACTCCTTAAGTTTGTATAATTGATCTATAAGTTCCGTGTACCGAGAAGCGTAATCGTCAAATCCTATGACGACAACGTCTGGAGTTGAATACGGGCTTTCGTTGAATGTTGTAACGTGACGAGAGGAGAGAAGTAAAAATTCTAAACAGGAGTCCAAAAGTGTGTTGAAAGTTTCCAGCTTAAGTTCCCACTGCATAGAATCATATGTCGGTACAGATAGCGTTGATATCTCACTGGTGATCTTTGACGCATCCTGTCTGAATTTGTATAGATGCTCCAACATCTCTTCATCTGTTTCAAGTGAAAGAAGCGTAACGTATGAAAAGTTCAACGTTGCTATGCTATCGTGTAAACGCTTGTATTGTGCTGAAGAACAAGTCTTTGCACATTGGTGCAATATAGTTTCTTCGAGTACTGAGAAGCACACAAGAACTAGCTCACAGAGTAAAGTATGATCCTGTTTAAGTCCTTCAATCATCGTTCTTTGGTTACAGTGAAGTTATAGTTGCTCCAAGTGGGCGTGTAAATCCTCTAAAGTTATTCCAAAGAACGTTTTATATATCAAAGAAACGAATTACTCATACCCGATGTGTCATAATTGTTTCTCTAGTTGACTCATATGCAAAAGTATGCAGCTCGATAAAAAAAGTTTTTCTTCCGTTGATCGGAGTCAAAACAAAAGATCTGTTTCGGGCCCTAGCCGAAGTCGCAGCATTCGGCATCCGGGCCCATAGCCGATTATTCTTATACAATGGATACGACTGTTCGATTCCAATAGATCTGTTTGAATTGAACCGTTGGTGTTTATATTAGGCTCAACGTGTATGGTAATGTAGCTATAAGGCCGTGCAATGTATGCTTGAAGACATTGAACTGCGGTGGTTTTTCTGTAAGTGACTTAGCGAGACCATAGAAGAATGCCTAAATAGAGACGAGATTATAGATCTCGAGTCAGTATGGAACGACTTCACACGGGTTTCCGTTAGTTCTGGGGGAAGAGGGAGTAGTGGAATCTCGGTCAACGGTATTGTAATTTATTTAGAGATGTGCTTACAACACTGAACATTAATGAATGGTAAACAAGCGAATCTAAACTGTTAGATGTACACTACAACAAAAGAAGAACAGTTGTTTCCAGCTGGATCAGCCTTATGGATGGTATATATTATACTCAGATGCATGTTAGTAACTCTTTGGACCTTTCATGTGTTTGTCTCCCGTGGATGTAAGCTTCTTTTAAATAGAAAACATCTCACTAGTTGGTTTTCCCCAGGTTAACTAGAAGTTGTCACTTCATAAAAGAGCAAAGGGGACAGAGATTACAATTTGAAGTGAAGAAAACACATCAGAGTGCTGTGAGATGTTTCTTTGATGATGGAGCTGAATCAAAAGACTGCGAGTTGTTAAGGCTTTACACGGAATCGTCTTCAAGTGTTGAGCTTTGTCTCATTAAAGCATTTAACCTATTTCTCAAGGACTCCCTTACAGACTTCCCTTTACTAAAATGTATAGAGACGTGGTGAATCAAGTCGAAACCTACTTTGTCAACCTTTTGGCTACATTTGATTGTAACAACTCTTAGAAGAGCTGTCAGAGCTTTCAGAACAAGGATTAACCACGCAGTAAACTTGCTTCGACATGGAATTCCCTGTCAAAAGACACTTGGTGGCAGTAATCCACGCCACATCCCACATCCAATATTACATGCAGAGTGAATTGTAACATGTGTCTCACATCTGAAATCAATTAACAAGTCCAGGCAAGACATTGATGCAGTGATGATGCTACAAGCCTATGTAACTATAATTAAGACCTACAACCACCCGAAAAACGCCATACTTAATCTGTACCACATCATACACACTCACGCATAGCTCACTAGTGAAAATAATTACTTAAACCATTCAACCCCGTGGCCTAATCCACTGCTATGCAATATTTAGAGGTGTCCCAGTACACGCACAACAGACAAGGACCCCCTAGCGTATTTGTATGGAAGGAAGCACGATGCAACTTCCAACCGGTTTCGGGCAACGGGACTCTAACGACTAATGGTGGAATGAAAAGCCCACGAGGGCTACCGCATAACACTGAGCTGTGCCTAGAAAGAGTTGAACTCAAAGTAGAACGCAGCGACACACACGTTGGTCAAGAAACGTTTTCCAATTGTAAATTGTACGTCTCCAAGTTGTGACACCTCGACGGCTCTACGCACTTCAAGAGCACATCTGCCCCCCCCCCCCAAGCAAATGTTGCACGGGTAACGGGATGAGGTTATTTTGACCATTGCTCTGCCACGAGGTTCTGTCACAATGGCGCCCGCTTCGCATAGCACACATGTAATGTCCAGATCGAATATTGCACGAGATGCCGGGTCTCGCACGGAACCACACCTACGCCGTATACACAGGCCTTCAGTCCACCAATGACAGGCACCTGTGACTTTGAGCACATACATAACACGACCAAGTGCTGGCTGTAAAGATATCAATCACGGATCAAACAGCGAGTGTGTGTAATCGTAGTGGTGGGCAATTTGGCCCTGTGAAATTCCCTGCAACAAGCGCACGGTTTATGGTCCCGCCTCGTTCTTTTAAACGCTCAATGACAGAGCCACTTGTATACTAACTTTACCTAGAAAACATGAAAAGGGAAAACACAGGCATCGCAGCCAATCATGGCACACCGGGTTGTGCCCAGTACTGAGCCACATGGCAATGGAAGACGGTACCCAGACAACCCATGAACTCTCCAGAAAGCACCGTGTGTTCCCCCATTAACATTCCTTTTTTTACGTCTGGCGTTAATTATGTTGCTTTCTGCGCTCGCTGCTGCTTCGTCGTGTGGGCCCTGTTTGTCTTGTGACCTGCACGTGCACCTCCTCCACACGTGTGCCAGAGACAGCGAGTTGGCAGTGTGCAATTGAGCAGTTCCAAATCTCTGTGAATATCTGTTGGGTAGTAACTATATAAGGCATCGTGGCGGCATTGTGAATTTGACAGCTCTGTAACCTTGTAGGGTCCACGCTTTGTACGAGCTCCACACCGTTTCCACGAGAACAACGAACGCGATGCTGCCACTTCCTCCAGATCTGAAGCCAACAATCATCCAGATGCAAAATGGTGATAATGAAGAGCCAGAGCAGAACAAGTTGCCGGAGCCTGTGCAGATGAACGGCCAGGGCGGTGGCGCCAAAGGCGGTAGCAATGGAAAGCCAAAGAAGAAGAGAAGACGTTCCTCGTCGTCGCTGATATCGCAGAACGAGATTGAGAAGCGTCGCAGAGAGCACAAGACCGCACACTCCATCATTGAGAAGAAGAGACGTATCAGAATGAACAGGGAGTTTGAGGCTCTCAAGTTCATGATTCCGGCTTGTAGAAACAACTTGAACTCTTCGAACAACAACGGTGAAGGGATGTACAAGCTCACGATCTTGCAGTCCACTGTGGACTATATCAGATACCTCCACAGCATTGTCAACTTGCAAAAGGATGAAATCTCCAAGTACAACCCTAGATGGGCACAGGAGGAAGACCTGGACTTTGCCAACGCTGACGTTGACACTGACAGTTACAGAAACTTGGAGAACGAGTACGACTTTGCCAAACTGTTTGATGACTTCACGGAGTACAAGAGTGAGCGTCTTGCCGCCGCAAGAAATGCGAGTTCAACTAAATCCCATGGAAACCTCGCCGACGATAGGCCCCTTCACGACACAACCAGTGTTGAATTTATCGACACAGCCGATTTGGGAACCATTTCCAAATCTTCCACCACCACAATAAGGCGTAATTCCATGTTGGACTTCAACAAGTTCCAGGCGCTGCCTTCGCCAATCATCACCCCAGAGCTATACCCACAACGTGGAACGTCGTTCTCGTCATCAACAGGGTCACACTCCGTCGGTAACAATTTCATCGCCCTACCATCGATGCAAGATAAGCAGGGGTCACCAACTTTCAAGGATTCCTTGGACTTTCAGTTCCCCAAGAACGCTGGGAACTTCCAATTCAGCCAGCCAGGTAAACCGGCAAGACAGTCGCAATCCTCGAGCCTCCAGGGCTCACCACAGAGCTCGCTGGACATCATCAACGAGAGCATGGCACGCGACACGGAAACATCAGCTTCTCAGGCACTTCTTTCAATGAGAAGGGATACCTCAGTATCTAACATCAGAACACTTTTGAACTAATAAATATAAACACAAACTGGTTTTGTTTTCGTCTTTCCCTCTCGCTATCTCTCCTCTTAGAACTAACCAACCGTAGCTGTCCACTGAACAACGCCGTAATTGAAGTACTGCGATGTCTGGGCTGCCATTTCTGGCACGTGACGATAGAGAGAATCCTCCAAAAAAACACCCCTACACCACGCGTACACCACGCGCACACACAGGCCCAAATCTAATGTGTCTCTTTGATTGCGGTTAGAAGACCTCACTCACAGTGGATAAGGGTTGGAAGCTATAGATTCAAGCCAATATGGGGAATACCAGCTCTGCACCGAGGGTCACTGCCCAGGACAAGGCTGTTTTACAGGTGAAGTTGCAAAAGGACAAACTAGTCAGGTATCAAAAGAAGATGAACTTGTTGGTGGATCAAGAAACCACCCAGATCAAAGTATACCTGCGCCAGGGGAAGAAGAACGATGCTAAAGTGCTGTTAAAGAAGACCAAGTATCAGCAGAAACTACTAGAGGACTCTTCCAACCAGCTCTACAACTTGGAGAATATGATACACAACATTGAGTTCAAGCTCATAGAGAAAGACTTCTTGAAGGGGTTGCAAAACGGTAATGCCATCTTGTCAAAGCTCAACAACGAGATGAAGGTTGAGGATGTCGAAAGGCTTGTTGATGAGGTCCAGGATAACATTGCGTATCAGGACGAGATCAACGAGATGTTATCCAACTCTGTTGTTGGACAGGACATTGAGGATGAGATTGATCAAGAGTTGGCGGCGTTAGAGCTGGAAGCAACACCATTGGATCAAAGGCTTCCAAAGATTGATGGGCTTGCCAAGGTTCCTGAAGTTGCTGTAGATGTTCTCCCACAGCAGAAGAAGGAAAGTAGCAAGGAGACGAGGACTGCATTACTAGCATAGAATGGTTAACTCCCAATGAGGGTTCTTTAATTAACAGGTATTACTCTATTTTATGTACAATTCAAGTAGTTCCAACTCATTCGTCCAACCATTCCAAAAATTCTGGAGTGAAGTAACTGATTATCAATCTTGCACCTGCTCTGAGGAATCCTTGGTGTGATTCGTATGCGACTGACTTCAAATGACAGATACCCTTCTCTGCTGCGGCATGTAGCATGGCAAACTCACCAGAGACATGGTATGCACAGATTGGATAGTCCTTACCAATCTCTGCGGCATCGCTCATAACATCCAAGTAAAAAGTTGATGGTTTGACGATGATACCGTCAGTTCCTTCTTCAATATCTCTTCTGAGTGCTCTTCTGGCCAATCCACGGCCTCCAGATGGGAGTTGGTAACGTTTTCTATCACCTTTGCCTGGAGCAGAACAAGCGGCATCTCTGAATGGGCCATATAAATTACCACTGAATTTAGCACTGTATGACATGACAAAGCATTTATGGGCAAGTTTGGCTTCGATCAAACCACGCTTGATCTCACGGACTCTGCCGTCAATCATATCAGAAGGAGCAACACAGTCAACACCAGCCTTTGCGTAGTTAACAGCAACAGCGCCGATTCTGAAAACAGATTCCTCTCTGTTGATGGTGCCATCTTCGAAAAGGACACCACAGTGGCCATGAGAAGTGTATTCACAGAGGCACACATCGGCCATGATAAACAGATCTGGGAACTCCTTCTTCAACAACTTGGTCGCCATGATAACAGGACCTTCTGGATCATCCGCTGAGGTACCAACCGGGTCCTTAGAACCTGGCTTCGTAGGAACACCAAAGAGGATAACAGATCTCAGCCCCTTTTCAACCAAAGGCTTAACAAATGGGATCAGCTTGTTGACACCGACTCGTCTTTGGTTTGGCAGCGACTCGATCAGCGTATCCTCATCTTCAATATCACTCACAAACAGAGGGTAGATGAACATGTTCTTGGTGAGTTGTCTCTCGTGTTGCCACTCGCGCGCCAAAGGGTGTGCATATCCTCCAGCAAGGATACTCGAGACGCTCGTCTCTTGTGGCTTGAGATATTCAGCTGTGTGGACCATCGTGTAGTTGTGTCTTGTGTCTTTGGGCTGAGTACGCTTGGTGTTTACAAGAAAGAGAGTGTTGTGCTCTCAACTGCGATAAATCTTTCATCTCCGAGACGTTGATTCGTTCCTCATTCCCAATCTGGATATTTGATCCGAAGGCAAAACAACACTCACTCACTCAGCGCACAGCACACATTAGGCTACAAAGCCGAGCAGACGACGATACCTCGATGTCCTGTGAAGACGAGCACTTTAACCACTCCCATAGCCACTCTCATTCCCACGGCGATGGGGATGACCACTCTCATATACCCCCAATTCAAACAAGCAGTGTACAGAATCTAAGAGAGCACATTGATTTCTACCAGCTGAGGGCGCTCAACTGTCAACAGAAGGATGAGGATCTACAACGCCTATTCAAGGCCAACGACGACAAGTTTGAGCTCAGCGGGTTCGTTGAATCTGATGCTGACTGTCAGCTGATCCTGAATATCCCGTTCAACGGCAACGTGAAGCTATACTCGATAATCATCAGATCCAGTGGTGAGTCTGCTCACTGTCCCAGAACGGTGAAGTTGTTCAAGAACAACAAGACCTTGGATTTCGATAACATAGCAGGTTCTAAACCGGTGCATAAACTGGAACAGCCATTGGTTGGTCCTTTGGATGATACGGAGGCAAACGTGGATGAAGATACGTTTGTTGAGCACCACCTTCCGAGATCTCAGTTCCAGTCAACCTACCACTTGACATTGTTCATCGAGGATAACTGGGATGACGATGAGGATGAAACTACAAAGCTATACTACATTGAACTTCGCGGACTGTTCACCAGTCCGCTGGCAAAGGATCCCGTGATAACACTTTACGAAGCTGCTGCTAATCCAGCAGATCATAAGAATCTGCTCCAGCAGGAAATAGGCCAATCTAACAACGTTGACTAATAATTATTATGATATGAATGCACATCTCTATATATTGGCTAAGAGAACGATACTCTGTACTCCTTTGGGTTGTCATGTGGTCTTCCATGGGAAAAGTTGGCCTCTTTAGTCTTGGTGTTCACTATAATTGTATACAAAGTACAACATTTGGCCAATCCAGTAACGCCTTCCTCTGGATACTTACAGATGGACTTTGGTGCATTGGCTATGTCGCCCAATCTGCTTCTGAAACTCTTGAAGCCACCCTCTGATCCCACATTAAGCTCCTTAATACGGTCATACCTAGCAAATGAACTCAGAATCGGAGTGTCACAGGGGAATTCTTTAGAAAGAGTTTCATCCAGCAAATGATTGGTGTGTGAAACCACCCCTGTATCATCATCAGGCTTAATAATGGCAATTCCTCTTGGTGAAACTTCAACAGAACAGTAACTGTTTACATCACCCATAAGAAGATTTGCACAACTGGCACACCCGTTCGATTCTAAATAGTCCACGGTCTTCTCAACACTCTCCTGCTCCAAACATTTACGAAGTGTAAAGTGGATTGGGAGTTTGTCATAGCTCACTTCGTTGGAGCTTATAGCATTGAGCATGATCGCCAGTCCCTCGCTGTTGAACCCATACTTTCCAATGATCCCGGCCTCTGCGAGGAAGAGGAGTTTTGGTTTCCCAACTTGCTCTAGTTCGATCCACAGGGTGGCTGCATCAACCTCAGGTATCCAGTCCCAATTCTGTCCAACATAAACATCTCCTGTTGAAGATTCCACCTGTGCCAAAGATGTACATCCATCGGATATGTCAACCATGGTGATCTCGCTACGGACATTGAGAGCAACGATATCCAAAAGATCCGTTCCTGATCCTTGCGCAATACCCCTCAGCTCGTCCAGTATATCTGGGTGCTTTTCGAGCAATGGTAGATATTCGGCAGCCCTTCTTCTGGCCTCATCCCAAGACACGTTCTTAGATTCTTTATACAAAGTGGAGTACACTTCGATAGCTTTGACGATCTGAGCCTTAGCAAAAGTCCCGTGGCCCAGCCCGATTTCCAAGGGTGTGCCAGAAAGCTTCACATAAGGTAGATGTGTATCATAAAACCTCCCACTCGCTACGGTTTCCATCTTTCTCGGGTGATGAAGCTATTCCAAAATGCATCTCTGTGTAGTGTGCAGTATGCTCTGCTTATGTATGCCCTCATGTGTCCGTATCCGGAAGTCGGCAATAGTCCCCAAAACGGTGAGATAGACGGAGATTAACAGTACAAGTCGATAAGATAAAAGTGTTGGCCTCAGTGTAAGCAGCCGGTATAGAGGTGGGCATTCGATTACTTTGAGAGCATGTCGTGCAAGACCGTCACCATCGCTAATACCTTTTCTTCTTCTAAGCGTGGACCAAGAACCTGTACGCCCACAGGAACTCCATCGCTCTCTGCCGGTTCGTAACAAGGCGAAGTGGAGCTATCATCAGCAACGTCAATGGATCTATCACTTGTAAGCACTGGGAACGTACAAGCAGGGAAATCGACAACGTTGGCGAATGGTGAATAGCACACGTCTTTGAACTCCCCAAATTTAAAGCCTGCGTGAGGGCTAACTGGCATAATTAATCCGTCTAGTCCACTGGATTGCCAGAGCTTCCAAAACCTGTTTATTGACTTTGTCCTTTCACTTTGAGCAACCCACATCTCTGAAGTTGGAATATCCCTGGCCGCTTGCCATGATGACAGGGCTTTAACTGGTTCCCCAGACTTTAAGCATTCTTCAATGACCCTTTTGTTGCCAGAACTTTCCATAAAAGCAGCATATGCAGCGATCTCTTCAATGATTGCTGTGTCAAATGGTACGCATTCTAAGCCAGCAGCCTGGAGTTTCTGAACCAGCGTAAGCATTGCTCTTTTAACTGGAGGTGTTAACTGCACAGGGCCAGCATCCATGACATAGCCAAATTTGAAATGGCCCTTGCTATCAAAAATTTCCCATGGTTTATTGACAGCATTGATGTCGTGCTTCCATGCTTCGTTCGCCATGGCCTTTGCGTAAAGCTCCAATGAAAACACGTCGTTAGCCATCGGACCATTTGTGGGCTTCAAGCTTTCAATTCCGAGAACAGGTGACTGTAAACACAAATGTGACGTTCTCTGTGTCGTCATTCTTAGCCCGTAGATCCCTGTAACCGATGCTGGTTGTCTAATGCTTCCCCCAAGATCAGAGCCAACGCCCAAGGGTGAACCTCTAAGTGCCAACAGTGCCGATTCACCGCCTGAAGATCCACCGGATGAAAAGTTTGTGTTGTAAGGATTAAGTGTCTGTCCAAACAGGTTGGATGCTGTTTCGATGTTGTACACTGCCGTCGGCGTTGTTGTCTTTGCTATTGGTATGGCGCCTTGGTCCACTAAAATCTGGATGTTTGGGGATGATACAGAGGAAGGATCATCGTTTGCTTTGGATACGAGACAGAGTGTAGTTCTCACATCTATGAGGTCGAACTCATCCTTTAGTGAAAATGGTAGCCCGTGTAATGGGCCCACCACTTTACCTGTATTAGCCAAAATTGCATCCAACTGTTTTGCCCTTGACAACGCCTCTTCAAAAAGGATCTCGGAAAGACAGTTCACCAGCTGTTGAGCGATGGCTGCTCTATGGCAGAATGCACTTACAACGCAATACGCCGACCATTGGCCTCTGTGGATGTTATGGAGGATTGTGGCCGTGGAAGCCTGTGTTATCTCCACTTCGTTCTCTGACAGGTACTTTCCAGGAATAGACACAACATTTGTTGGCACTTGCTCAGATTCGTCAATGATCCATTCCCTCGGGATGAGTGAGTACCTTTTAGCCCGGGCTTCGTTACAGAGATCTTCCCAGCTCATAATCGGTACCGCTGTCCCAAGCTGTTTCGAAGCATACGGAAGCTCTTGCTTGTTTTAGCCAATGTATGTTTTTTTTTCTCCCATTTTCTACATGGAGGTCCTGCCATTAGCTAAAATAAAATCATCTTCCGCCTCTCTGTGGAACATTCTACATTTACATATCTTGTATCATAAAGAAGAAGATCCTTCTATAATCATCTTCACGTTAAGTTAAAGAAATCGTTTATCGTTGTAATTTTGATTGTTATTGTTTTCATTTTGGTTTTTCGGGTTCTGTTTTTGTGGAATGTGTGTATAAATGTGGTTTTTCAGCTAAGCATCGTGTGGAATATCAACTTGTTAAACATGTCTCATCTCGGTGAAATAGTGCAATTGAGCAGTCACTTGTGAACGATGTCAAAGGCCATATCGTTTGTTTGTATGGGGGCTCTTCCGCAATGTCACTTGGTAAAAGGTCCACTCAATCGGTCATTGAAATCAAAACACACAGCGCTTAGTGGTGGTTGTCCTCTGGTTCCTCCAAGACGAACCATTCCTCAGAAGCCTCAGCGGCAGAACCGGTGGTGTGGGAGGCAACCTCAACCTCGGCGGCCTCGTAGTCAGCCAACTCAGCAGCGTCGATCTCAGCAGCTGGTTGTTGTGGAGCGACTGGCTTGGTCCATGGTCTGGTAGCACCTTCAGCGTCCTTGGCGGAGAGAGGAGTTGGCTTGAAGGCCTTCAACTCGTTGATGTACAAGTCTTGGATGATGTCTAGTGTGTGTTAGTCTACGTGTGTCCTTGTGACAATAAGCTAACAAAAAATAGGGGGAACAGGACTTCTCTCTCTTAACGAAAAAGAAGCTGGAGAGAGGCGCCCCCAGAAAGCAATTAGAAGTGTAAAACTCACTCTTTCTAGCTGGCATAGCAGAGAAGGCACGAACAGAGACCCTCTGGGTCATGATACGTCTAGCAGCGAACATAATTGACTGGTTTAATTGGTTCGAATTGAATGGAGTCCACCCGTGTTGATGGGGTGTTCGAAGGGGGTGGGCATTTTGTCTTTTAGATTTTCGTCCAGGAAAGCGAAAAAAAACCCTCCGAGATCCGTCCTCCGCGATTATTACCGTACTGGGTAACATCCGGGGGCAAGTGATGGATGGGAAAATTTCATTGGTTCAAAACTCTTTTCATGGTTAACGAAAGCAGGGCGAGAAAAGCAAAAGAGTGTAACCAACATCAGAATCGTAAAGAGGTTTGCACAGAATTTGAACTTTGTCACAATGCCTCGTTTCTACTGTGACTACTGTAATTGTGAGTGTGGTTTAAACGTTGTTGATGTTTCCCTGAAATGCAATGACTAACAACAAACACCGAAAGCCTACCTTACGCATGATGCCGCAAGTGTTCGCAAAAACCATTTGACTGGTAAAAACCATGTCAAACTTGTTTGTGATTACTACGAAGGTATGTGTATCTTGTTTCTATTACTGCACATGATGAATCATGCCCATACTGACTTATAACACTATAGAGAAGGCCAAAGAGCTTGGAATATGGCGTGAAAATGACATGCCGTTTGAACTCACAACGGAGAACCTGTACAGGGGAATTCCTGGATCTTCTTCAAAGCAGACACTTGATCTATACCGAATGAGCGATATGAAAACTCTCCCGCCTCCTCCTACGATATCGGGTCTCCCACAACCTCCTCCGAAAGTGCTACACGACTCAGTACAGGAAAAACGTCAACTCTTGGGGAACATCTTACAAACCATTGGTGAAACCTAGGAATAGCACTCCAGTATCTAGTGTGTCTGTAACGAAATCTAACGATCCTTTCCCATCTTATCAACAGGAGAAGAAGCATCACCACATTGATTCCTACTCTTGTGGGAAGAATCATATGGTGACGGTTGCTATGGCAATTGATAAATTTTGTAAACATTGTGATTTTACGTGCGCGAACCATCAAATGCCTCGAAGGAGAGAGAAAAAGTTTTCGTTTGCAATTTTTTCCTTTTCAGATTTCAAAGGTTGTTTTCCCTTTATTTTTGCCAGCAATACACATAAAATACTTTATACACAATGGCTCAAGAAGTTCCAACTTTCAAGCTCGTTCTCGTCGGTGATGGTGGTACTGGTAAGGTGAGTAATTGTTGATTGATTTATATCCCTGTCCGGTTTGTCTCGGTGATCAGCTGTTGCTGTTGAAATCTGGTGTAATGTTTTGATCTCGATGATTTGGATTTTTTGTTTGTTTTTGTCTGTTTTTTTATTGTTGTTATATTTCCCAAACACAGGGGCTGTGTGCCTTTTGTTTCCATTCAGTGCCATATGAATCTACTAGAGACTAGTGTGTAACACAGGGTGCTTGTCGCTGATCAATTTACTAACTGTTTAATAGACCACTTTCGTCAAGCGTCATTTGACTGGTGAATTTGAAAAGAAGTACATTGCCACCTTGGGTGTTGAAGTCCACCCATTGGCTTTCTTCACCAACTTTGGTGAGATTAAGTTCGATGTTTGGGATACTGCTGGCCAAGAGAAGTTTGGTGGTTTGAGAGATGGTTACTACATCAACGGTCAATGTGGTATCATCATGTTCGATGTTACCTCCCGTATCACCTACAAGAACGTTCCAAACTGGCACAGAGATTTGGTCCGTGTCTGTGAAAACATCCCAATCGTCCTCTGTGGTAACAAGGTTGATGTTAAGGAGCGTAAAGTTAAGGCTAAGACCATCACTTTCCACAGAAAGAAGAACTTGCAATACTACGATATCTCAGCTAAGTCCAACTATAACTTTGAGAAGCCATTCTTGTGGTTGGCTAGAAAGCTTGTTGGTAACCCACAATTGGAGTTCGTTGCTGCTCCAGCCTTGGCTCCACCTGAGGTTCAAGTTGACGCCCAATTGATGGCTCAATACCAACAAGAAATGGATGCCGCCACCGCCATGCCATTGCCAGATGAAGATGACGCCGACTTGTAATCACACCCGTCTTATTGTTTATACCGTTTTCTTTCGCACTATAAACTGTTGAATACCAAATGTTTTTACTTCATCGTCTAATTCTTAGTATAAAATGTAAGTGGTCTACAAGTAAAAGCTAATAGTATTAAAGCTCATTATATTAATAAAAAGAAACCGCCCCAAAACAAACAACGATTTGCTGTATATTGACCCAAAGAGAAAGAAAAAGTGACTAAGCACGTGAAGAAGTTCAAAAACATTTTTGGTGGATTGATAAGCTAATACCCACATTGGTTTGGATACTGTCTGTTATCGAGGGGTTGTGGGAAGATACCGTTGTAGGCCAATTTCTGGAAATCCCACTCACCGGCACTCTCCGTCTTCCAACACCAGAAGATCCAACCGGCGCCCTTCTCGAAGGCATCCAATTGTGCCTCAATATAACGTCTGTGGTTATCTCTTGTGGTTTGATCCCAAGATGAAATGTCTTGAGAACCATCGCAGGTACCATAGTAGGTGCTGGATTGGTAAGTTGCGTCGTAACGAGCGCCACGGTAAACACCGTTAAGCCATGGTGCACAATCAGTGAGAGCAGCGGACCATTCACCACAAACGTTCCACAAGTTCTCAGCGGTGGATTGCTCACCCCATTCGCAGGCAACTTGGACGTGTTCATCAATGGTTCTGGACAACTCACCAGTAGAGAACACCTGGTAGTGGTGGTGATCAATCACAACACCCCAGTATCCATCAGCCAATTGGAACTTATCGTTGAAGTAGCCCATGCTTTGGAACCCGTCATGGACAATGACGTTTTGTCTTGAACCAGCGTTACGGGCGTTCCAGTATGCGGTGTCCCAGAATTCGTTCAACTTGGTCAAATCCAAGGAAGGTCCCAGTGGCTCGTTCAGGAGTTCGATACCAATGATCACATCGTCATAGTCTGAACCTCCGTATTTGTCAAAGATGGTCTTCAAAACGTTCAAAGTGACTTGGTCATTACCGTTGTTCTGGAACTGCAGGCTGTCTCTCAAACCAGAGTTATCAAAGCCGTTTTGAGAACCTGGGGCACCGTGCAAGTCGATCCAGACGTATAAGCCTTGGTTTCTGGCCCATTGGATGGCCTTGTCCAAGTATTCAGCCTGGCCTTGGATATAAGGATCAGAGTCCAAAGTTTGGAAAGCCCAGTAACCAATTGGGATTCTAACCATGTTAAGACCAGTCCCCTTGATGCTCTCAAAGTCAGACTCAGTGATCCATGAGCTCCAGTGTTGCTCAAGTCTCGATGCAGTCAACTGTTTACCCAAAGTCTGATGGTAATGGTATTCATCCACAGGGATGGTGTCGCCAAAAACTTCAAATAACGAAGGGGTGATGTACGGTTCAAGCACAAGCCAACCACCAATGTTGACGCCTCGTATCTTGTCATTGTCGTAGTCAAAGCTACCTCTCTTGTACAGCTGTTGACCGCCACGGGATGGGATAGGAGTGGCGTTGATCAACAACGTCAAAAAGGATAGGCTCAGTAGTGAAAGTAGCATAGCTGTGGATGGTATATGGGCAATTGATTGTTAGAGGAGTAGCAAAGAGTCTAGAAGAAGCGTGGAATAATTATCCTCTCTTTTGTCAAATGATTTGCGTTGGCCTCTTTAACTCCTTAACTAAGTTTTATGTCCTTGTGCAAGGGAATCGAAAAAGGGCTTGAAGGGGCATAAAGGGGGGTGGGTTGTTCTAGAGCGAGATACCATTGATTTATATACAAACTTTCAAATCAGCTAAATTCACTACAAGGTGCTCATATCTGGATCAGGAATTCAGGTGAGACTGACGTCTTGATTTGTGTCCTGAAACTGTGCAGGCATGCTATCGGCCGTCCCATGCGGTGCGTGTACGCTTTTTTAACCAGCAATGCATAATATTGTTCCCTAATTTGGAACCGCACTTTTGGGTGTGGGTGGGAAGGCCGTACAGTTAACACAACCAACAAGGGAGTGAAGATAGTTTGTCTTGGAACACCCACATCCGTCAACACACGTGAGGCTTACAAGTTATAAAGGAATACGCACTTAGGGATACAGTCTTCAGAGATCGACAACGTGGATGTATAGGTGGAAAGCGTATCCCTTTAATAATACATGCATTGGAAAGCTCTACAGTTATTGAGTGATTCGTTTAGGATGGCATATCCAGTAACTGTCGTTGTAAACGTTAGATCAGTCCTTTCAAAGGTACGCACTGCGGGCGTGTACCGTGACTTGTGGTCCGTAATTTCGCTCTGGGACCTAAACCATTGGGCCCACGGGTGCCGGTGGAACAAGTACTAATTATAAATCGTTCCAAGTTTACGCGTTTCGCTCCTTTTTCCAGTGCGTGGGATTTATCTTTAGAACACGAAATTATAACGAAAATAGCGAAAAATAAAACTCTAACTTCCGCCTTTGATGAGTGGACGGCTACGCTACCTGAATGTAGCGTGTGATGACACCTCAACGAAGCAATGATAAGCTAACAAACACACCGAGGAGTTCAATCGGGGTTGAAGGCCACATGGAAAACACACCTTGGGCGTCTGGTTCCACTGAAACAAGTTTTCTCGGCTACAAGCCACCCCGTTGCTTGGCTCAGTGGCTCCCAAAAGCGTACAGTTTCGTATGCCACCAGAGTTTTATGTTGGAACATGTGGGAGGAAATTTCAGCCTTTTGTTTACTTTGGCGATCCTAGGAGGACACCCAGCACGCTGATCTCACTATGTGGGATTACAAACGATAGTTCCGGTCGACATGTCTGTGCTTGTAGCACACACTACATCTGCGAAGTGTCAAACGTTTACATCTCGCAGTTTGTCAGCACCTTGGATGATGACCCAGTTGCAGTGTAAACTCTCTCGTGATTGTTTGTCGAGTTCGCCTTATACATCCTGAACTGCTGGATTAAACTTAAAGTCAATTTTTGGTGAAGTAGACCTGACCAATACCCCCTTCAGATAACGTAGACCTTATACACATCCCCCTTTGGGATAATTGAGAAGATGAGTGAAACTCAGTTGCTAATAACATACAGATTAGAGTCATCGTCCCAGTTGAAATTCAACCACTGAAATCATTTGCAGACGCGACGTGCCTGCGAAACGCCCAGCTAGGTAATTTTGCTGCGAAATTGAGCCAGCTCCAGCCACCGCGATTTCATCTATCGTTGTGAATTAGGCGCAGTTAGAACCACCCTGTCTGTATGTAGAAGCGTGTTTCCTGCTTCAATTGATCGGTGCTACAAGTCTCCAGAGTTATAATAGAGCTCTGCAAGATGTGATATTTCTGTATATGTTGTAAAGTATTGAAAATAGTAGTAGGAAAACCGGATTCTGGCCTCGTTCAATAGCGCCCATTACTTCGCACAATGATTTTTATTCGTCTTCTCCAGGATCAGAATGTTTAGATGTTCGGGTGTTTGGTGTCCTGTGGTTTTCTTATTATGCACCTCTATTGTTCAACAGGCACCGCGAGCTGGTGCGCAAGCCACCTCAATTAATCACTTGCATTACTGACGTTTCTCTCATGGCCAACAGGGGATACGCTACATGGAGTTAGAAGCCTAGTTGATGCGCCTTTGAGTGGTTTTCGATCTACACCTTTGGTCTCCGCTATCCCCATTGATTAGTGTATAGTGTACTCTTGCAGGTTGACATATGTCATATGCGGTGTAAAACATCATTAGTTCGCTTCTTATACATTGTGCATCATAATAATCTGTCGTTTACATATAGTCATAAATCTAACATCGCTGGAATATCAAACTGAGAAGTGTGCCTTCATCTCGTTCTTGTTATCCTCGTACTCATCAAGGGCATAGCTTTCACGCTCGCCGAACCGAATGCTGCGGAAGAAAGTATCAGGTGGCGTACAGGTACCAAGTGCCCTTCTTGCGTGGCTATCAAGGTATGTCAATCCAACGATATAACTGGCATTGACCCAGCCAAACCCTTCAGTTGCGACACCTTTGAAATCAGCACCTTGGTTACCATACTCAGCCTCAACCCTATGGGGATCTGTGGCCCTTGTAACGTTGTACTTTTCCACAACTATACCATTGTAGTCAACAAATGCCTTCGTCATCAGATACAACCAACGGTAAGCAATTCTTCTTGCTACATTCTCATACCCATATTGTTTAAACCCTGCCCATGCAAGAATTTGCTGTGGAGCCCAACCAAATGGATAATCCCACTGTCTTGAAGGTCTATCCAATGATATCTCACCACGAGACTTTTCAGTACCGGATACAATACCTCCCAGCTCTTCAAATAGCGCTAAAGCCTTCACCAGTCTGGTTGCCTGTTCTTTGCTGGAACAGCCTGCCCACAATGCCCAAAAAGTAGTTGCTGACTCGTAATTTGTTTGCAATCTCAACTTAACGTTATAGTCAAAATACATTCCTTTCTCCTCGTTCCATAAATACTTGTCAATACGCTCCCTTCTTAATTTTGCCCTTTCTTCCCATTCGTGCGAAGATTCCACAATGTTATTTCTAGAGCTGAACTTATCGTTGAAATAAGTCTTGATCAGGTGGGCAATGTCAACTTCGTACTTGTATAGCAAAGAGTTCAAGTCCACAGTGGCGAGATTAGCACAGATACCTTCCAATCGATAAGACGTATCGTGTCCACTTTCTCTCACAGCCCTATCATGTGTAAAGTAATCGTCCAAGGCTGGTTCCTTCACTTCACCGCTGTTGTACTTCTCCATAAATTCCTTTATAGATATACCATGTTTCAATGCATAAGGTCCCAAAATGGAGTCAAAATGAGTAGCTTCTGTCTCCGGTGGGACACCACAACCTGAAGGGTGATAACAAGACAACCCTGTTTCAATGTCAAGTCTTGGTTCAGCGGTCCACACAGTCTTGTATTCCTTGATAGCAGCACGAAGTGCTCTACTCAAGAGGTCAAAAGCCTCAGGATTCTTTTGGCCACCCATTGCCTCAAACACTCGGATGGACATATCGGTTAGGAACGGTGGTTGAGAGCGTGTGAGATAGTAGGATCTGTTTGCATTGAGTATTTTTCCATAGTGTTCAATCTCAAATATAAAATGCTCAACCATACCTCTAGCCAGATCCACTTTACCGTTAATGATCAGCCCCAATGACTCCATATACGAGTCCCATCCGTACAGCTCGTTGAATCGACCACCTGGAACAACATACGGAAACGAAGCAACCTTATCTTCACCTGTTTCAGGGTCATAGTGGTGTTCCATTGCCAGTGCAAGCAAGCCTGGGCGTGTATTGATTGATTGAACATACTCCGGCGTGATATCCTTTGGTAGATATTCAACGTCCAGATTTAAATCTGGTTGTGCCTTAGCGGCTTGGGTGTAATACTCAAACTGATCAGGGCAATCATAAGGGATGTAAACCCTTGGGTTCGAGGGGATCTTTGTATCCTTAGCAAACACTGCAATCGACTTATCATCAATGCGGCGTGTTAATGATTTCCAAAACTGGGTAGAGATCAAACGTGTCAATCTATCAACGGGGTTCTCGTTAAGTCTTGCCTCATCTAGGAACATTTGGTTTCTGCCAAATCTCTTCGCAATAGTCAACTCTTGCAATAAGTTTGAAAGCATATACGTGCCTCTAATGTCTTTCTGGTTGAACCCGTTAGAGTTAACAGTGCCCAACTTAAGGACCTTTGGTCCTGTATCTTCAATGGTGATTTGACAGTTGTTATCGGTATCCTCATTACGCAGCAACTCACTTAGAGTAGCATCGATATCCGAGATGAAGAAACGGCGTCCTCTGGCTCCACCTTGCAGTCCTGTTTCATCCTGTGATCCACGTCTCTTGATCGAGTCCCTCACACTGTCTCTGAAAGTGTTGATATTGGACATGTTGTTCATCACAGACTTGGTTCTCGTTCTCGCCATTCTGGATCCCGCTGGCGCCCTTGCAGGGTCAGTCTTTGGACCATAGTAATCCTCGGCCAATTGGAAAGGGTTATAGTCCTCATTTGAAGATGTTCTGCGTCTGTGCCGTTGATTATCACGTAACTGTTCAGAGGTAGTTTCCATTGTCCTGTTCTGAATATGTGGATATCGTGTCTGTTACTTTGTCCTCTTAGAAGGTGGTCACCAGTTGTGTCACAAAACCAGCAGAAACCACAAAAAAAGCAAATGTCGGCTAGGGGAGAAAATGCCAGCGATAAAATTGACCTCCGCGCTACGAAATTTAGCCTAGTGCACACTCTCTGATGGAGGGGGAGTTATGGTAAAATTAACTGGGAAATTGAGACTCAATTTATAGACGCACAGTAATAGGATAATCCGTTCGTGTTCATTTTTCGTCCTGTTGGGAGGAACCTTTCACTTCTCTGTGATATGCGAAGTATGTTTATGTACTGTCTGCATTTTCAATAAGAAACCACGGATGCTTTAAGCCCCAAATTAGATGGCAGAGAAAGCGGTGAACAAATCACCCCAGCATTCTATGGGGGTTGTGTATGGTTTGTGTGGTAACCCGTGTGGGTTAAGGTTATGCGCTTGGTTAATTTTTCCGATATTCTGTGTGATCGTTTGCCGCGGGCTGCGTTCATTTCCCCGATACGCGCGTTTCTTTTTTCCTTTACGCGGTTGTTTCGAGAGGTCCGGGGGGCTTGTAAAGTTTCTCCAGTATGTTTCTCCAGTAGATGTGGTTGTATAAAAAATAAGAACACGCATACAGACCCACGCTTGTTTGTAAAGGTTGGCTTTTAACCCACACGAGCTGTCCACTCTGCATCCTATAGCTCTCTGAGCATGGAATGATCGACAGGTCAACGATCAGCCCATTGGATCTTGGTGAAATCACTTCTCGATCGAGAGTCTGTTTCATAATATTTGCCATAAAGGAAAGGGTTCTTGATAGTTCACTCCTTTCCAATGATTACCCGTGCGCTTAGATCTGAAGCGATCCTCAATCTCTCAGATCTCGTCCTGTTATATCCTCTGGTGTCTAAAAGATACACATGGTCATCCCCTGTTGAGGTGCTGAGATGTCCAACTTTTGTCAGCGCAAGGTGACATTTCACGCAGCTGACCCGTCTCCTCAAAGCAACAACATGCAGAGAATCACTCAGGCTTCAGATTATTTTACGTCCAGCAGCGGAGAGAAGTAAATTCGACCACAATTCAAGGTTTTTCCATAGACAGCATTGAATTGAGTTGCGCCATGAATCTCGACCTTGCAGTTGGCTGCGGTGTGAACACTCGTTTGAATTGACCATGATACACCACCAACAATTCATTAGCCTAAACCAATTATAATATTGCTTTGGGAATCTCAGCAGTCACTTTTGTAAATCCCAACATAGATCTCAGTGTTTATCAATTGTGTGTTTTCCGTATCCTTTAACAACCCCTAACACAGAATGTGATGGATCATAGAATTGACTTCTCAACCTTCAATTTTCTCATTTATCAATATCAGTCACGTGATCTTTGTTTGTGCTTGGAATTTTTCAGCTTTCTGGTAGGAGACACATTCAAATTTTTTTGTTGTTCCTTCTTTGAGATCGTTGAAAACAACATCAACAACAACAAACAATCCTCACTGTATAAATCCCATTAGTTCATTTAATTCGGTTGATTAACAATGTCTGAGAAGGAAACCCCTGTTGAGAAGGTCGAGGAGACCAAGGTTGATGCTGCTACTGCTAAGCCACCAACTGCCACCGCCGATGTCTTTGCCATGTTTGGTGGCGCCTCCAAGAAGAGAGAAGAGAAGAAGGAACAAGAATCCAAAGAGGAAGAGAAAGAGAAGAAGGAAGGTGCTGAGAACGAGGATGAGGCTCCAGATTCTCCAGATGTTCACTTTGAGCCATTGGTCACTTTGGAGAAAGTTGATGTCAAGACCAACGAGGAGAACGAAGATGTCTTGGAGAAGTTCCGTGCTAAGCTCTTCAGATTTTCCGCTGACTCTAAGGAATGGAAAGAGAGAGGTACTGGTGATGTCAAGTTCCTTCAACACAAGGAGACCAAGAAGGTGCGTTTGTTGATGAGAAGAGACAAGACCCTCAAGATCTGTGCAAACCACTACATCGCTCCAGAGTATGAGTTGAAGCCAAATGTTGGATCTGACAGATCATGGGTTTACAATGTCACTGCTGACATCTCTGAAGGTGAACCAGAAGCTCAAACATTGGCTATTAGATTCGGTAGCAAGGAGAAGGCTGATGCTTTCAAGGAGGCATTTGAGAAAGCCCAAGAAGTCAACAAGAAATAAATTGTGTTTTCATTACATTTTTAAACATACATATATACCCTTAGTTGGCATGGATTAATGAAATGTATCATGTGGAAATAACAATTTGCATCATTAAAATGGAAGACGAAAAGCTGTGTAGTGTGATATACATGGTACATAATTATACAATTTTCTTATACTCTGGAATCTGATCCGACTGTAACGTTTCCTCTTTTGAATATGCCTTTTTGAACGAATACTTGATCAAGATCCATGCCATTCTCAATGGGGTGAAATCTGGCCATAGTACATCGACAAACTCGATAACAACCCCTGGTGTGCTCACCTGCCATAGTAGGAAGTCGCTCAACCTCGACACTCCACTTGTTCTTATGAACAAGTCCAGTGGTGGTTGACCCCCAGTGTACAGGAGATCTGATATGGTTGCCTCGTTGATCTCAATGGGCGTCTTCATGTTCTTCTTAACTATATGCTTCATGGCATGTGTCATCTCATGTCTTGACGTGTATGGGAAGCACACGTTCAAGACTGCCCTGCTGTTATGCTTTGTCACCTCCTCGGCCTCTTTTAACACTTGACGAACATCATCTGGTAGCAACGACACATCGCCAAGCACTTTAATCCTCACTCCATACTGCTCTGCCAACTCCCCCTGTGAAACCATCTGTGCGAACCTCTCCTTTGCTAACTCCATCAGCCAATCAACCTCATGCTTACTTCTCTTGAAATTCTCTATGGAGAACGCAAACACCGTAGCGCTCTTAACACCACACTCATAGCACAGCTCCAGTATCTGCGCCATGGATTCAAACCCGGCACTGTGTCCCTCCTTCAGCTCAATATGGTGGTTCTTAGCAAACCGCCTATTACCGTCCATCACAAACCCAATGTGCTGAGGTACAGGGCCCGTCTCTATGCATCTGGCCACAAACTTCTTCGTCACGTTAAGCAGCGCTTGTGAAGCTGGAAAAGACGTCAGCCATTCCATCATATAAGCAGCACCAGAGTCTCGCTCTCTCTCTCTCTCTCTCTCGCACAATCTCTCTCGCTCGATGAAAGGTTACCAACACCTTTCGTGTGTACGTTTTCAAATGTGTCCAATGTTAAACGAGAGAGATGCGCTGGCCCAAATTTCCTTCCTCCTCTGCCCTTTTTTTGGTGCTTGTCTTCCCGCAAGGGCGCCCGCTAGTGAAAAATTTCGCTGTGAGCGCGCCGCCGCTGCTGAAACTGTCCAACCAGGAATTTTCCCCCCGAGGAGAGCGAAAACCGCACAAGGTGGGAAAATTAGCTGTTGGCAAGGGAAACGACACAGAGGGGAGAACAGAACGAAAGTCGACAGTAGGGGAGAAAAGATGCTTGGACGCTCGTTTATACGCCGAGGATCATCTTGGTCTGCTGCTGTGGAGGCTGCTGCTAGGCTGGTGACACCAGCAGCGATCTTGAAGGACCCAATCTCACTGGTTTCACATGAGATGTCCCAGCTGGCGAACAACATTGGACAGTTGATTGGTTCTGGCCATCCAACTTTGAACAGGATCAGCGCATATTACTTTGAGTCTCAAGGTAAGAAAATTAGACCGCTCATTGTGCTGCTGCTCAGTAGAGCTCTGAGTGAGATTCCATTGGAACAAAGAGACCGTATTAAAATTGACACTTTGGACATACCCGAGCAGCCTGTGTACGAAGGAACCAAATCGTTGACTGCTCTGTTTGCAGAACAGGTGAAGGACCCGGTCGGTCCTCTTTCACCTTTAAAGATACTCCATGGTATAAATCCCAACGTGATTCTCGATCCATTGACAAAACCTCACGAGTCTCTTCCGGAATTTGACTCCAAGCGTGGTATCCTTCCAAAGCAAAGACGGTTGGCTGAGATTGTTGAGATGATTCACACTGCTTCGTTGTTGCACGATGACGTGATCGACAACTCTGACTCTAGAAGAAACAGACCTACAGGGAACATTGCCTTCAACAACAAGATGGCTGTTCTTGCGGGAGATTTCCTGCTTGGCCGTGCCTCTGTGTCCATCTCAAGACTGCGTAACCCAGAGGTTATTGAACTGCTGTCGACCTCAATTGCCAACCTGGTGGAAGGTGAGTTCATGCAACTGAAGAACACCGTGCTACAACCAAACGAAGATATGATTGAAGATGACACCAAGGAGATTCCAAAACCAACAGGTGTCATCGATACGACTATCCACGAGTACTCCGTCAAACTCCCAGAAGGTGAAACCATTACCCATGAACAAAACGTCCAAGCTGCATTTGAGTACTATATCCATAAGACATATTTGAAAACTGCTGCTCTATTGTCAAAGTCTTGTCGTTCTGCTGCCATCCTCAGTGGTGCCAGGGATGACGTTATCGAGAATTGTTACCAGTTTGGTCGTAACGTTGGTCTCTGTTTCCAGATGATTGACGACGTCTTGGACTACACGCAAACTTCTCAGCAGTTGGGTAAACCTGGTATGGCAGACTTGAAGCTGGGATTGGCCACTGCACCAATCCTCTTTGCCTGGAAGGAGAACCCAGAATTGGGTAAACTCATCTCCAGAAAGTTCAAGAACCCAGGAGACGTTGAGTACGCAGTGGAACAAGTCCACAAGTACAAAGGTCTAGAAAAGACCAAAGAGTTGGCTGATCACCATTGTCAATTGGCCTTGAACAACTTGAGAAGTGCTCTACCTGAGAGTGACTCCAGAAGCGCACTTGAATTCCTAACAAATGCCATTGTTACAAGATCGAAATGATTACAGAGCCAACGACATGGAGGTTATAAAAAAACGCACAGAATACTAATCTTGTAAATAGTTCCTCTCTTCATCAGTACAAAACGTGTACTATATTATCCACTACAAGTATAAAAGTATCACAGTCCAATGTAGTTGACTCCTGTATCATCTGAATTAGACATGCTAAAATAAATAGAGAAACATGAATGTATTGCTTGTTTAATTGGTTTTTTGTTTTCGTTCAACTGTGATGCCTCCAACCCCATATCCCTCCTCTTCATACGTCTTTTCCAATGAAACATGCTAGTGCAAGAGGAAAATAGATACACCAAAGAGAAATCTTGAAAAGCTGAAGGCATTGGAAATGGGAATATCTTCGTCGTCACCTTCACTGTCACCTACACCTGAGCCTCACGGAAAACTCTCATCTCAATCTTTCCCGGTGAATTCGCTCCATGATGGAGCGCTTAGTTCAAGTCAGCAGCAAAGTTACCGTTGGATCTTTGGGTATCCCACTTCTCAACCCAGTCAACTGGACACAGAGCAGAGTAAGTCTTGAAGAAAACCTTACATGGCTCAAAGTCCTCACCCTTAGCGTTGATACATTTGTGGTAGTCCACATATGATTGCCAGCAGTGCTTGGTTTGGTTCTGGTTTGGGAATCTGGCGTCGAATCCGACGGTTTTAAGTGGGCTCTCAGACATTGTTTCTTTGTTGATTGAGTGGTTGTGTAACGTAGGGAAGGAGACTGTGTGTAAAACTTTCTTTGTTTTTTCGTCTGACCATTTTTTTCTGCTTCCCCTTCGCTGTTGCCTAATGAGAAAACCGCGTGTTTGAAATTTCGATTTCGCTGATTGGCGGATATAGATGCTCATTCCGGGATGGTCACGTGGCACGGCACGTGGTCAGTCTCTCAATTCCGACTGGTAAATTAAAGTTTGGAGGCCGAAGGCATAGAAAAAAAATTTGGCACCTCCGATGAGCTTTTGCCAGGTTTATGTCTCGTTCTCTTTCCCCTTTGCACTGCTTTGTTCTTATGGAAGTAGTGTTGTAACACTGATATGGTGAAGATTAAAGGTTCGAAGAAGCCGTCTTTGAGTCAGTCGTTAGACTCCAAGCTGGCCAATCTCTTGTATAAGCTGTTGGACGAGAAGACACAGGAGAATCAACGGAGAGGGACGCAAGAGGATGACGATGAGTTTGCCAACATCGCTCTTGCCAGAGATCTCCAGGTTGGCGATGCCATGGTGTACGTTCAGCAGAAGGATCTGTCGCTACAGCGAGTGAAGAAAGTTGTGCTGGAAAAGACCCTTGAGAAGATCATCAGAGAGATGAGAGAGGAGGAAAGAATTGAAATGCAGAATATCCTCGGTGAGGACGATGCCGTTGATAGCGACTTCGATGGAGTGGACGTTGACGAGCTGATGGAAGTGAAGGATGATAATAAGATGAATAAGTCGGTGGTGAATGTGTGGAATATCAAGCCAGCTGACGTGCCAATGGAGACAAGCGTAAGTGCGACTCCGTTAGAGACACCAAGGGAACAAAGTGGAGATCAACAGGAGAACACACCGGCTGTGGAGGAAAAGAAGTCCAAGAAGAGATCAAAGGACTCTTCTAAACCTTCAAAGAGACAAAAGGGTATGTATTCCATTGTCAGTGGCCTCTAGTTTACAATACTAACACAATTACAAAAGTAGACAAGGATAGAGCACCTCCTTCGTCGTCACTATCAGAAATGGGTGGTATGGATGAAGTAATAACACAACTGATGGAAATCGTTGGAATGCCTATACTGCACCCGGAGATTTACAAGACCACGGGTGTAGAGCCTCCGAGAGGTGTTTTGTTACATGGTCCTCCAGGTTGTGGTAAGACTACAATTGCAAATGCCCTAGCTGGTGACTTAAAGGTTCCTTTCATAAATATATCAGCTCCTTCAGTTGTTAGCGGAATGTCAGGTGAAAGTGAAAAGAAGATCCGTGAGCTGTTCGAAGAGGCAAAGACATTGGCACCTTGTATAATCTTTTTCGATGAAATCGATGCCATCACCCCAAAGAGAGAAGGAGCTCAAAGAGAAATGGAGAGAAGAATCGTGGCACAAATGCTTACATCTATAGATGAGCTAAGTCTCGACAAGACAAATGGACAACCGGTAATCATCATCGGTGCTACAAATAGGCCAGATTCATTGGATCCAGCGCTCAGAAGAGCTGGTAGATTTGATCGTGAAATTTGTCTGAACGTTCCAAACGAAGCATCAAGACTGCACATTTTGAAAAAGATGACTCAAAACTTGAAGATTGATGGTTCTCTCGATTTTGCTAGACTTGCAAAGGCAACACCGGGTTACGTTGGTGCTGATCTCAAGGCATTGACAACTGCAGCTGGTATTTGCGCTATCAAGAGAATCTTTAGTAATTTAACCATTGAAGACGATGTCAATTCACAAATGGAATTGGAGTCTCTCTCCACGATTCAAAAGTTCTTACTGAGACATCCAACCCCATTGACTCCAGAGCAATTGGCACCTCTGGCAATTACCTACGAAGATTTCCTTGTTGCTTTACCAACGATTCAACCTACTGCAAAGAGAGAAGGTTTTGCGACTGTTCCAGATGTCTCTTGGGAAAACGTTGGTGCTCTTTCCAACATACGAATTGAACTCAATATGGCCATTGTCCAACCAATTAGAAACCCTGGTGTCTATGAGAGAGTTGGTATTCATGCACCAGCAGGTGTCCTCATGTGGGGTCCTCCGGGTTGTGGTAAGACGCTTCTTGCTAAGGCTGTGGCTAACGAGTCAAGAGCAAACTTCATCAGCATCAAGGGTCCTGAGCTATTGAACAAATACGTTGGTGAATCTGAAAAGGCTATTCGTCAAGTCTTTACAAGAGCCAGAGCCTCCGTGCCCTGTGTCATTTTCTTTGATGAATTGGATGCGTTAGTTCCAAGAAGAGATTCTTCTCTTTCAGAGAGTTCATCCAGAGTTGTCAACACCTTGTTGACTGAATTGGATGGTTTGAACGATAGAAAGGGTATTTTCGTCATTGGTGCAACAAACAGGCCAGACATGATCGACCCTGCTATGTTAAGACCTGGAAGATTGGACAAGACCTTATTCATCGAGCTTCCTAACGCACAAGAAAGACTGGATATTCTTAAAACTGTCATCAAGATGAACAAGACACCATTGGCACCAGAAGTTGATCTATCAGCGATTGCCCATGATGAGCGTTGTCGAAACTTTTCTGGTGCAGATCTCTCTGCTTTGATTAGAGAATCCGGTGTAATTGCCCTTAAAAAGAAGTTTTTCCAAAAGCCAATTGATAACCAAGACGATATGATGGATGATAGTGATGATGCCATATTGGTTACGCCTGATGACTTCGAAAGAGCTCTCAATAGCGTCAAGCCTAGTGTTAATGACAGGGACCGTGCAAAGTACGAGAAGTTGAACAAGAAAATGGGTTGGTCATTAGCTTCAGAAGACGTCTCAGAGGCAAAATCATCAGATTAATATTGAGGCTATATCTTCGAAATTACACAAGTACTCTATACTGTAACCATATATTACATTTGTCCACGTCTCTGTACATTTTTACGAACTTTCCACTTTTTCTCAAGTGATGAACCCTTCTCAAAGGTGATGTATGGAAGCTGCCTCTTGAAACGTTTCACTATTTCGTTAGATGCAATCTCCCAGATGGGTAGGTCGGTATTTCCCCTGACCATTATGATTGCCTCTTTTGTGAGGTCAAGAGTTCGAAATTGGGGTATGTATAAATTCATGATCTTCTTTTCCTGGTCTATAGAATGGACTAAGGCCAATCTGAAGAACTCTGTGCTTAACTTTATGAATTCCTTGTATGGCAATAACGGAAGTTGTCCCTTGTTGAAGAGTTCGCACTCTTCAAGATGGTCTCTCTTAACCTTGAATATCCCGACAATAGTGGCCTCTATGGATCTTTCCAAATGATCCATCCCGATACCAGTCTCTTTAAGGTGTGTTAGGGCACTGATACCAGTTGATACACCATAACTCACCTGAATAGGTGGTGAGAACAGCAACGGTTGGAAGTCAAATTTGAAGTCGTCAATCTTGTGAAAATAGGCCATGGTTTTCAAGAGTCTCAACTGTGATGAAGAATAACGGGATCCACTGTGATTAAAAGACCCTTGCAAAGGAATCAAATTAGTACCTTTTGGTATATCAATATCAACTCCCAATGTACCTGAGTTTAAATAGATGACATGGGTTGGTTTCACTCTTTCGATTAAAGTACGTGTCAACTCGAGCCCATATCCTTTGATCCATCCGGGTGTATTTATCAGTAGTGATTCATGTTTAAGCTCACCATCTGATTCATAGCTTCTTACCAGTTGTTCAACTAGGAGGTTATATCTCGTTGGTTGGTCCTTTGGGGAATTAAACCCCACATAATGACACTGAGTTGAATCTGTAGACGTTAAAGAGAGGTGATTCCCATGTTGCACTTCAGATATCTTACTGAGCGATATGCAATCAGTACCAGAATACTCAGGTTGACCTGGATCCAAATCCATAAAGTTTATGGGTAATTGTTGCAATGTTGGTGAGAGCATGTGTTGTACCAACAGCCTTAGAAAGGTTGATTTACCGGAATTCTTACCTCCAATGACGATGACTTTTATACTCTGATCATTGGAATAAAGTTCTGTAAGTGACTTGATCACATCCATCCAATTCTTGTGCTTTATTACAGAAACGGTATTGTCAGGTTTCGTTATTGGATAGAATGTATAATCGCTGAAAGCCAATTCATATTGGTCCAACAGTCTCAAGCTGTCCTCTGCAAAGAAGTTGTCAAACTGCCAAAACAGGTTCTTGAAGAGAGGACACACCCGCCCGATAGACTCAAGGTGTGTATCCAAATTTGTCAGTTTAATAACGGATTTATAACCTGGTGTGAAGAGATGTTGATTCTCCTGTGACTCTTTGTTCTCCAGCAGAGATGAGTTGAGCACTTGTGTTGCTTGTATAAGAGGTATTGAACTTGACGAAGGATTGATGAACTTCATCGGCTCAACGCCAGAATGATATATTACACCATTTATGTCAATAGCACCTCTTTGGATCTCTAGTACGAATTGTCCTTTGACAATGAGATTCTGATTGGACTTGAGGCCGAAGATCACATAGTCATGCCCATATATGGTATTATCGTCATCGAAAGAAAAGTTGGACGATATATACTTCGACTCCTCTATGTGTATTGATGCTGCTGGAGCAGACACAAGCCTATGCATAGGTTCGGAGGGCTGTTCTACGTCTTCTTCATCTTGGTCACTGTCCTGTTCGTCCGATGAGTTCACCTCATATGTAGGTATATCACCCTGTAAGGCCTGGAAAGCTGCCCAAAATGTTAGTAAAACTGCAACCTCGTTGATCTACCCGTATTCATACATACCACTCTTATGCATCTCTACCACACGTGAAGTCGGCTTAACATATAAAGAGCACACAGAGCAAGAGATGCTGCTGTGGGTCCGTAGTAAAAATTCTATGCTTATATGGGGTGTCCGGGTGTAATTGTTGATCTGTTTTTGCATGTTTACGTTTTGGTTTGTTTGTTTACATTTCTCAACCGAGGCGAACCAGTTGCGGTTAGACGACTAAAGCGACCAATGGACGACATCAAAAACGCATCAGAACTTGTTAACTCGGTCCTTGTTGCACGTGGTTATAATAATGATAGACTGCTATTCCCATCTATCGACACTGTGGAGGATGCTCAGGGCAACGATAGGGCGGTGCTGAACACGATATACGCTCTCTTACAGGAGCTGGACAAATCACAGAACGAACGGGCATATTTGAACGAGGTTCTACGTGACAAAAACGAGATCATAAAGCATTTTGAGGACTCTAATACCGAGCTGAACTCTGCGACAAAACGGCTCCAGAGAGAGTTACAGTCCAACAGGAACGAAGTTGAACTGCTGAATCAGCGGGTAAAAGCTATTCACAGGTCTAGAGAAAGTGCCAAGTTTGAACTTGTTAAGGAACGTAACGTTGTCAACTCTTTGAAGACCAAATATGACACGGATATGCGTAGGAAGACGGTCATTATCGAACAACTCCAAGACAAACTTTTATCAAAGAGAAGGAAGTTCTTCAGTGTGATGAACGATAACAATTTTGCGGAGGATTCACCACCCTTGTACGATTCAAAGATACAACTCGATAGAGAGCTGGAGTCTATGATGGTCAATTTGAGTGACTTAATCGATAAGCTCACTTTTGAAAACTCGTCTTCCGTTAAACTGCTCAATTTTGTCGTTGGCTACCTAACGGTCCTGAGCAACTACAAGAAACACGACACCTCAAACGTCCCACCTTCACCAAACTTTTTCCTTGAAAATTTGGAAAGAGAACGACAAGATGCAGATAAATCAACAAGCACTACACATATAAGGCATTTGACAAATAGTTCCAACTTGGAAAAGACGTTAATAGAACAGTTGAACAAGTTATATGAAGGAGTCACCATGGATTTCATGATCTCTGAGAGAGAGAGTAAATCTCTTCAATCTTCCAAAGTGGTACAGTTACAACAGACAGTTGAACAGTTACAAAAGAATCTCGACAGTGCCATTGAAACTAACGAAGAATGGCGCAGGAAATTCGATGGGATTCAAAGGAAATCCAACCCACCGGAACAGAAATTGGCAAAACAATAATGACACGGTGGAATGCAAATGATATAGAAAAAACCATTGGTGGTGACATAAAAGAAAATCAGAATATTAAGAATGAACGAATGGACGTGACACATGAAAAGGTGGTCGTTCCAGCCCCATGGTGATTAGCACATGAAATCTGTATAGATGTGCTTGCGTGTGTGAAAGATTGTACACCAAACCCCAGGGGATGAAAACGACATGACGAATTATTCATAAGCAGCATAAAAGGATGATAAAAGAGGCATTTGGGGGTCCTCATATTAGTTTTTCATCTGTGATTTCATCTGAATATCCGTCATCTTGGTATTCAATGTCATCCTCATCGTCATCTATTCCGAGCTTCATCTCCTCGTCCTCCTCTTTACAGCTGCGTAACTTCACAACGAGGAAAATCACAGTGATCAACAACACTGACAAAAGCATCGAAAAGAACATTATGAGCAGCATGGTGAAGCTCGAACATTCAACCTCTTCTTTGCTGATTGAGTATTCCGTCGAGGAAGACGTGAGCGACTCTGGGTATATGAGCTTGGCAATGTCAATGAACATTGTATCGGTTTTGATTCTTGAACAATGGGTATCTCGGGACGTCTCGTGTCAAATATCGCGTATTCAAAACCGTTGAATACAAGTGAAATATGAAACAAAAACTAATTGGAGTAGTCTGTGATGTTGTGGATATGTGTTGCTTATAAGGGGGAGAAACGGGAAATCTAACCAACTTTTTATACGAGTCAGCCCTTATTATTTTTTGGTCCTCTTTGCCCTTTTGTGTCTCACAAGATTCTGGGTTTTTTCTTGCTTTTGCCCTTTGCTTCACGGGCCGGTTATGCTTGAAATTATGCGTTACAGCCGCTTTAAACGATGTACGCGTCTTCGGGCCTTTCGACTTTTTTTATTAATTTTGTTGGCTCTCTGTTAGAGGACTTTCTTAATCGGGTAATGTAATTAAATAAACCTGTGCGGAACGGCATGGCTAACGTTTATCAGATGTCAGATTTGACCGTTTTGCTCATTCCGTTGAACTGAAGGATTTTGGTTTGAAGCTTCTCAGCTCTTTCGCAAGTTCCGATGTTCGTTTTGTTTCTTGGTTTTCTTCCGCCTTGGAAATGACACAAAAGACGTAAGCGTCGGGAAACGCCAAAATGCAAACAGAGAGGTTCGATCGCGAGACAGGCTTTCTGGTATGGACAGAATGATCACACGTCTTGATGAGCGTAGAACCCTCTGTTCTGAATGAAGAGAGAGTGTGTATACGATGGGAAGTTATGTTGGTGTTCAGCGGGGCTTCAGGTTGCTGAAAGGAGTGCGTATGTACATCGTACTACTATAGCACTAAGCTGGGATAATACAATGTACGCGAGACATGGTGTGAGGCTCAAAATGGGAAGAGAGTTAGGTACATTGGAGGGAAAAAGAGACCCCCGTCCCTTCGTTTAGAAAGAGAAAACGGGCCTTGGAGAAGAAAAAACAGCTCAACATGCACGGCAGAATGAAGTGATTTTTGGTAGACGCAGGCGCCGGACGGCCAGAGGGTTCCTACTTATCCGGTGGGAAGAGGAAAAAACTTTTTACATGAGGGTACATTGTTACATAGCTTGCGTTAATTAATTACCTGCATTTAGGTCAAGTTGGACATGTTTTCAGTTAGCCCAATTGAGAAGGTCTTGTAAACTGTTTTGGATGAGGTGTTATCTTTTAGGTAAAGCAATCGGTTCTGACAGTGCTCTTAAAGTTGGGGTAAGTTGCCTAACAATTGTTAATGTGCACCTCAATTTGTCGAACTGGTGTACATGTGAAGCTCATATAGACGGAACTGTCGATCTGTGAAAGACGTAGTGCCGGCATTTATTGTCTCCGTGTGTGTGTGTTTTCAACCCTTATGATCTTGTACACTATGTACTGTGTTACGCGTAAATCGCCATAGAGTTCAGCCGGGTCGTTGAAAGGAGAGACCTCATGGTGTTCTTTTAGGGTGTTTTTATGAAAAAAGTGTTGGGGCTTACTTTAGACTGTCATCTGGAATTGATGGGATTCCATTGTTCATAGGTGCAATTGGTGGATTCTAATCTATTGAACCGCCTATGCGCATATAAATTAAGATATACAGTAGGCAAATATTCTGATCGCTGTTGAAGCACATTTACCGAAAGCAAGGTCAACGGCCATGGTGAAAGTGGCTAACAGAGTATCACTAACTTCATCACAGTGTGTAATTACTATCTTCAAGATGGACTCCCTACATATATATACAAACATCTATGCTGTGTTCACGACTCATTTCCATAGAGTTCACTATTGTAATAGTCATGATGAAATTAATCATCTCATCCCAGATGGTGGGCTCAAAATGTATAGCTTTTGATCTGAATACTCAGACATCTGTTAAGATCTAAACTGTTCACAAGTGTGTGGAATCCTGATACAGCTGCTCAGAGGGAAAGCTCGCTGAGGAATTTACAAATGTTTCAAAGCTCAACAACATCCCAAACCTATGATCTTCCTAACATCCAATCAGTATGTAAACCTGTGTTTCAAGCAGCACTATTAATCAGTTAAGTGAGATGGCCTTGGCTTTCATGTTCGTTGAAGTATACGACTTCGAGTCTGTTGGACTCTGAAGAAAATGCTTCTACGATGTAAGCTATCCGGGTTCGGAGGTGATTCTAATTACTTCCTATGACTGTCGTGCATTCTGACACTAGTTCGGCTTTATCTTTTGTCAAGGCTATTGTTCTGCTACTGCTTTAACTCCGGCTTGGGATCTTTAATCTTGGTGTCCAGGTGTTCCCGTCACCCAGACAACGTGACTTATATAGTCTCAACATGCAAGCTTAAATTGAGCTACCAATAATGTCTACCGATGAACTTGAAATACTACTCAGAAATATACAATACAACCTCCCAACTTTTTGGATGTATCATCTGTTGGTTCAGGTCAGAATTACTAAAGAACTATATCCTGTCCGATATTTGCTATTTCTCAAATTTTAATTAGTCTTCTGCTTTCCCTGAAGAATAATAAACCTGTCTTAAAATCTGCAAAAATCTACATAACTAGGTACTTTTGTTTATTATAAACGCATTGATACTGAAGCTTCACTAGAACTATGATAAATTCTGATTAGTCATACGAGAGAATACATATTACCAAGTCTGTGATGACAATGATTCCAATTTAGTTCATGTTGAACTGCCATATTATAACAATAACGTAGCACGCGTCGTGTTCTCTATCTGATCTTCGTAAAGTCGCAAGAAGTCAACATTACAGAAAGATGCATAGGTGTCTCGATTGAAACGATCTTTAGTTTAAGAGTTTTACCTGAGAAAGTCAGCGAATGAGATGAGCGTGGATTTCACCTTCTTTACAAATGAGGGATGAAAAAGCATGACCAACCTTTAGTGTTAATTGAAAGACGTATGGCAGAGAATTCACACGATAAACGATTATTAACCATGACACTAAACGGTATATAGTGATGGTTGTAGAGTAGTTGTAGCAAAAGTGTCCACTTTCATTCTTGTAAAAGACAGAAGATAAAGTGTGTTTGAGGATCCAAGAGATTTATACTATTTTCCTTCTTGAGGTGTAATGCAACTGGACTTAAATTACATCTAGTTTATCCATGTTGTTTTATGAGGCGAAGAGTCGTGTGTTCATGTTTACCAGGAACCAGAACTTTCATGCTTGTAACTTTTAACTTATGAGAAATTATTATAGAGATTCCATCAATTAGGAATCATTGATAGTAAGAATTCTTGCATTTGTTTGTACTTTGATCCAACCATACGCTTGGTGATACTTTCCCAAGTGTTATAACTTCTGCAAGCGCTAGTCAACTTGCATGACTTGATTATGTGAGTGAACTGCGCAGCTTGGATATACACAACCGGAGTGAAGCCGTAAAGTTAAATAATTGACCCAGAGAACTATAATATTCAACGGTGTGGTTAGATCTGAAGAGCTATGGCCTGAGGTATAATTGGTTGAACCTTTGGCGAACTTCCCAAATACATCTCATGTCAACGTTGTATTACTCCAATCATTTGTCGGACTGATATAATCGCCAGTGAATTCATACATAACAGTGATTGATAAGTAGACCATTCAAAGCCTTTGCGACTTTGCTAGGACATTCAGCTCAGATTGGAGAACATCAATTGGGACGGACTGCTGGAGTAAACCATTTCTAGTAAGCCAGAGAATGGGTCTCTGTCTGTCTGGCGAATATGATAGACATGATTCTGATGTCCAACTACGATCAACTTTTAAAATGAGCATACAGTCCAGGTTAACAACTTTGGTATAGCATCAGAACTATTCATTACAGTAAGAAACGTTTTAATCACAACTTGCTACCCTCAAGATCCAAGTTGACATGCACAGCTTTTGTCTGGGTATAGATCAATAGACCTTTCTCACCCAATTCACGGCCACTACCTTCACCACTTTGCTTGTAACCACCGAAACTTGCCCTCACATCTTCATCGTTACTAGAGTTGATCCAAACAGTACCAGCTTGCAATCCTGCTGCGAATCTGTGTGCCCTCTTGATATTCGTTGAAAAGACAGCAGAACCCAGTCCATATGTGGTATCGTTAGCCAATTGTAGAGCTTCATCGTATGTGGAGAATTTGCATACAACTGCAACAGGTCCAAAAATTTCCTCTTTCCACAATTTAGAAGTAGTTGGAACGTTGATGAACACAGTTGGTGGAATATAGTAACCTTCAGCCTTGACTGGTTCATTCCCCATGAATCTCTCCAATTTCTCAACGTTCAAACCGTGGTCAATATAAGATTGGACACGGTCTCTTTGAACCTTTGAGACAAGTGGACCAACAGTGACCTTTGGGTCGAAAGGATCACCGACAATCCAGTTAGAGTCAACGTAGTCCTTGAACAATTGCAAAAACTTGTCGTGGACGGACTCATGAAGGATAATTCTTGAGTTAGCAGTACAGTTCTGACCACTGTTGTAGAAGATACCCAATGAGGCATGTCTGACAGCACTTTCCAAATCGGCATCCTCAAAAACGACACATGGTGATTTACCACCACATTCTAAGGTGACTGCCTTCAAGTTCGAAGCCGAAGCCATCTGTTGGATCAATTTCCCCACTGCTGTAGAACCCGTGAATGCAACTTTGTCAATATCCATGTGACTTGCAATTGCTGAACCAGCTTCTTTACCCCAGCCCGAGATAATGTTGACCACACCGGGTGGGAATCCTGCCTCAATGATAAGGTTACCAAAGTACAACAAACTCAATGGAGTGTTTTCAGCAGATTTGATAACAACGGTGTTACCAGCAGCAATTGCACCGAGGATCTTCCATTGTGCCATTGCTAATGGGTAGTTCCATGGAACGATTTGTCCAACGACTCCATAAGGTTCTTGGACCTCGTAGACAAACTTATCAGCATTGATCTGGGTATATTTACCAGGAACTTTGTCTGTATAACCGGCATAGTAACGACAAAGCGAAGCAGATTGTGCAATGTCGTTCAAAGCATTGTTTTCAAATGGTTTACCGGCATCGATAGCATCAATTTTTCCGAGGATCTCCCCATTCTTCTCCAGGAGATCGGCCAGCTTCCACATGAGCTTACCCTTATCGCTTGGTTCGATGTGCTTCCATGTCTTGTTATAAGCCTCTCTCGCAACTTGAACGGCCTTGTCAACATCTTCAGCACTAGCAGCATGCACCGATGTAATCAATTTCGTGGAATGTGGAGAGTAGGACTCAATCAACCCGCCTGTACCTTGGACAAACTCGTTGTTGATGAACAGACCCAATGGCTGTTCGTATTTCGTGCCATCTGGCAGTGTAATGGTCTCAGACAGCGACATTAGCAATCTCTGGGCTCTGGATATTCAATTGAATAAAAAATATAGTATAACCAAACGTTTCCAGGAGAATATCCCAGAAAAGGCGATGCACATTGGCTTTTATATCTTCCCTGCCTTCTCTTTCCCCCGGAAGATTGATAAGCAGAGAGCCACAGGTTAGTCCGAAGTGAAAAAAAAAATTGGAGACTCCAGCGCATCCCAGCAACGGTGATGTTTCCCCTGTTCTTTCACCATCCGGAATACGAAATCCGCATTAATATGAGCCTTGAAGCTTTTGAAAGCTCATCTACTATTTATGGCTACAAGTGACAGTTCATAGAGAGCTTTTGTCTTTTACAAGAAATAGTCCTTAAAAGCAGAGAAGCAGAGTCAAATTCTTGCTGATGGTCTCCGTGGTTCCAGCTCAATCGCTATGAAATTCCCCATGCTATTTTGTAGCGTTCTGGGCTCAACCTTCCGTATTGGGATTGGCATTGAGACGTGTATACAAAAGATGAGTAGAGAAAAAGCGTACGTACCGCATAGCAATACGGGCGTGTAGCGAAAGGTGTAATTATACATATGAATCTATGTGAGGACCTTGCTATTAGACAGCGTCGCCGTTCTCCTCGGCAATCAGCTTCTTGGACACTGCTAAATGTTGCACCAATTTGTCATTGCCCTCGTGGAAGCAGAGCCCTCTTTCGAACACCACCCTCGCCTCGTCGTATCTGCCCAAGTTTAATAGCGCTATACCCTTTCTCAAAAAGTTCTCAGCCGTTAGCGCCGTCATCAGCAGTAACAGATCAGCATCTACTAGTGCATCTGCGTATTTGGCACTCAGCATATAGGCATCGGTTCTGAGCTGTAGAAATCCAATCAACTCTTGCAATTGTACTTGGAAGGCCTCCCATCTCTTTCTTCTAGAAGCAGCGTCAATGGCCACCGTGATGTTCTTAATGGCTTCAGCGTACGCACGTCTCTTCATAGCATCCATGGCTGAGTTGACCAGCTTCTGAATCATGGCGGTCTGCTGTTTAGAAGGTTCCCCGTTCTCTGGAACCTCTAATCCAGAACTGACGAGGTCTTTAGTCAATCTGTTCAACGCATCGACTTCTTCAATGTATCCCTCACTTGTGTCTAAGGCACTGACGTGCTTCGTTACAGGATCATAGGAAAGATTAGCAGCCATCTTATCTTCTTATCAACCTCGTCGTTCTATTCGCTTTAAGAGCTGTAGTCGTTTCTCGAAGATGCTTTTGAACCGCCTTTTTACTTTTGTATTCGTGTTAAAAAAACACAGGCGAATAAAATGTACAAAAGCGGAAAGTGTCAAAACTCAGCAGATTTCCTAAAACAGACATTTCACGACAGAGATCCTCAGCCAGACCTATATGATGGCTTTTACTAGAAATACTTACACAGCTACAAAGCAGGTCAAATGTCATAAAAAGGTTTCGAATTAAACGTTAAATGGTAAGATTTAAAGGTCCCTACTGTCTAAAAAATTTAGACTGGCAATGGGAACTCACCAGCCCATTCGTAGATCTCTTGCTTCTTCTTGGACAATTCCTCAGAACCAGCAGCGACCTTGGCCTTGAAGTCTTTCAATCTGTTAGCATCCTTTGGCAAAGCAGCTTGAACCTCCTTAGCGTAGTTGACAGCCCAGTCAATGTAGTGAGCAACCTTCTTGAAGTCCTCCTCACCCAAACCTCTGGTGGTCATGGCTGGGGCACCGATACGGACACCACCTGGGACCAAAGCGGACTTGTCACCTGGGATGGAGTTCTTGTTCAAGGCAATGTTGATGTTTTCACAGACAGTTTCGATTCTGGCACCGTCAATACCCTTGTCTCTCAAAGAAACCAAAACCATATGGGAATCGGTACCGTTAGAAACCAATGTGTAGTTCAACTTCTTGAATTCCTCTTCCAAGGCCTTTGCGTTCTTCAACACTTGTTCTTGGTACTCCTTGAACTCTGGGGTAGCCGCTTGCTTCAAGGCAGTGGCCAAAGCAGTGATGGTATGGTTGTGTGGACCACCTTGGTGACCTGGGAAGACGGAGAAGTTAATTGGGTTCTCCAAGTCATAGAGGATCTCCTTACCGGTCTTTGGGTTAACAGATCTGACACCTCTTCTGAAGAAGATCATGGCACCTCTTGGACCTCTGAGGGACTTGTGGGTGGTGGTGGTGACGATATCAGCGTATTCGAATGGAGATGGGATGACACCAGCAGCGATCAAACCAGAGATGTGGGCCATGTCGACAACCAAGTAGGCACCAACCTTGTCAGCAATCTCACGCATTCTCTTGTAGTCAATCAATCTACAGTAAGCAGATGTACCGGCAACCAAAACCTTTGGTCTGAACAAAATGGCGTTCTTCTCCAAAGTGTCGTAGTCAATGATACCGGTTTCCAAGTCAACTCTGTATGGCATGGTCTCAAAGTAAGTGGAGACAGCAGAGATCTTTCTGGTGTCGGTTTGGTAACCGTGGGACAAGTGACCACCGTGTGGCAAGTCCAAACCCATCAATCTCTCGTGTGGCTTCATGATGGCTTGGTACACTTGCAAGTTGGCTGGAGAACCGGACAAAGTTTGCACGTTAACTCCCCACTTCTCCTTGTCCAAGTGGAAGGCATCGAGAGCTCTTTGTTGACACAAGAGTTCGATTCTGTCAATGTGCTCGTTACCACCGTAGTAACGGGCACCTGGGTAACCTTCAGAGTACTTGTTACACATTGGGGTTCCAAGAGCATCGAAAACAGCAGTGGAGGTGAAGTTCTCAGAGGCGATCAGAACAATGGAGTGTCTCTGTCTCTCAATCTCATCCTTGATGATGGATTCAACTTCTGGATCAGTGTCCTTGAGGTGACCCTCAATGAGTTGCTTGTGAGCTTGGGAAAGTGCGTAAGGCATATCGAATTGGTTACGGTTAGATACAAAGGCAAATGTAGCAGGAGAGGAAGAAGAAGCGGAATCCCGACATCCTTTATAAAATTTTCATGAGCAGTGATGGAGGAAGTTTTTCACGTGCATCAACCATCGATTAATTACAGAGCAAATTGGGCCTGACTTCCTGAGTCAGAAAAAAAAAAGTCCCCCTAACAAAAGAAAAACTGATGCAACAGTTCACCTCTGCAATCTAAGACCGAGTCAGCGATATCTAAGCAACAGAGTACAGGTTATGCAAGATGCCTTTATGTGCGTGTATTCGGTTTTATGACCTCGAAGTGCAAAGAGATGACACATAAAATTGACGTAATTTGTTCTTTTTTGACCCTTTTTGCTTCCTTCACTTCTTTTGATCCTCCAATGCCTCGGTGATGACTCTGATCGCGGTGTCGATGTGGCCCAGCGAGTCGTCGAGGGCGCTCACACCCATGTGGCCGACTCTGAAGTACTTGCCAACGAGCTGCTTGTGGATACCACCTGCAATGACGACGCCCTTTGCGTAAACGTCTGAGATGAACTTTCCGCCGTCGATTCCCTCTGGGAAGTAAGCAGCGGTCAAACCACTGGCTGCGACTGTTTCGTTGACCGGGACGATACCGACACCGAGGTCAGCCAAGGCCGCTTTGAATTTCTGGGAAGTTTGCTTGTTCTTTGCAAATCTGGCATCGAGACCGCTCTCGAGGATCTCCTCTAGCGATACGTTCAACGCGTTGACTGTTTGGATAGCTGGGGTAGCAAAGTAGGAAGGCTTGCCAGCCTCGTAGTTCACCAAGATTGGCAGCCATCTTTGCAAGGAGGCAAAGAAAGTGGACTGCGTTGGTCTGTTAAGGGCTCTTTCGACAGCTCTCTCGGAGAGGAACCCAATGGACAAACCAGATGGAACACCAATGGCCTTTTGGGAGGCGGACAAGACGTAATCCAAGCCCCATTTAGTGAATTCAATGTCCTCAACACCAACAGAACAGACTCCGTCAACAACAATCAAAGTTTCTGGAGAAACCTTCTTCACAACTGCAGCGATTGCCTCCACATCGGAGACGACCGCGGTTGATGTATCAACGTGGGTGATAGTGATAACCGAGTACTTCTTCTCTTGCAATTTCTTAGCAATGTCATCGTTTGGAACAACGTCTCCAACTGGAGCAGTAAGAACGTCAACGTTGGCACCGTAAACTCTCAAACACTCTGCAAAGGAGTCAGAGAAGAAACCAGTGGATAGCACCAAAACGTTATCCCCAGGGTACACCAAGTTTGAAGCAGTAATATCCCAACCAAGGGTACCAGAGCCGGCAATGACGACACCTTGATCCTTTGCATTGGTTGATTTGAACAACTTACGCAAGTTCTTCAAGGTGTTCTGGAAGATCTTGATGAACTCTGGAGAAGTGTGCGCCAATGACTGGATAGACTGTGCCTTTCTAACGGCTTCAGAGATAACGATTGGACCTGGAATCAATAGCAATTTTTCAGTGTCAGACATTTTGTGTGTAGTAGTGGAGAAGGGGGATTTGTTAAACAATGGATAAAACCTCTGGAAATTGTTGCCTTTTATAGCTGAAGCACGAAACAGATTACGGGTTGCTGAAACTGCACAACGGCTTTGGATCATTTATAAAAAAGAAGAGAAAAAGAAAGATTAAAACGTTGGTAAAGAGGACAAGGTGTGGAGAGGAGAGTTCCATTGGTATTTATACTGTTTCATTCCACGTACGTTAGTCACCGTACGTAAATTTTCGTGCCGATGAGGGATTGATGGAGGCTCTGCTCGACAAACTTCGAAACGGGACCAGTCTTGTCATCTTCACCCTGATACAAGCGTGAGAATCTCTCGGAAAAGGCCGAGTAGTGTTATCAGTAACGAACCACAGGACAGACCTGCGATATACAGTTCTATCTACAATATGAACCCTTATACAATCCAATTGATGCTATTGATGCTGACGATATCCCACCATCAAGCGAGACATTTCGTCCCCAAATGGTTAACAGGTTCCCCCAACCCCTTCTTCCCCCACGAGCTTTCAACGCCTATAATTCTCTCCATTCGACCGAGCTCTTTCGAAAGCGTCGGAACTAAGATCGCTGACACTTCGGAAGTGTCGGAATTGTCGGTGTTAGTCGGGGATTTATTTCCCCTTTGAGCGTTTCTTACCTAACCTTTCCCTGGCTCTTTGAAACTCTTCTTCGCTAGGTTCTTCAACAGCGTCCTTTTTCGACTTTTTACCTCTTTTCTTTGTATTCGAATACTTTGATTCGAGTCTCGAGATCAAGTCATCCATGGATTGCTTCTTCCTCGACTGAATGAGCTGTCTTAGGTCGTCCTCGCTGTCCAGCTTTCTCTTGTTGCCGACGATTTCCTTCTTTAATTGCTCTGCCTCATGAGATTCATCTGTCTGTGATTTGAGGTACTTGTTGAAGTTAGTTCTTCTCTTCTTCTTATAGCGGGCCCACTTATCTGTAGACTCGATGATCTCGTCCTCCAGTAGCTTCTCAACGAGAGCAAACAATCTTTGCTCCTCTTCAAGGGTGACATCCGTGTGAGGAATCGTCTCAAAGAGTTTGAGGAACTCACCATCGTTGGTGATCCATGCTTCAATAATGTCCTGCCCTTCTTCTTCGCTGCCTTGGTAAACTTGCTTGTCCTTCTTGATATTATCCTCAGTGATTTCTGCCTTTGTATTTGCGAAATACTCGAACCAATCAAATTCACCATCACCAATGTCGTCAAGCGAACCTGTCTGATCATATCGTTTACGCTTCTTCCCATCTGTTAGTATGGAGTGCGCAAATTGGATCTTCTCAAAATGAGACCTTGACGCGTCTTGTTCTTCGCTGGATTTACCTTGAAGCTTATCAGGATGGTGTAAGAGACATAGTTTCCTGTAAGATCTCTTTATTTCTTGTTCATCAGCATCAGTTGAGACCTTTAAAACCTCATACGGGTCTAAATCTGGGAATGGAACTGCCATGGAGATATAACTTTCCCTTTTATGTTTGTTGAGGGTGTTGAAGTTGAGAGAGAAGAGAACGTTAACAGGTGCGCGCGCCTCCAAAATTGAAAAATTTCCCATCATCGACTCGTTGGAGAAGCACTCATTAAGGGAAACAGAGCGAGCACTTTGCACAGAGATTAACAGAACCATGGTGTACTATTTCAAGTCAGTAGGAAGTGATAAATCCTTTGAGGACTCCCCTCGTCTGCTATACATGGGAAAGGATAAGATGGAAAATGAAGATCTCATAAAATACGGACTGGACGATGATGTATGGTTTCATGTTGACAACCTCAGCTCGGCACACGTCTATCTAAGGCTGGAACCAGGTGAAAAATGGGATCAAATCCCCGAGGCTATTCTTGTTGACTGTGCCCAATTGACAAAGGCCAACTCAATACAAGGGAATAAGAGAGATAACGTTACTGTGATATACACTCCATGGAGAAACCTTCGTAAGACAAAGGGAATGGCTGATGGAGAAGTTGGTTTCAAGAATGAAAAGTCCGTGAAGAAGATCCATATTCAGTTCCGTGAGAACTCTGTGATCAACAGGCTACAGAAGACGCGTGAAGAGATTAAAGGCCGTGAACACCTTATTGTCGCAAGAAATGCGAGAGACCGTGATGCCGTGAACAGATTGTTGGAGAAGCAGAGAAAGGAGAAGGAAGAGGCCGAACAGGAAAAGCTTAGAATAGCAGAGGAGAGGAAAAGACGTGAAACCATGTATGACGACTTGTTTGCTGACCAAGATGAAATAGAAAAGAGCAGTAATCAAAGAAGGATGTACGATCCAGAAGAGGACTTTATGTAAAATGACTCTCTGTAAGGGCCCCTTCCCTTCCCCACTAATAGACGAAAGTACCACTGCGATTTTATAAACCGGTGTTCTCTCCACTTGTTATTGTGTACTAACGCGTAGTTATACCATAGCCTTCATTGCTTCTTGTTGTAAATAGTATCATGCATATCGATGCCTGCCCTCATGCTCATCGAGTTGGACTGCTCCTCTGACATTCCAACAAGTTGTAACTATTTACCTACCCAAACTTTTTGTCAACATTCCCGTGCTGTGGATTAAAACAAAAGAAAACAATCATTAGTGGTTATATAGAATACAGTCTATAGTGATATCAACAAACAGAACGGCAAGAACAACAGCGTTTTGGGAAAGATATAGACCAAAGCATGGCGTGTTGTTCTACTCTAAAACAGATGCACTCTTTGAAGGTTTATGTGACTTGTGGGCATGCGGTTTAGCTCTTTTCGGTATCGTAAACACCTCAGATATCGAGTTGCTTTGTTTATGTCTGAATAACCCCTTCCATCTCGAAGATTTTGGAGTCTCAAAATCGCTGTCATTAACGTAGATGCTATACCGTACTCCCTCTCTCGCCGTTTGTACCTGAGCTCTTTCCACGTTGTGTATCTTTGTCTCTAATTCAACAGGCGTTGTCGGTGTTGATGATGGAATACGCCCTCTCAGTGATGGGAAGCATGAAGCTGGGACGTGTAGTGGCTTCTTATGCCGTGTGTTAGGGGTCGACTCCGAAGACGATGAAACCTTACGCGGCGAGGCGGCAGCTCTCCATGCCTCTTCCTCGTCTTTATCCATATCAAGCTGTTGTAGCAGAGAGCCGTCCATGCCATATTCATCGCGGTCGTCGTCTTCAGGAACTGTGTCGTGGGAACTGCTATAGTTTCGTGTCAGAGACAGCTCTGTAAGAGATGTGGACGCTGTATTCGTCGAGTCCGCAGTCCTGGATCTGCGTGGCGTCGTCGTAACAAATGCGCTACCCATGGTTTACGAGAAGCCTATCGTGTGTGTTGTAGAATGTGATTTTCTATGTGTCTGAGCTTGCTCCTGTGTGGAAAGTTGTGAGGGTTGTTTATTGTTTGAAAGGACCCGGTAGGAGGGACAGGAAATTTTGAGGGAGCGTCAGCGCGCGCGCACAAGATTTTAAGGCCCGTTGCGAAAAATAGAAACACCCCTACAACGTGAAAAGGGAAAGATACTTACGTCATAATTTTCAAAATCCCGGTAGTAATTGAATAAAGACGGTTAACCCATACATTTGAGGTATACACAGGTTTGAGTGCTCAGTATGGAGCGCATGGCATTCCAATGGGCTGCGAACATGCCCCTGGTTACGAGGTGCTGGTGCATAGCGTCTATTGCTACAGCGGTGATGATTAGTGTCAATTTGATCAGCTTTGAGGACACTCTGTTCTCTTCACGGTTAGTGTGGAAGGACAAACAGGTATGGCGGATACCGCTATCGTTAGCATACGTGGGTGATTTGGATATGAATTTGTTCTATTCGTTATTGCAACTGGTCACTATATCAGGCGACTTGGAAGGTTCCCTCGATAATGCGTTTGAGTACGTCTGGTTAATCGCCACTACGAGTCTCATCCAAATACTCGTTGATACGATACGCGGAAAGTATTCCTCGTTGTCATCTCAGATACTCACCACTTTACTGTACTTCTGGGCAAAGAGAAGACCTGATGCGGAGCTGAGAATATTGATTGTGGTCGGTATCAGAGCATCTTACTACTGTCTGCTTTCAATATTGACATACTTCTTCCTTGGAGACGAGAGACACCTTTTAAGCATAGCGATAGGACACGTAGTGTTCTATTCTTACGAAATTGCACCAAGTGTGCTCGGCATAAACCCATTGGCACCACCATGGACTCAAGTCAAGCCTTTCCTAGAGGCAAGAGAACGTTGGAAAAAATTGAGGGCAATACGGGAACACAGGGAATGATAGTCATATATATATGATATGTGTATATATATCTAATGAAAAGTAATGGATTTGTTCATGACAGAACTGGGGTAAGTATCGTCGTATTGGATTCCAAAATGCTCATAAAACTTCCTATCCATCTCTGCATCAGCTCCAATCTCACTATTCTGTGTATGCAGCATAGCGGCTAGGTGCTCATCTCTCTGATCCATCTCTCCAATGTCACTCTTTAGAAGATTAATAGTGAATAGACTCAAATTCATATCTTTCAACATCTTGAACTTGTACAGGCTTCGTATGTAGGGTTTCAACTCTGGTGATATCCACTCTATGTTTGGAGTGATCAGTGGTTCCCACTGTTGAACCCGTTCCACGTAATGGCCACCCGAAGCATCCTTTTTATCAATCTTCTTAGGAGTTCCATTAACAGATCTAGACTTAAATGCGGGTCTGTTGATCTTAGAGCGTAACATGTCCATATTTTGCTGTATTCTTCTATTTTTTCTTTTAGGGGTTTTTGGTTCTTCATCAGATAGCTTCGGCTCTTCATTCCTGTTCTTTATCAGACTAGTCTGAGATCTTGTAACCCTTGACATTGCTTCTAAAGTTGACTCTAATAGGTATATGAAAAAGTTGATTCACTTGCCTCTCGCAGTTCTTTGGTATCCTATTGACCAAAGCTATGTGCAAATAATTTTCGATGCGATGAGATGTTGCGCGTAACAAATAAAGCTTCAACTACGAGAAGTAATACAATAGAGTGTCTCTTAGAACTAGTATAAAAAAACTTATATGAATAAATAAAAGAGGAAACTCGTCATATAAAGATCATATGATACATGCGTTATTAATCACAGCTCATCTCTCTGTTCGCCTTCTTGTGCCTTGACGTCCTTTTCTGTGATACCTTCTCTAATTTTCGAAGACCATCCGCGGGCCTTCTCAAATCCATTTTGACCTGATTGGTAGTTCATGAAGGTTTCATAGATCTTTTCTCTGCTTGTGGCAACAAATGGACCATGTTGCACAACTGGTTGGTCTAGTGGCTGTCCACCAATGACCACGAATCTCGAGCTACCCTTTTGAGACTCTGGAACCTTTGCAGTAACAGCATCACCATCACGGTCAAAGAATACCGCGCTGTATTGAGCCATTTTTGTACCGTTAACCTCAAGCCCACCTTGCATTATGTAGAGGAAGACATTGTAGCTTTTTGGAAACTCTTGGATGAAAGATCCACCAGGCGCAACTTCATAATCGTAATAATCAACAGCGACTTTAGCCAAGTTCTGTACGGACTTTACACCATAGGCTTCTCCTGCAATGACCTTAACAGTGACTTTATCATTTGGTTTGGCAATAGGGATCTCTTCTCTTTTCAAATCTCTATACAGAGGATCACAATTCTTCAACTCTTGTGGCAGGTCAACCCATAGTTGCATACCAACACAAGGTTTGTTATCTTCTGTTCTAACGGGGATTTCTGCGTGAACAATACCCTTACCAGCAGTCATGAATTGTAAATCACCTGGTCTCAAGACACCTGTTGATCCGGTGAAATCTTCATGAGCCACCATACCTTCCAGGACATAAGTAACTGTGGAGAATCCATAATGAGGGTGATCTGGGAACCCAGCTGGTGCCTGAACTGTAAAATGATCCAACATAAGGAAAGGTGGGAAGTTTCTTTGCTTCATTGTACCGATTGAACGTCTAACATGTGCACCAACACCCTCTTCCTGTGCAATTGCAGCAAACGCTTTCAATATAGAACGTGGAGACACCATTTGATTAGTTTTATCTTGATGTTGCACCTTGGTTATTTCAATATCTTCTGAAGGTATAGAATGATTGTTATCCATACTGTGAAAATTTATTCTCAAAGAGGTTAAACAATTGATAAATGATTCCTTCCTCTTTTTATACATGCGATGCCCTCCAATGGCAATTCAGATTATGAAATGCTTACATGATAAATCCACTGTTGGCCCTATCAATAAGTCGGTGTGGACATCCTGCAATGACAAAGACTTATGTAAAACGACATAGGGTAAGCACACAGAGAAGGGTATAGAACTTCTCACCATTTGTGGATTTTCTGATTGATGATGTGTCATACACAGAAGTCACTCTCACTGTTCATAATTGGTGATAAATCATTAGTTGAACGTTAGTAATTCGTTAGAGTTATCGTTACGCAGTCCAGATTAGTAAGCATTAGATGAGACATCGAGGTAGATCACTAGGACTCAAGGTGAGTATGGCCACGGATAAATCACATTTGAGATAAAACTTGGATAGAATGGATACGAGTGTTGCCCCCCAAGAAGTGTCCTTTTGTAGACTTTTGTAGACTTTTGCACCAAATGTGAAACTGCTGTGTTAAGGCACGAAAAGACAGCAAAATGACGGCTAAACTAATTTATGGCAAGAAAAGTGTCCGGATATGGGAAATTCAAGCCTAAAAAATTCAAGCCCTTCCCACGGGAAATCTTTAGGAAGCACACAACGGACATTTTACCAACTCCTTATCTCGCTCGTATTATCTACCATCGAGTCCAGAAGGGACCAGACGTTCATCTTATCATGTGCCAGTGTAGACCATCCACTCACTACGCGTCGTTTACTGGGCTGGAAGGCTGTGTCTTTGACACCTTGCTCCGGCATGCATGTAACCACGAAACACATCGCTGAGTTCATCGACATCTACCCAAAGCACCACTCGTAAATTGTCACATCTTGTCCTCCAGCTCATTTTGTTTTCCCCCTAATCCACCAGCATCTGGCCTTCAAATGTCAAGTCACGGAGCACGTCTCTCGAGAATGACTGAATAGTACACGAGCATGACATGCACCGGCTGCGGGACAATAGAACACACACAGTCTCTGACCGACCACACCTTCCGCTGCGCCTAGCGCAACCTGTTTCTCGACCGCAACATCCTGATCAAGTGTCTTGTCGCATCTTAGCAAGACACCCAGACACACAAGGAGTGCGTTCATGCTCCTCTAAAATCACGACCTGTTTCGGGCCTGAACCGGTGGTGAAAACGCCGACGACCTAGCTGGTTCAGAAAAAACCGTGGAGGGTTACAAGACACAACACCTCACGTGTTGGCAAGCTTGAACGAGGTGGTGGCAAATTCCAAACATCGATATGGGGACCTCAGTTTTAAAAAGAGAGATGGGGACCCCAGTTTAATCTTCTACGGTATTAAGAACAGAGCTTCAACGGTTGAGAGGAGCATCCTTCATAAAAAATGGCCCCCTCCATTGACCCCCACGCTTAGTCAAATAAATCTCCGGAAGTATGCTTCAACGGCCAAATTTTCACACCCTAAAACCGACATGAATCCAACGCGTTTTTCACGTTGAAGCAGGTGATACACCCCAATGAGCAATGGGCACCAATTTTTTCCGCCAATATCTACATGCACTATGATTCATACATCGAGACACTGGTGGAATGTACTAGCCCATTTATATATAACCAACGAGGTGCCTCGTTTGAGACGTGATTTCGTGCGAATGAGACTTGATTCTTCCTGCGCAACCTGGGTATCCACACAGTCTCAACAGAATTTCAACAACATATCACAGCATTACACGGAAACATGGTACGTTATCCAACAATTCAACATAGCACTCAATAATTCTCCCTACAACCCCACACAATCCGACCTTCAAAACCTTCAAATGCTCTTCGGAGTCCACCTCTTCGGGCTGGTCTCGAGCGTGTATGGTCATACGTTCTTTTTCCATTTCTGCTGGCTACGCCAACAAATCACAGCCTTTGTATGCACTCGGGTCGTTTTTTGGTTTTTGTCAGGTTATTCAGTTTCGAAGACTCTGTTTTCGGTGGAACAAAACATGCGTTTTGCATTTTACCCCATACCCCGGACATTAGAACCCATCTCCTACACTTTGGATCTAAATCCCGTGCTTTCCATCGGATTGCGACAGAAATGTGTGCCTTGTTTTAAAGTTGTTTGTGGGTGTAAAACACGGGAAAAGGGGAATTGGACAAGCAAGTCGGTTGTTATGCTTCTGGTTCAGTACAGATTACTAACTTCTCCGTCCCCTTGGGGGGCAAAAAGCTACTATTTAAGGGGTTCATCCCGCCCTCTTCTAAAGTTCTCAAGTCCGCTGTGTTTAACAGTTCTTCCACTATAACGAAACGACTAATGACATCCTTTAACAGAGCACCAACCAACGCAGTTGAAATCACTTTGCCAAATGGCGTGAAGTACGAACAACCAGTCGGTATCTTCGTCAACAACGAATTCTACGAGACTGACGCAACCATCACCGTTGAGAACCCGGCTACCGAGGAGAACATTGTTGAGGTTTACTCTGCCAACGCGAATGACGTTGATTACGCTGTCGACTGTGCTGAGAAGGCCTTCAATGAACACTGGTCTACATCCTCTTCAGCTACTCGCTCCAAGATTCTTCACAAGATTGCTGACTTGATTGAGGAGAAGAAGGAGCTCATTGCTGCTATTGAATCGTCAGATAACGGTAAGACACTTGCTTGTTCCCGTGGTGATGTCTCTTTGGTCATCAACTACTTCCGTTACACGGCTGGTTTCACGGACAAGATCGATGGTCGCTCCATTCCTGGTGACGGTTACGTCAACTACACATACAGAGAGCCATTGGGTGTGTGTGGTCAAATTATCCCATGGAACTTCCCACTCATGATGTTGGCTTGGAAGATTGCCCCAGCTTTGGCCACATGTAACACCGTTGTTCTTAAGCCAGCTTCTGCTACTCCACTTAACGCTTTGATGTTTGGTAAGATCTGTCAAGAAGCTGGTGTCCCAGCCGGTGTTGTGAACATTGTTCCAGGTCCAGGTAGAACCTGTGGTGAGGCCATCATCAACCATCCAAAGATCCGTAAGATCGCCTTCACTGGTTCCACTTCTATTGGTCGTGAAGTCATGGTTAAGGCTGCTCAATCCAATTTGAAGAAGGTTACTCTCGAGCTTGGTGGTAAGTCTGCCCACCTTGTCTTTGCTGACTGTGACTTGGAGAAGACCTACCAGAACTTGGTCAACGGTATCTTTTTGAATGCTGGTCAAATTTGTTCCTCTGGATCAAGAATCTACGTCCAAGACACCATTTACGAAAAGATGTTGGAAGGTTTCAAGAAATACATTGAGGAAAACATCAAGGTTGGTAGTCCTTTCGACGAGTCCAACTTCCAAGGTGCCATCACCAACAAGCAACAATTCGACACCATTATGGACTACGTTAAGATTGGTAAGCAATCTGGTGCTAAGTTGCTCTGTGGTGGTGAACGTCTTGGTTCTAAGGGTTACTTCATCAAGCCAACTGTTTTCTACGACGTTAAGGAAGATGACCAAATTGTGACCGAGGAAATCTTTGGTCCTGTCGTTGTCATCTCCAAGTTCTCCACCATCGATGAGGCCGTTGAGAAGGCTAACCACTCTGAGTATGGTCTCGGTTCTGGTATCCAGACCAACGATCTAAACACCGCTTTGTCAGTTGCAAAGAGATTGAAAGCTGGTACCGTTTGGATCAACACATACAACGATTTCGATGCCACTGTTCCATTCGGTGGTTACAAACAATCCGGTTTCGGTAGAGAGATGGGTGAAGAAGCCCTTGATAACTACACACAGGTCAAGGCTGTCAGAATCAAATTGAGAGACTTGAAATGAGTTGCTTGTAAATATCCGTGATGTTTATTCCTACTGTTTATGTTTTGTCATTTAGTTTAATTATCCCTATTCCTATTCAATAGTGTTTGTTCTTTAATCTCATTCTAATGGTAGTTCTCAACAACATATTGGAATAGCTTTGTAGCTAATGTCTTATCGTTAGGAATTGAATACGCTTTATCTGGTGTAGTCAAATTCAACTCTGCGTCCTCTGTACCGGTCTTGAGGAGATGCTCCAAATCTTTCAAAGGACACCAAAATGCGTGTTCTAATTCTTTATCGTGATTCAGGTCCAATTCATTTGAATGTTCGTCAACTATCGCAACACAACCAATCATCAAATTCATTGGATAAGGCCAAGGCTGTGTTTGTACTATGGAAACGTTCGACACGTTCAGCCCACTTTCCTCCCAAACTTCTCTTTTGACGGCATTTTCCACTGTTTCACCTGGTTCAATGAACCCTGCAATATGGGTGTACATTCCCTTGATGAATTTATGCATTCTAGTCATCAACACTTTATCCCTCCTATTGTTCAAGACGCAACATATTAATACAGGATCAAGTCTCGGGAACGAAGCATTTGACACATGAGCAGACTTCACAGAGCACTTATTGGTTTCGGCATTTGAGCACAACAACTCAGAGCCAGCGTTTATGGGTATGGTTCTCGAGCCACAACCTCTACAGTGTCGTGTTGTCGATAACCATTCAAGGTACATCTTGGCCTGTGCGTATACGCTGGCCTGTCTGTAGTCTAAATGCCTGTTCACTTGCTCACGAGTTCGTAGCACTTCAACACTTGGGTTCTGGGACATTACATATTTGTACATACTCGAATGTGAGTCCAATGACACTGCAAAATACGGCATACCTGAATACGAATTGTACTTAAACGATGTTGAACACGTAGTGTCCAACCCCAAGAAATGTACTAGAGGTGATTGTGAAAGGAGATGCAAGCTTTTCTCCTCATTGCCTTTAGCCCATCTGTCGATTAATAACCTATTAGTAGGATCCAGTGATTTGTAATTCAGAGACATAAACTTGTTGGTCCTTGTGTCAACAAGAGGAGACAGCTCGCTAAAGAAGATAATATTGGTAGCTGAAGAAGTTATGGCATCTTTGATGAATCTTGGGTCATTCCTCAAGAAAGAGAGACGATTGAGGTGGTTGGCTCCAAAGTATATCTCGTTCTTCAGCATTATGAGTGTATCTTCAAATGCACCTTTAATCCTGGCTCCCATATTCGGGTGATGAGAAAGAGAGAAAAAGTATTACAAAACTGTGGGTTGTTGATTATCTCCACAACGGGAACAAACTCCGGCAATCTTCAGAAACAAAGATCTGCCCCGTATTTCGTAGAGGCTGGACGTGTTGAATGGAGTTCTTTTGCAACTGGCCTCATAACCACGTTTGGTTGTCCTTGGCAATGTGCAACGCTTTTCCGTATCCGTATTCTTTACTTCATCGTGTTACTCGCTTTGGCAAAATAACTCTTGATGAAATGGCTGTTAACTTCGGTTTTCACCTCAAATCGTCTAACGGCTGAAGGTCTTAATTACAGCTTTGCGCCACGGCATCATCATCCATGCCTTACCTCATGGGTAATCCGTCGTTTTTGGGAGTAACCAGGATAATGTTCGGCCGATGATCGTAGGTAACCTAGTGAAATCAAGGTTAAAAACAATTAGGTGGATTCCAAACCTCAGAGTAGCGCGCTATCGTACCATAATTTGACAGTGAGGTTGGACGACAGTTAGCAGTGTGCCTGTGTGTTTCTGTTCGATGGGATCAATAGGCACTGTTACGTCCACAGCTCAACGATACTGCGGTAAGGTTTGCTAGGGGAAGGCTGCTTTACAGCGATTTCACCGCAATTAGGGTTTGTAGTGTGGGAAACTAAAGGTTGAACGCCCCAGCACAAGGTTCCGAAAGGTATGTAGTATTTGCACGCCAGGCCATCTAATATTAGCTATGGTCGGACTACACCAATCATGTACGTATCCTTGCCCAGAGGGCACGGGTGGTAGATGGCTGAATTCCTAACTTGAGTCCTTAAATTCAACAGCTACAAGGTTGCTCCAAGTACTTGGCTACACGTCACCGGTGACCGCAGCTTAAACTCCTTGCAACTGAATGACGAATCCATACCCTCTCACGCCCTGATATGTGAGTGTCTCGTATAAGCTCTAGAGTTGGTGAACATGGATGATGCTCAATAAAGAGGAGGTTTACTAAATATTGCTATCCTCCGTAGATTTAGACTGTGCGAATACATGATGGCGTTCTTACGTACGTCAAAGTGGTGGTATTCCTTTTTTAAAGGGCTACAGGGAGTCGCGGCCGATGAAGGAGACTGAAGACTGCTGACAAAGGGGAAAAAGAAGACGGCAAACAACGATCTACGCACACTGGAACCCGCTACATTGACTCTTTCTAACACACTCAGTGGAGGTGGAGGTCCAATGAACTTGTCATCCAGACAGCGCAAGCCCTTTCTCAGGATTCCCAATCTAGTGGGTTTACTCCTAGCTGCCTGTTTCCTCTCTGTAGAATTTTGTGATGAGCGTATGGAGAGAAGGATTTTGTAGGTTTGAAATTTATGTGTGTGTATGTATGAGCTACGTACAGAATAAAACGACTGAGTTTAATGGGAAGGAAAGGTCAAACTTGGAAAGGAAGCCGCCCGGAAATCATCAAGGAAATCACAATCCGCACAGCGAGTACGGCCAATATTAAAGCTCCAACGGCAAAAGAAAGCAAAATGTGAGTGCGCCTCCAAGGAAAATAAGAGGAAAAAGAAAAGAGTGAGAGTCAAAAGCGGGAAAAAGAAGAAAACTGCACTCAAATTTTGAGTCAGCGAAAGCAGAAAATTCAAGTTTTTGGTGCAAAGAGCGAGAAAAAAAGAAAGAAAAAGAAAAAGAAAGAAAGAAAGAAAGAAAAAGAAAAAGACTACGGAAGCTTTGGCAGCATTTTTTTTGTATGTGATAAAACCCCCTTCTTCTAACAAAAAGAAAAGAAAAAAACCGACGCAAAAGGGTCATAGCGATTTAGAAAAAGCAGGTAAAACGACAAAAAAATCACACTCCAAAATTTCTCAGCTACACAAATAATCATCTTTTCTTCGAAGACGAAAACTAACCAGACAACAGGGTTATTCGAAAACAGCAAACAACACATTCATCGCTTTTCAAAATAGAGCGGTTAACGAATAAAGAGGGTCGAACAACCGAGTTATTTGAACTTTGCTAAAGGAGTTTCTCTTAACGTTTCTATTTGATTCATTTTCGTGCTGATTAGCTTCATCAAGTTTTTTTTTGCGTTTGAAGCTTTTTCACGTATTTGCCGCCCACTTTTTTTTACCCCCTTTCTATCAACAACACACATTTTCTAACCACAAGAGGGATAAGATAATGGCTTCACATAATAACCAGGATAACCAGGACTTGGTGTCATCTAGTGGTCCATTCAGGAACGTATTCTTCAGTGAAGCGCCTAAGCGCTCCACCACTAATCCGCATGAAGATGCCACAAATATTAAGAGAGCTAGGCTTGACTCATCAACCATCCCACCATCGGCGCATGAGGGCACTACACCTGAAGAACAACAAGAGGCTATGGAGTGTGCTATTGACACAGCGCTCGAGGAGCTGAAGCCAGAACATCATCACCATCATCACCGCCGTTCAGTTCATCAAGTTGTCGTTGATGCTATAAGTCATCAGCAGCTCCCTGAACAGCTATTTCAACATACATCTGAGCATAGCGATTTTGTTTCAACACCAACGTGTTCCACGCCAGTTAACGAAGGCCTTGCACCCCAACAGGTGCATGCTATGGGGACTGAAGAAAATGAGAGGCAAATTATGGGAAGTAAGGAGATTTCAGATGAGCAGCAAGTGCAAATCCAAGCGTCAAAGACGTCGACAGATTTATCCACTTCTCTAACGGCGTCATCGTCTACTAGAGTGTCTCCTGCAACAAAAGTCCCATCTTGTGGTAAGCACTCTATAAAGAAGAGAAGCGCTTGCAGGGTGAAGAAGCACAGATCGCGTTCTCTACCAAATATTGTGTTTTCGTCCCTGAAGCATTCGTCTTCTTTAATCTCATCCGTGGCAAAATGTGCTCCACCTCCATTACCACCTGTTAACATTCAATCTCTGCGTGAGATTGATTTGGCTGAAATTTTGAAGAATCCACAACTTCGTCACGATATACTATTTGATCCTCAACTACAGTTCCGTCCAAATTTGGATGGTGAGCGTGGCCGCCGGAAAAAAATAACGTATGACAAGTATTGGGCTGGTGTACGTGATGAGATTGAATCGTACTATATCAGCAAATTACCGTTTGTTGAGTCTGCTTCTCGTTTGCCGAATTTGTTCACAACTTTGAAAGATATTCTTGTTTCCTTACTTCCGTCAAGAGATAAACCAGCAGTTCAAGAGATTTTGGATATAGATCTTATCTTGCAACAATTGTCTCAACATTCATTGGATTTGATTGGTTTGGCCTCTTGGTTATCAACTATCTTCAAGTCCCATTGTGCTCCTATGCGTGATTCATGGGTTGATGAAATGATGACCTTATTTTACGAAGCTGATGCAGAATCTTCGGTGGTGAAGCTTGTTGAAGGATTACGTCTCATATTCACAATTTTAGAGGCTATGAAATTGGATGTCGCAAATCACCAGATCCGTATGCTGCGTCCTGTTCTCGTTCAGACAGCCGTGAATTTCGAAAAGGATTACTTTGCACAGATGATTTCCCGTTGTAAGCTGGAGATTACTGACTCACTGAACTGGTTTAAGAGATGCTATGACAATATGTCCCCACAACCGCAGATGCCAAGGGATGCGATTGTCCCTTCAGTTTTGTCTTTGCTGTCTTGTTCCAATATGGTTTCTGAGTTTCCATCGTCTCTGGCATTTGACCACGCTCGTTTGATTGTATTGAGGGCAAATGTTCGTCAAGTTGTATGTTTACAACTCTGTCTGGTGTTGTATAAGCAGCTCGTTGCGCAATCGACCTCAAACTCCAATACCGACAAGGCAAAATTGACCAGTGAAGCAAACTTGGAAGTTTTGAGAAAAGAGGTCTTAGCCATCATCACTGATGACAACGGCAACGTCAAATGGACTAGAAACATTGGGGCTATTGCACTGCAACTGGTGCGTCGTTCCTCGCCAAACTCCACAATCGATCCAAAGGATATGAGAATTGATTTTGCATTCAACTGGTTGATTAAGCAAACTCAACCAAGCTCATCAGTGTACTCTTTAATGGAGCAGCGTTTCTTTAAGACCATCTCTCAACAGATTTCCTTGGATAGTGAGGATTTGACCATCAAAGCTGGTGCAACTAACGTTGTCTCTACTGGTGCTGCCACTCCAACCCCTACAACACCACCGCAAAGAAAGAGCGAGGATCATGACGATATCAGTGGAATTGCTGCAAGAATCTCCCTTCTCACGAAGTTTCATTGGAGCGTGTTCGGATCTTACTACACAGATGTTGTCACTCCAATGACGTTCTCATCGAAGGAAAACACATTTTGATCGCAATCGGACAACGCCTACTACCACAAAACAATCATTTTCACATTGTACATCCATCATTACTATTACCATCATGATTTACATTACCATTGCATGTGGATTTCGTATCCACCACTTTTTTTCTTCCTTTTTTCTTCCATTATGCACTGATTTCTAGTGTTTCACATTTCATCATTTCATCATATCATGCTACCATCTAAAACAGAAAAAAAGAGAGAAAAATATAACTGAGAAAAGAGATGTTTCTTCTTATTCAAATTCTACGATTTTTGGTTCGATTTTTGGTTTAACAATTTTATTTTTTACGTTAAAAACTTAATGCTACATAGTATACGAAAACAGCAGTGTAGTTTAAACTGGTACAATAACTATCCATCCTTTCTTATGTGACATATATATATCTATCGGACTTATTGTGGGCCATGTGAGACTTGTCTAAGGACCTCGACCGTCTCTGTTAGCGTTTTGGATCTCAGTTCTAGTTGGTTTTGAAGTTGTGTTATGGTTGCGTTCGAGAGTGTAATTTCTCCACCAAGATCATTCGTTTCAATTTCAAGAACTGGTGACGATGAGAGCTTCAAGGCAACTGAAAACCTCTGTATCACTTTAACTATTTCATCAAGAGTGCGATTGTTCAACTTGATATGATCATTTTCCTGGTTGGTCATTGTCGTGGCAACGCCTCTCAACGTTGTGATCAGATCGTCCAGGAGGATCATCTGGACGAAATTGACAAACTCCTTAAACACTCTGATCATTTCATTCTTTGTAGTGAAGGTTTCCTCCGCTTGTAAGAACTTGATGTGGGATTGAATCTTGAACAGCTTTTCAGAATCGCCTTCTAAGGACTCACGAGCCCAAGATATGTCATCTTTTAAGTTCTTACTCCCCGATGAGGAAGCCAATGTCTGTAACTCATCAAGGATCGTCCTGAGATAGGGAAACGCATCAAATGCATTCACGTAAATATTGTTTAAAACATGACGTAAAATAGGAATATTTGGGTCCAAGTTCGCTGGAGGTAGAGACATAGTGAAGTGTTTCTCCAACAACAGGCCGTTCTTTAGAGAGACAACACCGAGTTTTGAAATGTTGAGATGTGGAAAAAAAGTATGCTTGAGCCCCCCTCCCCCGCCGCCAGCCGGGGAAGCCAAAACAAAAAGCGAGCAGCGGAAACAAAAACAAAAAAGTTGTGTCACCTAAACTTTACTTAAAGAAGCTTTAAACATAACAACTCAAGTCCTTAAACCAAAATGGGTAGCTGTGTATCTTCTCCTTCTGCTCAACAACTGCCAAACAAAGTGGAAACACAAACGACCAATAAGAGGACACAAAAGGTGGCGAATACTAGCAAGCCATCTGTTACAAAGCCACAGAAGGTGCACACCGTGGGTTCTACCTCCAAGTTCGCACCTCAAGGGAAGAAATTATCAGAAGCTACAAATACATCGAATCAAGATGAGGACCCCCGTGAGGCCGCTAGAAAGGCAGCTGAAGTGCGATATGAGCAGCAGATGACTAAACAAGGAGCCTTGGGGAAGAAACTTGAGGAAGAGAGAAAGAAGACGCATTCAACCTTTTTGAAAGAACAGGCGGATGCAGCTGATAAGAAAACTACGCCTCTTGTATACGATTAAGGATGTGTATAGATCGTGATATTCACATGCTAAACTTACCTGATCTGTCCTGCGTAGCCTTCTTTAGCCCACTAACCACAATTGACTTGAAAAGATCAATGGCATCGAACAGCTGTTGTTCCCTGGTGGCCTCAACCAACAAGTACAGCTTTGGCTCTTCGCCTGCTTCTGGTTCTTTACCCTCAGGATAGAAGCGACCTTTATAGGTAACAGAGACAGATGTCTGTTCAATAATCTTGGTCAACGTGGCATTGTTGGAGGCGATCCACCTGATGTCCTGTGGCAAATCATTAATGTTGATCTTGGCGTTGAAATCACCTTTATCAACTGAATCTGTCTGTATGTTGTAGACAATGTCCAGGTTAGGGTCTTTGACCTCTTCCTCGTCTTCATCTTCGTGATCTGTTTCATTAGTTGTCGTTGTTTCAGTTTCGCCAAGTTTCAGCTTGGCCTTTTGTTCTGTTTCATCACGAAGCTTATCCAAATTGTCTAACCCTTTACCACCATACCCGGCACTGATCTTCTTCTTACCACTATCTAAATCTTTAGCAAATTTCAACGCAATCGCTTTCACATCATCTGGTAATTCATCCTGCTTCATACATTTGTAGAGGATATATGCTTGCAAGTCCTCCTGTGAAGATATTAAAGAAATTGCGGAACCCTTGGTGTTCCCTCTCGCAGTTCTTCCTGTAGAATGAACATACTGTGCAAATGACCTCGCTGCATTATACAAAATCACCAAAGAGACTTCCGGAACATCCAACCCACGTGAAAGAACCTCCGTACATATGAGAATGTTGGCATTCGGATCTTTCTTAAATTTTTGCAAATTCTGAGCCCTCTCATTAGATGATAAACCTGCATGAATCTGAATAGGTGAGTGGCCACTCCCCAACAGTCTTCTATTCATAAAATCAACCTGGAGTTGTGATTCACAAAAGATAATAGTTTTTGAGTGTTCCGGTTGTTTACCCAGGATATTCAGAAGGTAGTTGAACTTATCCGATTCTTTATCAATGACTTTTGCCATCTGTGTGATATTTTCATTCACAACTTGCTTATTTCCCACAGCTATAATAACAGGCTTATGAAGTATCTTGACGGCAAACGCCTGTAACTTTGAAGGGAAAGTTGCAGAAAAAAGAACACACTGTTTGTCTGGTCTTATAGTCTTCATAATTTGATTGATCTGTGGTTCGAATCCCAAATCAAACAAACGATCTGCTTCATCTAACGTCACGAAAGATATTCTATCAGTTTTCAAAAGTTTACCATTGTTCAAAGTAAGAAGGTCAATAAATCTTCCGGGTGTGGCAATTATTACCTCAACCCCCCTTTTAAGGTCATTGATTTGTTTCTGTAATTCCGACCCACCTGTGCAGCATATAGCATTCATCGAGTTCACTTTGAGAAATTCACAACAGGTTTCATGGATTTGAATTGCCAGTTCTCTCGTTGGGGATAGGATTACTCCCATAGGCCCAGTCTCGCCCTTCGAAAGTGGTCTCTGTTGTTTGATATGTTTTAGCATTCCAAGTAAGTAGCACATAGTTTTGCCTGAACCAGTCTTTCCAATACCTATAACGTCATTTCCTGTCATTATAGCCGGTATCGTCTGCGACTGAATTGGGGTTGGAAGTTTGAACCGGAAATGTTCTGTTATCACTGATATCGTCTCAGCATCTAGGCCCATGTGATAGAAGTTCATCACAGGAGTTATGGACTTGTTATTGATGAATATGTTATTCATCACTTGAAAGTTGATAGCCTCATCAGGATCTATTGGATTGGTATTGACAAAGAAATTCTTCCTCAAAGGTTCGAGTTCTTTCAAATTGAACTTGTACGTCTGTATATCCCTCGTTTTCTTTGTCTTCAACTTTTTCAATAGCTTTGTAGCTTCTTCATTCCCATCAACGGCATCCATATTTGTAGATGCAGTACCATCTTCGTCATCGATTAGTTCAGAATTCCGCTCGCTAGGCACGTTTGTAGAGTCTCCACTCAAACTGTTCATGAACGCTTCAAGTGGATCCTCATGTCCTTTATCAACCAAATCGTCGATATCACCATCTTCTTGCTCTTCATCTTCATCGTTTGTAGGGATGAACCGTGGTCTCTTCCTACCAGTGTCTTCGCCATCATCGCCATCACCAAATACATTGGCACTGATGCCAGAAGATCTCTTCTTCACCAGCTTAGAGCCCTTTGAGAACTGCGCAAGAGCCAGCGTAGTTTTCTTCGGCAGTGCATTATCGACATTTGGTGAGTCTTGCTTCTTCTCTAGTTCCTTTAGCCTTTTACGCTCAGCTTGTTTCTTCTTCCATGCTTCTAGCTTCTTCAACTTGTCAGCTTTCTTATCATCAATGTTAGTAGATGCACCAGTCGTTGCACTGTGCTGTTCTTCGACATGCCTTGAATCGCTGTTTGTCATCGCTAGAATATCTGGCTGTGAACCGCTCTACCGTTAGTGCCCTGATTGTTTACCGCCCTATCGGTTGTGGTTTTGTTGACGCTGTTGTGTTGATGTTGAAGTTTGCGTTTTTTTTTTCTCCTCCTGCTTTTCGTGATAAATTCGTAGCTTTCAACGCTGATGTACTTAAATGTTCGATTAAAAAGAAGAAACAACGGTACAGCGACATTATGAGCGATATAGGAAGAGCCGATGCTCAGCCAGATGATGGATCTGCTTCTCGAGAGAAGACAGAACAAAAGGATGAGAAACCTTCAATGAAGATTCGTAAGAGAGCGTTGGAAGAGGCATCTCCTTCACCATCAGCATCGGCGTTCTCATTGAGAAGAGGTACACAGTCGCAACCTCCCGATGGTGAGAAGACTGCGGCTACCGCAGAAAAGAGACGTCCTAAACCTTCATGGATGTCACAAGAAGACTACGATAAGCTGAATGGGGTCAAGACTTTAACTGATGCGGAACCGGTACAGAAGAGGTTGAAAGCACCTTCAAGGAGAGGAGGGTATCTTCCACGTCCAAGAGGCAGCGATGATCAAACCGGCACAGCTGAAGATATACCAGCACATTTGTCAACGTCGCAGCCGTCTCAAATCGCTGATGATTTGGTATCTCGTGATATTGCGTACAAGAAACAGGACCTCAACGTATCCATTAGGCAGCATTACAACGTGAGAGCGTGGGATTCGAAACGTGAACGTCGTGACCAATCCACAATCATCAAGCTGAGAAACTTCAACAATATCATCAAACACATGCTGATCAGCGAGAGTGTCAAGGAACCGGGTTGGCACGTACTGGATTTGGGATGTGGTAAAGGGGGTGATTTACGTAAATGGGAACAGGTCAATGTGAGTCAGTACGTTGGTGTCGACATATCCAACGCATCAATTATGGAAGCCATAAGACGCTACAGATCTAACCGCTCACGTTTCCCTGTTGTTTTTGCCACGGGTGATGCGTTTGGACTGCCACTTCCAGAAGTGTTACATGATTTCCCAGAAGTGGAATTCCCTATGGACATCGTCTCTATGCAGTTTTGTCTACACTATGCCTTTGAAACTGAGGAAAAGGCTAGGCAGACAATTGAAAATGTCTCCAGATCACTAAGACCAGGAGGTGTCTTCATAGGAACCATCCCAAACAGTGAGTTTATTGGCCACAAGATTAGACACTTGAAGCCCGGTGTGAAAGGTTTTGGAAATAGCCTATACTCTGTTACATTCGAAACCCAACCTCCAAAGTCTGGGGAATTCTCAAGCCCCTTCGGTAACGTCTATAACTACTACCTGAAAGATGCAATTGATAATGTCCCAGAGTACATCATCCCATTTGAAACGCTGAGAGCTATTTGCTCGGAATTTGGTTTAAGACTGAAGTTTAAACAGCCATTTCAGGATTATTTTGTCCAACACATTCCAAATTTCTTCTCTAGGTTGAGTCCAAAGGCTTTAGAAGGTATTAGAAAGAGTAACGGTGGTTACGGTATATCTGGTGAAGAATCGGAAGCAACTTCATACTTCTACTTGGCATTTACATTTGTGAAAGCAGGTTAAATATCATAAATATTACACAACATGGTAGATCTCTTTCTATAACGCTGTAGTCACAGTCATGCTTTGAGAGTTTATGAGCATTATCGGTGGTAAACCTTCAGTCCAAATTTGTAAACTCTCCATGTATTGTTTGCACTTCTCTTCCTCATAGTGCGTTCCAATCACTGGTGTTGGTAAAGTGGAGAATATCACTGGTGCATCCATGGAGACAGTTCTCATAACATCATTCAAAATCAAATGTTGTGCCTTGGCTGGTAGATCGTTGAATGAAAGATCATTAATATCGATTTCAACCTCTTCAACAGGATCTGGTGAAGTTGGAACATCAAATTCGTACTTCTTACGCTGTCTAGAATCAGAACTTCCATTACGAGATTTCCGAAGTTCCTCACGCTTCTTCTTAGCGGAGTCTTCTGGGAAAAGCATTATTGATGGCTCATCACCAGATGCATCATCAATAACCTTCGACCTTGGGATCTTCTCGGAGGAGAAGTACGACATCTGGTTCTTTTTGGCCTTGGCTAAATTGTTGAATGTATTTATCGAAGAACTTCTGGAGCTATTGCTTGTCTTTATTATATTCTCCAGGGAGCTGTCAACAGAACGTTTAGCCGTACCAGCAGATGTTCTCACTCTCTCAAAGTTGTCACGATTTTGATCTATTGCTTCGCTTGTACTCGAACTGTTGTCGTACTCATCTTCAGAACTCTGAGAGTCGTAGTCCATAGCATCCGCAAAGCTACTGCCATGTAGCTTGTTCGTGGTCATGCTAAATGATAGTCCCATTTTCTGTAACTTGGAAAGTCCGTAACGCTTATTCTGAAGGCTACCGACAACCTGTGGTGTAACTATACTTATTCCAGGCATATTGATATTGGTGTCGAGACCCAATTCGGATTCTCTTGCGCTTTTCAGCTCACTCCACCAATCATCATCCTGCAACACCTTGTCAACTTCAGATAGACTGATATTAGAACCCTTTACAATGGTATTGTAATGTTTAAAATCTCTCAAACAAACAACTTTTATAACAGCCTTGATTCTCAAAACCTCTATGAGCTGCTTAATTCTCTGAGTTTCATTTTCGATATCATTTGGGTCTTCGATAAACACAACGATTCTCAATCTATGTGTCTTCTTCCAGTTTGGAACAGTTGTCAAAATTGCACCTAATTGCAAGATCAGAGTATATGTATCGAAGTTGATAGTGAGTGCTGATCTTTCTCCATTTTTGTCAAAAACCTCTGCAGACATTTGAATAGGGTATAGATCAATGAACTTGCGTTTAGAGTATTTCAACTTTGGGCCTTTGCCGTTTGGTATGTCAATGTGATCAAATCCTTTGGCAACAGCAATATTCGTACGCATGAGCACCATATCCTCAATTATTGAAACCCAGTTTTGTATGCTTACTCTTTCTTCATTACGACAAGCATCTGTTGGCAGACTCTCCATATCAACAACTTGGGCGTTGGCCTTTTTACTGTTTGGTTGGGTCCTGTAGTGGGTACTAATATCAAAGTATCCTAACACAACAATGTTTGGTTTCATTCCACCCAGGCCAGACCCCAAAATAACATTTCTCACACCCCATGGCAGTGTAGGGCCCAATCCGATCTGTACAAACGCTTTTATCTTGGTTAGATCACGAAGTTTTAACCAAGCACTTTCTTGAGATTTCAGTTCAGCAAAGTTTGTCTGGAAACTCTTCGTGATGATCACATGCCCAAGAATATACAACCCACCTTTCTTCAAGTTATTACAAAATTGGATCAGATTCCATGAGCTTCGAGGGCTATCAACCAGAAGCAAAATTTGCGGTCTCCAATATTTGACGTTATCCTGTCTCAACCTTAGTAAGTACTTTCTGACTTGGTGATAGATCAAACTCTGTGAAACATCACCCCAACTTTTTGGAGGGCACACATAATGGATGAAGATGAAGAGCAACATCAAGAAAATGATCATTAGCGATGCATAAATACCATCCACTATGAACATTGCGATGAATGAAGATATCAGCGCAGCTAAAGCTGTGTACCAGTCAAAGTACTTGAATGAAGGTCTGAAATTTGGTGCAGACGCAATTTTCAACAGGAAACAGGCTAAATTTGTCACTATAAAGGTCATCAGGAATGCCATGGTAATAAACGTCGCAATTTGATTGACATCTGCAAAGATGCACAGTTGTGTCAAGAACCAAGTGAACAAGATTGCTGGGATTGCATTTTGGCCTCTAACTATGCTGAAAGTCTTGAGCCCTGGTATGATGGCATCCTTTGCAATGGCCTGAAGGACATTGGCAGCACCAACCACACCGACAATGACAGAGAATAGACATGTTGAAAATTCTCCGATTAGCACAAGCATCTGAGACAAGTTCACGGTCTGGACAATTTGGATGTCCTTATGCAGCAACTTTCTCGGTACTGACATTCCCAAAGACAATATTACTAGAGAATACATCACAAATGTGAGCAAGAGTCCCCATAGTGTGCCCTTTGGAATGGATTTCGAGGGCTTTCTCAAATCACCAGACATACTAGCACCGGCAAATATACCAGCTGTTGCTGGGAAGAATATACCAAACAGATCGTTAAAGGTCTCTCTGGAGCTCATTTGGGAGCCCGCAGCACCTTTCGTGAAATGGGGCATGAGGTTCTCCTTGAATGTTTGCCAAGTTGGACCTGTGTACAGGATGTCAAACTCTGGTACGTAGAAAGGTTTCACAAATATGGCCGATATCGGTACTGATATCGTGGCCACTATGAGTAGAACAAACAGTATTCCTCCAGCTTTGGAGACCAGTGTACTTCCAACAAGTGCAACACCTATGCAGAGTGATAGCAATATTGAAGAATACATAAACTGCCACCAATAACCTTCTGGAAGCCAATGTGCCATGATACCGTTCTCCTGTCCCAGGTTGTTTAAGAATGGTTCTATAAAACCCACAACGTTCAGACCAGAGTTCAGCACCTGTCCAATGTAAAAGACCAGGCCTATACTTCCTCCAAACTCAGGGCCAAGGGACCTCGAAATCATATAGTACGCACCTCCACCTCTCACTGTGCCGTTGGTAGCAATGGCACTGATACTTAACGTAGTCAAGAGGTCAACAAAGTAGGACATGAACAAGAGCAAAAAAGTACCCAGCACCCCCATTTGACCAATGATGAATCCAAAACGTAAGAACATCAAGATGCTCAACACGTTCAAAGCTGTGGGCATGAACACGCCGTCAAACGTACCTAGCTTACTCTGTTCACCCTTCTCCGCGGTCTCTCCATCGAGGTCGTTAACTGGAATCTCTGCATGGAAGGACGCACGCCTCTGTAGATATGAGCCACGTCGTTGGTGTAAATTCGTTGAAGATAGTAATGGCGTGCATTGCGTTGGCCTTGACGAGCTTGTACTCATAGTGATGTGGGGGGACTAGTATCAATGGTGCTTGAGGATACTGCGCTGATCTAAAAAGCAAGCCCCTGTTCCTATAACCGAAGAGTCTCTCTCGTATATGGAGATCGACGGGATCAACGCACAAGACAAATAAGTAAGAGCAAAATCCTTAGACCTATAAAGGGAAAAATACAACTTTGGGCCCTCGAGCTCTTATCTTTCTCTTCCCACACTGCTGAATGTGTTTTTTTGCTGTTTCGGCTCTCACCTGCCTGTTTGGCTTTTGTCCGAGTATGCAGCAGCAGCAGCAGCAGCAGCTCAAAAATCCCCGTTTCTGTTTGAACCAAAGGCACACCAAATGTACCGTGTCTTCAAACGGTTAAAAGAGCCCATCTGTGAGGTTAGGATGTATAAATTCCAGCTGAAATCTGATAACCATTGCTGAAGCGGGCTCCTGGCGTGTAAACAGGTGATTTGTTTCACACCAAGCAATGGAGTACTTACTTAGTTAGGTTGTTTAACTCAATGGTATTTTATATCTGGTTGTTGCTATACTTCTGGGGAGCAACGTACTCGTCCAGCTATCTTGACATATTTCTACATGTACACTACTGTAGCTGATAGAACAATCACCTAGACTGTGATATTAGATTTATCAACAACTGGGCTGGATCCGGCGAGGAGGAGAAAAAAAGACCTTATATAAGAGATCAACAGTTAAAAAAAGAAGCGATATATCAACCATGTGTGGAAGCCTCGCAAATCGGAGGTCCACGTGGCCTTGAGCTGTTTGAATGGTAATCCATACAGCTCAGAGTGCGATAGATACATCATCAACTCAAAACAATCTGTGGAAAATGGTATAAAAAGAACTCTGGAGAGAGGTGAGCCAATTGTAACTAATTCTCTTGATCACAGAAGACCCACTTCCATGTATCCAGAAAGTAAGGATAATATGAAGTAAAAGACAGTAAGATAAGGTTGGACTATGAGCCAATCTTTTGTGAAAGATAGTTGACCATAATTAGTTTGACCACCTGTTTAAGAAAAAAAAAGTAAAATAACTTGATAAGAAGGTTGAATCGAATGCAAGAAGGAAAGTTCACACAATAGTCAACAATATTCCAATACTCTGAGGGTTCGCTATGCAATGTAAATGCGGTAAAAAAAGGAAATCGTGAAGCATGTTTTGCTTTTTTTTTGGAGAGTCGGATGTGGATTAAACTCACATAGATGCTATAGGAAGCAATCTCATCAAAGACATGAAAAGCACAAACTTCAACTGCCATGGTGCTTTCGTATACAATATCAAGCTCAAACACGGATGACAAAGAGAATGATGAAACCCATCCATAACACACGCTCACAAACACAGATTTGTTAGCTATCTTTAGTAGCATCTGTGATAGATTCATCCTCGTCATCATCTTGACCAGCAGGTAGACGCTTATCAAAGGAAACAATCCATATTCCCCAGTTGTAACTTCTTCTAATTTTACCATTGACAATTTCAACTTCAGGGAAGTTTTGTAAAGCGTTCAATAGCACGTTCATATCACCACCAGTTAAACTCTTCAATTTATTAAAGTTAATGAGAACAGACAATGGAACAAATCCCTTCGAGTTCATGTTTCTTCTCAAATAGATATCCTTACCCAAGTTTTCATCAGAAAAGTAGTAACTGACAGTGCTGACGATTAATGCATTTGGATCCTGCTGGTACGGAGTGAAAAGAGCTTGCTGTTGAACAAATTGTGGTAAAAATCCAGCACTTGCACCAGTAGGATCGAAACCTTGTGGAACGCCATTTATAGTGGCATAATCACCTTTCAAAGGAGAGTGGGAATTGGATCTCGATACTGGATTTTGGGGAACGCTACCAAACTGTTGTGGTGGGAATCTCTGAGTTTGAACACCATAGCTAAAGCTGTTTGGTGGTATTACCATTGGCATGTAGTAATTGTTAAACCCTGGATTGACCATTGGAATATTCTGGAACCCTCCAAAGGAATTTCTTGGGTTGAAACCCTTATTGTTGAAACGGCGTTTGTATCCACCTTGTGCATTAGGGCTTGGGAGATATGGTTCAGAATTTCTGTATTGCTTTTTGAATTGTGCACCCTGTTGATTAGAATAATTATCAATTTCCTGTTCATCGACACCATCAATAGCACCATTATTCAATGTACCACTTTTGTTCTCGCCATTGGATCCACTGGTGGTTTCGTTCTCAACAGGGACGGTATTTGGAGATGCGGATTCCTCACGGTCTGGCTCAGATTGTTTCCCACCATCTATTGAAATATTCGTCATGGAGTTAGCTAACTTCTTCTCCGGCGTACTGGCATTTGTGTTTTTGTTGTGTGATTTCTTTTCTTGGCCGTTGGCGCCTTGATGATGATCATTCTTCTTGTTCTGATCCTTTTTGTGAGCCTTACTGCTAGCATTATTCTGCTTCTTTTTACCATTGTTTTGATTGTTCTTTTGGTTATTGTTGTTGTTCCCAGCACTGTTGCCATTGTTACTGTTTTTCTTCTTACTCTGGTTGTTACCATTGTGCTGGTTCCCACCGGTACTTGAGGAAATGATGATTTCTGCATCGTACTTCACCCATTTCTCCTTCCCTGTGGACTTCACCTTTGGCATTTGAGGTGTTTGTTTGACCTTTGGAGAAGTTGTCGTCTTCAAGGCACTTTCAGCGGCGGGCCAACTCTTTTGAATCTTGGAATGGGTCGACGCCTCCTTGTTTGTAGCACTGGACACAGTGTCAGGTGTGTTTGAATCCAACGTCTTTCCCCATGGACTAACTGCTGGAACAGCTGCTGGAACCAACTTCGAAGAAGCCGCGGTAGATAGAGCTACCGTGGCAGTTTCCGGCGAAGAGGTGGATGCAATGGTTGAATTGGTAGCAGACATGATGGAACTCTTATGATCAGTTCTATGGATAAATTTGATATGGTTTGATATGGTGCACAAGTAACCACCTTTCCTACCGCTTCTTCCTACTACTTTTAGGTGTATGCCTCTGGTTCTCCGTTCCCACAATGGCTTGTGTTCTGATTTGAATAAAACCCAATTGTTTCACTACCGTTCTCTTTTTGTCAAAGTGGCAAGAAGGGTAAAAAACAAAAACACAAAAGGGAAATTAACACGCTTGTTCTCTTTGACCAATGAAATTGTCTCACGGTGGTCCCCAAACAGTCTCCAATAGATATTTCAGTTTCACAAGGGAAAGCTAACCAATCTTTTGTGTGTATGTCTGTTTTTAAGTGATTGATTTCTTTCCAAAGAGGTGAGATAGAGAGAGAAAGAGGGAACCGGTGGAATGTTGAAACGTTCTACGGGTCGTTTTTTTTTTGTTTCTCGCTCCACTCGCTCTCTCTTTCGCGTTTTAGGTACTCGTGGTTTGTTTTTCTTTTTTCTTTCCTTTTTCTCGCTCGGTGTTTTCATATTTACCAGAGAAATTCCAAGCGCACGGTTCCCTTGTAGAAATAGGGAGCACCGAATAATTGTCAACTCTGACGAGGTGGGAGAGCTCAATTGATGACGTTTCGTCACTTTGAGTACTATTCGTCGAGAATGAACTAGCAGGGAAATTTCTGTGAACAGATGAGGACTACACACTACGGCAAAGCTTCCTTTTCAAATTATATTTTGATGTCAGACTTTCATTGATTCCAATGTTAACCTCCTGGCCTCACCCACTCAAACAAAACATGATCACGCGCGCGGTTTGACAGGGAACGCGCCTACCACGCGTTTGGTAGTGCACACACAGTTCGACAAAGCGATGATGGGCACAGGCATGGACAATGTGGAATGGTTTGCTCTCTTTGTTTATACGTCATTCGTGGGCGTATACGCTTTAATGTCTATAGTGAAATGTCTCCCAATTGAATGTACTAGATGCACTCCGTTTCATCTATGAGAATCAGTTCTTCTCCTCTATATCGAACTTACATTCATCCCATTATTAGAATGATACTTATCAAAATAGCAAACCCCCTTCAAATTTCCTCGAATTAAACCACAGTGTAGTCCTTACCCTAATTAAGAGAGATACAAAGTTTCATCATGGTACCTTCAATACTTTCTGAGATATATCCATTCATGGTTTGTATGGTATAATCAAGAAAAACACATAAATTTGCTTATATCTCAGCAACAAAACAAAACCTGGAAAACCTGACAGGGAAAGCAAAAGAACATATCCACATCATCGTATATATTGACTTTGAGCTTGATTGAATCAATGGCCCTTTCAAAATAAATCACAACGTGTTGCATTATATATGTAATTCTGGTTCTTCGTTGCATCAGCAATCGTAAAAATGTTAGGATGTTTTCAATTTCCGCCGCATTGTTTACATTTCGAATTCTTATAACACAAAATGACACAAAACCAGTACAGCTTTATACATAGAATTAAAAATATCACCAAACAATGGCCAAGAACAAAAGATTGAACAATAAAGGCAGAAATGCCAGAGGGCGTCCAAGGAAAAAACTGAAGACTCTTCATGGAACCTTATAACGATGTCCTCAAACTTTAATAAGAAACATCAGCGGCTAATTCAGAACCACAGCGACAAGTTCAAACGAATGGAGGTACGAGACAACAAGAAGACCCATTAATTATTGAGACAGACTAACTGGCTTGTTATGAGAACAAGATAAGGAACCAAGAAACCTCCAAGTTCGGTCACAGAATACCCCTGCAGAGATTATAGATTTGCCACAACAGCCGCCAATACCTGAACCTGAACTAGATAATGAAACTATGGCCGATAGAATAAGAGATAGGCGAAGAAACGCGGCACAGGTAGCGGAAAGAGCGTTAGAAGAAATTAGACGTGATGGTGCCTTTGATTATGATCCCAACTTTGAATACATCATTGAGAATGACACCAACGGTTTTAATGAGAATGATGAGCCAGTTTATGAACAACAACAACAGCGGAGACCACAGAACTCAGTTTATAATCCAGGTGACCTTGAAAAATGTTGCGATTATTGTCACGCTCTCCTTATCGATGCTGAATTACCATCTTTTTGTTGTGATAGGGGGAAAGTTGTACTCGTTTTGATATTCAAAGAACCTCCACAGTACATGAAGGATATCTTATTGGATCCAATCACGTCCAAATATTCTCGAACAATCAATACAATTCTTTCGCTATCATCTTTGGGCTCTAACAGTACTGGTGATTCGAGAGGTGGAACTTATTCAATGACCATCAACGGACGTTTATTCCATAGAATGAATGGTATGATAGCTCAAGAAAATGGTCAAGAGAAATTTGCAGAAATTTATACACTAGATCCAGGATTAGCTACAAATCGTCATCTTGAACTGCTTAGTGGTGTTCTTCAAAACGATGAAGTATATAATAAACTTCAGGACTACATTAGCAAAATTGGTGAATTTCTATTTCAAAACAAGTGTTATGCACAGCTGTTATATACCGCTAGAGAAATTGTTCAACAGGAAATTACAGAGATGGGCTTAACAAGAGAAGGGACTATTGTTGAATTCACCAATATTGAACCAACAGCACCAAAAAATTCAGAACATCGTACTTCTTTATTACTAGAGGTGTAAGAGTTTGATTTGGCGCTTAGGAACATAACAGCAAAACAGACTTCATTTTCAGTACGTATAAAGGAAGAATCTACAGGTGGGTTCACTTTTATCAATATTATGTCTAAGAGCGTTTTTTATCTTTGAGATGTGTTGTTCTAATAACTGAAGGGTGAGCCAAATCTTTTCCATACTAACGGTACACAAATTAGTATCATTCTAACATATCCACACCATACACACCCTTGTGACTACATATACGAAATATTACGCTACAGTTTTAGAAGACTCTTTAGGCGTTAATTTCGTTAGTTTCAAAAATATCCTATCAATGAAGGACCAGACATTAAAGTCAATACTCGATGTACTGCGCAGCGCAAGTTGATTACGAAGATCCAAATCGCGTTCACCGTACCGAAGCACTACAGATCAACTTGTAAGGGCAGTATAGACCGTTAATTATATCTTATTCTAATATCTCTCACATGTACAAAGTTCTGTCGAAGTAACGAGCGATAGGTAAATCGTTCTCGGAATACACACTCGTGTCTTCGCCTTCCTTT